TTACGACAAAATTACTTCTATTACTTATCTTTCAAATTATTACATATCTCTAAAATTTAAGTCAATAAAAAAAAAAATGTTTAAACGATAAAACCTTTTTGTTTTTAATTTACTTGTATTTTCTAATTAACAATAGAAAATGCGGTAAACAAACTTGAGCATTATGACTTTTAAAATAGAGTTTTATTTATATTTTAGTTACTTATTGCATTAGTTACTTTGCATATTTTAAATCTCTTAAATTACACACACAAAAAAATAGAACTGCCGATAAAAATCAATAGTCGCCTTTTCGGGCGACTTGATTGCATAAAAAAAATATTTTGAGTCGCCCTTCATATTATTCGGTCGCCTGGTGCCATCGGGCGACCACAAGTGTACATCCCTGTATATACATATATATATATATATATATATATATATATATATATATATATATATATATATATATATATATATATATATACATACATATATATATATATACATATATATATATGTATATATATATATATATACATATATATCTATATACATATATATATATGTATATATATATATGTATATATATATATATATATATATATATATATATATATATATATATATATATATATATATATATATACATATATATATATATATATATATATATATATTTATATATAAAATTATATTCTAGATTTATGATAGCGAAACATCTCGGTATGAAGTTCCGATAACTGTACCCTCATTTACTCAATTTCCTGAAGATCAGTCAAATTATGATTTCCAGTTTGTAAAATCTCAAAATGATTTATTCACTTTTAAAATATATGGGCTTCGCAAAGGAAAAAATGTGACACTGTAAACTTTTTTTTTCACTTCAAATTTTTTTTTTTACTGTGTTTTTTTTCTATTTTTATTTTACAATTGAATTTTTTAATGAAGAATAAGCTTTAAAGATATATTATAAAAATTATTTATGATGCTTGCATTTTTAAATTCATCTTTAGATGGGATACTAATGCTGGTTCAATGATGCTCTCAAATCAATTTTTGCAAGTTTCGGCTAAATTGCCTTCTGAATATTTGTATGGCATTGGTGAAACTTCACGACCATCATTCAAAAGGGATTTTACAAATTGGACAAAAATACCATTGTTTTCAAGAGACCACGTTCCCTATGTAATCTTTAAATATTTTAAATACTCTATGAGTTGGCTCTAAAACTGTTGCTTTAACATTTGTTTTAACAATTTTAAAGTTATTTTAATTAAATAAATTAGGAATCTATAAAAATCTATAAGAATTTGAAAAAAAGAAAATTTTGTTCAAGTTACAATTTTTCCTAATATCATTAAAGGTTTTCATTAAAGTTTCAAAATTTTTATGGTAAACTGCTTGTCTTGTTTAATTTTTATAACTAAACCATACCTGAAACTAAAGATAGGAAAAAATATTATAAAAAAAATATTATGCTCCACAAATGATTGCTTCTCAAGTGTAGAGCACTACGATCATTGATTGAAAATGATTTTATTATCACTGTGCTCTACTAAATAGGTTCAATGACTCATTTCATGTTTTTGCTCATTATTTCATTCATTTGAAGAAATTTCATGGTACAATCCATCTTTTTTTTTTCTTTTTTTTTCCAAGTTTTTAAATTTTTTTTTTGTCTGGAATAGCAACAAGTACTAGAAGGAATCAGTTTTACAATTCTTTATGCATTCAACAGGTTAAATACTAAATTAAAAAATATTTCTTCACAAATCAAATAAAGCATGGAATAGTAGAATTAATCATCAGAGCATGAGCAGTAAATAATTTCATGAGCAAAGTTAATCATCATCAAGTACTTTTACAAAGTTGTTTTAAAACCAAACATTAGCAAACATTATATAACTACTAATTATTATCTTAATTGTTAAATTATTATGGTTAAAGGTTGACATTGATTAAAAATAGCATTTGATCTCAACAGCAATAATTGTTATTATTATTATTATTATTATTGTTATTATTATTATTAATATTATTATTATTAATATTTTTTGCATCACATTATTTTACTGCAAAAATATAATAAAATATAAGTTCTTTTGGAGAAATTTATTTTGTTACAAATGTTTACTTTTGCTATTTTCATTTGAAGTTTTGCTTGAAATATTTTTATGGTAATTACTTCTATATAGTATTGGTAGAGTGCTTGTTTCTTCTAGAGTGCTTGCTTCTTAAGTGAGAAGTTCCTAGTTTGATCCCCACCACACGGCTAGTATTGTTTTTTTCTCCACACAAATTAGAGACAACACAGCTAGCATTCTTTGTATGAACTCAGAACATACACTGAGATTTGTTAGAAAATTTTTGATTGTATAATATATGGAAAAATAATTTTTTTAAATTATGGATTAACAACCAAGTGATTCATAATCTTGAAATATTACTTTTGGTCAAAAAATAATCATTTAATGAATAAAGTCAATAATTTATTAATTTTGACTAAAAATTATGTAATCCAATGATAAAATTAGCTTTCAAATAAATTAAAATAAAAAAACTTATTTAAAAATGGGCACGTGGTAATGATGCTTTGCTGCTAATTTTGCCCCGCTCTCCATGACAATTTATACAGGGTGTCTGCCAGATCAGGGAAGTCAACGAAATCAGGGAAAAGTCAGGGAATTTTGATGTCTTTGAAAAAATCAGGGGAAAATTAGGGAAATTAGGTCAAATTTTAGAAAAATCAGAGTTTTTATTATATATCTTATTTTTTATTTTTTATTATATATCTTATTTTAGAAGCTCTTTAATTATGAGTCTTTTTTTTTTTTAACACTCAGTTTAACTTTAAGAAAAGCAGTTGTTTTTTTTGAGCCTAATTAGTAGCTAGCTTTTAGTAACTAATAGCTCACTATTTAATGTTATTAGTCAGTTGTTTTTATTTTTTTTAAACTGGAACAAGTTTAAGTAAATTAAATAATGAACTCAATACATTTTTATGATCAGTGGTTACAAATACCAGAATATAAAACTTTGTTAATGTGTGGGGATAAAAATACCTCAGCAAAATGTAGAGTTTGTATTTATAATTGAACTGTCTATTATAGACCAGAGAGTGTTAAAAAGTCATTCAACAGGAAAAAAATATTGTGAATGTTAATCTCTTCACTTAAAAGTGACACATATACTATTTACTAATGTGTCAAAAGGTATACATGTTGTAACAATCACTTTGTCAGAAAACACAGTTCAAGTTTTCACTCTTCAGTTGTATGTTGTGTCAGATTTGGTTATTGATGCAGAAATCAGATAGGCATATAAAAATAATATGTCATCATTTTCTTTTTGTTCCAGTGATGGACTTTTGATTTTGTTTAAATCAATGTTTCCTGACAGTTCTTTAGCTAATAAGTTCTCTTTTCAAAAAGACAAGTGCTCATATATAAATTTTGGAATAGCTCCTCATTTTTAATCATTTCTTATTAGAGATATAGATAAGTCAGACTTTTAAGCTGTTTCTTTCGATGTAAGTCTTAACTCAGTTGTGCAAATGGGGCAAATGGATCTTGTTAATTCTTGGGATAGTGTTTTAAACCGTATTTGTACTAGTTACCAAGACTCAACTTTTGCTGGACATAGTCGAAGTAGAGATCTTCTGCATAATTTTTTATTGGGTTTGAAATCTTTATATAAAACCAAACTTATTCAAGTATCTATGGATGGCCCAAATACAAATTGGGCCTTCTACTCTGAGTTACAAAACTATCCTACCGAAAATGACATTAACAAAGTAATTCCAACTGGATCTTGTGGTCTTTATTCCATATATCTAGCATTCAAAACTGGGGAAAACAAAACATACTGGAGTATTAAAAAGATTTTAAAAGCTCTTTATAAGCTTCTTCATGATTCTCCTGCCAGAAAAGAAGACTTTACTGTTGTAAATGAAAGTAATCACAATCCCCTACCTTATTGTGGTACTTGATGGATTGATGATGAAAAGGTGGCTTTAAGAACTGTTAATATTTGGGATTGCATTTGTAAAATATGTATATTTTGGGAATCTCCACCAAAGAGTAAGTAGCCTTTGTGCATAAGCTACCAAATTTTAAAAAAGCCAGATATTGGATTTGGTGTCAGCACTGTTTCAACTACAGTTGTATATGTTTTCTGCAGTTGTTGACATGTAAGAAAAATCGCCTTTAAAACATGCCATTGTGCAAAATGTAAAGTGTTTTGACCCAGAAATAATATGCAATGAAAAAATGGTGAAGGAAAGGATAAGTGATTTGGTTGATAATTTGATTCAATTGCATTGGGTTATCCCAAAAGGTGGGGATGAAGTAAATACAGAATTCAAGAAACATTTAGAAAAGATTGTCTCTAAAAAGAGGTAACTTTTCATGAATTTTGACAAAATATATTAAAACCGTATATCAAATCCATTGCAAAATTAGCATCTGCTAAGGTTGCATCTCTTTATCGAGCTCGACACTTTCTTACTCCAGATTCTATTCTCTATCTCTATAAATCTCAAATCCGTCCCTGTATGGAATACTGTTGCCACATCTGGGGCGGATCTTCTAATGATGCTCTTTCTCTTTTAGACAAGGTGCAAAAATGAATTGTAAACATAGTTGGACCTGCTCTGGCAGCCAATCTCCAACCTTTGTCACATCGTCGTAATGTTGCTTCTCTTTCTCTTTTCTACAAATACTATAATGGGCACTGCTCTAAAGAGCTAGCGTCCCTTGTGCCATCTACTAAAATTCATTCTCGTGTTACTCGCCATTCAATTAAGTCTCATCCTTTTTCTGTGACTGTTCCTAAGTGCTTCAAAAACTCTTATTCTTCTAGTTTTTTTCCTCGAACATCAGTTCTTTGGAATTCGCTTCCTTCATCTTGCTTTCCTGATTCATATAATTTGCAATCTTTTAAGTCATCAGTCAATCGTTATCTTGCTCTACAGATTTAGTCTTTTCTCTTCCAGTAACTTCCAACTCTTATAGTGGTTGCTTGCAGCCTTGTTGGAAGTGAAAATGTTAAAAAAAAAAAAAAAAAAAAAATGATAGTTTAGATGAGTTCTTTTTTTCTGAAGTTGGTGGTTTAGATGATTATCCCACACAGTTCAAATTAATAAAAAAGGTGTTGACTCTTTTTCATGGTCAAGCAGTGGTTGAAAGAGGGTTTAGTATTAACAAGAATATGTTACAATCTTATTTAATGAGTAAATCATTAACAAGCCAGAGAATTGTGTATGACCATACAGGGCTTGTGATGAATAAAATCGTCAAGCGTGTTATATCGCGCTTGTAAAATTAAAATATGTTTTCATCGAGCGTGATTATGTGCGCTCGAGATAACGTCGACGAGCGCGATCATGAAAATTGCTGAAGATCTTTTTTTATTTGTTACATCATTCTTTCGTCGACAAATGTTATAATTAGTATCACACTCATGAATTAACACTCTTGTATATTGTCAGATCGGGATTTTTTTTTAACTATTTATGTTATAAAAATATATATATCAAACAAAAACGCAACTTCTTGTTGTAGTATTGAAGTATAATTTAGTGACTTTTTTATAATTTAGTGCCTTTTTTTGTTTCCTTGTTTTGATATATGTATTTAAAAATAGTTTTTTAAATACATATATAAAAAAAAATATATTTCTTGATATTTTTTATTCAAATTAATTTATTTCTAAAATTTCTTTTTTAAATTACGATTTTTTTATCTTAAAAAAATAACACAAGAAAGTTTGAAAATCTTTTTTTTTTTAAACTATTTATTATAGGTTAAATAACAGATTTTTCCCTCAACTGTTGTCAACAGTGTTTCCTCTTCGACATTTTCGAAACTGAATGCAGCTAATTCGTCACTCATATCTGGTAACTTCAGTTCTTAAGCCTATTACCTCTTGAACTTTCCATTTAATAAATGTTGACAACATTACTTTGTTTCCTTTTGGAATGTCATTGATTGCGGACATTCTAAACAACAGAATCGTTTTAAATTTGAGTTAAAATAAATAATAGTTAATAAAAAACTTATACTATAAACAAAAACTAATTTAAAAAATTACTGAATCATTATTATTTATTTTTATTATAAATGATGTATGGAATATTACAAACAATAAATCAAATAAATCTTACTTGATGTATTCACAAGATTAAAAATATTCTGCAGTTTCAATTTTCTTATAATGATTTACTAATTTTTTATTATCTTATTTGTGCATTTTTGTATTTACATTGAATTTCTACATGCACATTCCATCAATGAAATTAGTGCCTATTAACGACTTCAAACTGCTCATTCATTAGGTTAGTGCAAAAATTCATCGCGCTCGATTCATCACAAGCCCTGACCATATAAAGTTCTTGACTTAAACCCCCAATCTATAGTTATTAATAAGGAGATGCTCGAAAGCAAAAAATTGACTTATTTGCTATAGACATAAAAAGTAAAAAAAAAATGCTAAAAAATGATTCAGAAGCAAATCTCGTGAAAGCTGCAAACGATGCTGAAAAAGCTCATACTTATGCTATTGAAGCAAAAGTTATTTTTGAGAGAGAAAAAAGAAGAAAGAAGAGATTAAAAAATCAGATAAAACTTATTTATTATTTAAGAAAAGTAAAGAAGTTTGAAATTTTAAATATTAGTTTATTATTATTTATATACAGTAAAATCTAAAGTTATATAGATATTTAAAAGTATATTATATAAAATTTTTTTTTTTTTTGAAAAGATTTTTAATATTTATGTGGCAATAGTTTTTCAGTCTTTTTAACAAAAAATAATTTTTTTTTTTCATTTCTTCAGTATTCTTTTTTCTGAACCATTTGGCTTATGTCTATTTTTCATCTTTTAAATATATTTCGATTTTAGCTTTATATTTTACTTTAAGATTACTTGTTCAGTTTATTTTTTTCTGAATTCTATTTATCAAAACAGTTTATAGAGTCAATAAAAACATTTTTTACATTTTAATTTGATTAAATTTTAGATGTACTTTAATAACACAAGTAACAATGACAACGTACTAACAATACTTTGATAAATGTAATAATGATGCTTTATTTTTAACTGTACATGATTTTTTCATGTATTATTCTCCAATCCTTTTTAAGTCTGGAAAAGCTCATAATAACTGAAATAAAAATCAGGAAAAAGAGGTAGACGGTTAGGGAAAAGAGATCCACAATTAGGGAAAAGTCAGGGAAATCCACCTTAAGTTTTTGGCAGACACCCTTTTATATTTGTAAGTTAAATAATAGCGTTTGTACACATTATCGTAAGTTACTTATTTGTATAATTTTTTCTACAATTGATTTTTTTTTTCCCATAATTTTTGAACTATTTTATTAAGTTTTTTATTTCACAATGGTGTGCTTTTGGCTAAAGATTTCTTAAATACATTTATTCTCATTTAATAGTTAAATTAAAGTTTAGATTTTTTTTAATTTAGGATAGACCTAATCTCAATTTATATGGAACACATCCTTTTTATATGATTCTAGAAGAAGATGGACACGCTCATGGAGTTTTGTTACTTAACAGTAATGCAATGGGTAATGTTTTAATAAAGATTTATTTATTTAACAATTTTTTTACTTTATTTGTCATTCCAAGGCAACTACAATAAAAAAACTGTATTTAACACAACTTTCTGTTAAAAATATTATAAATGCATAACAATGACTTCTTTATTATTAAATTCACGAATAACATTACATTAACAGCAAATGGAAAACCATTGCTCTGGTTAATGAGTACAAACAAACTCGAAATCTGGTAAAGAAAGCAATTCGTGATGCAATCTGTACCTATGAAATTAATTTATCTAATGACAAGAAAAACCCAAAAAAAAATATTAATATATTAATGGCAAACACATTGTAAACAACCAGATTGTGTCATTACAATCAATGACTGGTAAAATTAGTAATGACCAAGTTTTTATTGCCAACACACTGAACAAACAGTTTCAATCTGTCTTTACCAACTTTACCTCTTTTTACTAAATGAACTTTACTTCTTTACATCTTCTTTGATTATGAGTCTGTTCGAAGTCACCTTGTTACTCTTGATGGTTATAAATCTAAAGGTGAAGATCAGATAAGTCGATATGTACTTAAAGCATGCTCTAACACAATAGCAAATCCACTAGCCATGATTTACAAAAATCAAAGGAACAAGGCATGTAACCAAAGTCATGGTTTGTAGAAAATGTGGCTCTCTTGTTCAAAGGAGGTTCTAAAATGAATCCAAACTGTTACAGACCTATTTCCATTACATCTGTGTAATGCAAAATAATGGAGAAAATAGTTAATATAGTTTAATGCAGCATCTACTGTCTCAAAATCTTACATCAAATTGTCAGCATGGTTTCATAAACAAAAAAATTGTGTTACTAATTTACTTTAGACTATAGATTTTTTGACCTACAATATATAACATAAGCTTGCTGTTGAAATTATAGATTTTGCTAAGGCATTTAACAAAGTTCCTCACGCTAGACTGCCACAAAAGCTGAAATCGTATGGAATTGAAGGTAAAATTTTAAACTAGATTATAGCGTTTCTTTCAAATGTTCTCAACGTGTCCAACTTGGAAATGTAGCATCAGAATGGGAAAAAATTACTAGTGGTATTCCTCAAGACTCAGTTCTTGGTCCAACGCTTTTTACTATATTCATTAATGATTTACCAGAACAAATTAGTAGTAAAAATATATGCAAAATGTATGCAGATGACACAAAAATCATTAGTGTGGTCAGCACTGAAAAACAAAAACACTGTCTGCAAGCTGACATTGACAAAATTGTTAAATGGGTTCAAGAATAGCTTATGGATATAAATATTAGGAAATGTAAAATATTGCATTTTAATCAATCCAAATCGGTTTCACACCAATACTTTATTAATGACCGTGGCTCAAACAAAACTCTCAACAGAATTCAAGTTGAATCGACCTCATCAGAAAGAGACCTTGTTGTTTTATTTTCCAATAACCTAAAGCAAAATTTCCAAACATTTATTGCTGAAGCCAAGGCTAACAAAATGCTTGGCATCCTAAAACACAGCTTCATAAGGAGAGATGCTCTGGGAAAAGCTATATACAACTTATATACGTCCACTTATAGAATTCTATAACTGCATGGTGTCCTTATTTAGAATAGAATATTTCTGTAATTAAAAGGGGGTGTTACAAAAGTACTGCAAGAAATTAAGCCTTTTGATTATAAATCAAGATGTATCAAACTTACTCTCACTTCTCTATGCAAACAAAGAAAATCATTGGACCTTATTAAAAAATTTAAATTAGAGAATAAAATTGAGTTAGTGAACTGGTTTATTAATTTAATTAACATTCTATGAAGTCCATAGCTTGGTGATATGGATTTCATCTAGTACCATTGTAAAATCAACAAAAACTGTCAAATCCGACATAACTTTTTTAACAACCCTGTAACAAACACATGGAAAGCCTTGGCAGACAATATAGTAAATATTGCGTCAGTGAAAAAGTTTATAACTAATTTAGACCGGCATCTAAAACAGTTACCATAGCACATCATTTTCCATGGCTGCTTAAATGCTACTATACAAACTAGCTTTGCTAGTTAATGATGAACTTACCGTTTATGTATTGTTCCGTGTAACTTATTAATAATAATAATAATAATAACAGCCAGAGGTCTCTTTATTATAAAATCATAAAAATACAATTATAAATTTTTATTTGGTGTGATGTTTTTGTTTTTTTAACAGTATTTGAATATTATTTGTTTTATTAGAGTTTTATTTTAACACTCAGTTGCAGCTATTTACTTTAGAGAAAAGAAAAGAAATTTTGCTATTATTTGTCAATTGTTTTAATTTAACATCATCTATACAAATGTTGGGAATAAAAAGTGGTTTTAATTTAAAAAGTTTGATTTTTTTTTAACTTTGTACACATTGTCCGTTTTTGGTACTAATTGAATTTAAAAAAAAAAAGTTTGAGTATCACAATGTTGCATCCCTAGAAGTTAAAGTATTCTAAACAATATTTCACATGGCGGATTTAATTTCAAGTTTGAGTCAACTATCTGCAACCCTGTCTGTGTACCAAGTTTCAGGTTGAGGCCAGAGAATTGAAAGAATTTTGTTAATTAAATATTGCTAATTTTGAAAAACGTGCTGGAAAAAATTAAGTTTGCAGCAAGTCAGAACGGAAACATTAGGATGTTAGCACTGAAAGCAGTGCTCTTAACCACTAAGCTACTGAGAATATATAACAAGTTGAAAAACAAACTATTTTATAAACTTTCAATAAAATTTTTGAAACTTTCAAAAAACTTTTTGACACTCTAAATAAGGCTGACTTTATTGCACAGCAGAAATAGTTTACAAAAAACAAAATTTGAAAACCACAATACCGCAATTTCTTATGCCTCCATGTTTTGCTTTTACTAAGGAAAAGCAGTTTTATAATATCTATGTGCAGGCTTGGCTAGGCGTGCTATTTTAAGTCTTCATATGACCACACAAATAATATTTTGTTTTGATGATTTAAACACGGTTTTTAATAAATGCACTGAAAAATTTGGTTTTTGAAAATAAATAACTTTAACTTGTTCTTTACTAACGTTTTTATATTAGCAAAAGGCTTTTAAATAAAGTAGCTAATAATTTTAATTAAAATAAAATTGAAAGTTGTAAATTTTTTGTATATATTATTTAATTATATAAGATTTTTTTATAAGTATAAAATAAAAAAAGTAAAAATTAAAAAAAATAAATTAAATTTTATAAGTAGCGACTTTAAACAGCGAAGGTCCCTTTAATAAACTTTATGTAAGAATCATTAAAGTTTTTGTTGAGAAGAAAAAAAATAACAATTTTTTTTGAAAGTCGTTTAAATTAAATAACTTTGATCTTTACTTATGTTTTTATATTATTGAAACGCATTTAAATAAAGTAACAAATCGCTGCCAATAATTTTTTATAAAAACAATAATGAATAATATATATATTTTTATATTTCTATAAGTATTTATTATAAATGTTATTAAATAAAAAAAAATTATATCAACTTTTTCAACTAACGATTTAATTATTTTTTCTTTTGTGCAAAGAATTGTTAAGAATCTTTTTTTAAACTTTTAAATGTGCGCGTTTATTAAACAATTGTTAGATATGAGTTGTTATTTTATTTGTAAAAGGTTTTGCATAATATTATATTATAAAAAGATTAGTAAAGATAAATGATTCAAAGTTATTTATTCCAATTGTTATTTAGATAATCTTATTGTTATACTTTATTATTTATTTTAGTTAAGTTTTAATTTTATTTTGGTTATTTTAATTTTAGTTATTTTTATTTTGTTTTTCGTTATTTTTTTTTACAAAGATTTATTTGCTTCTTTAACGATAAGTTTTTTTTAAAGTTTCTTTATAGTTAAGTTCCAAGATTTACAAAATAATTTTTTTATGTACAGATATAACAACGCAACCTGGTCCATCAATCACTTATCGAACAATTGGTGGTATCTTAGATTTCTATTTTTTTTTGGGACCTACTCCAGAAGATGTCGTGCAACAATACACAGAGGTAATTTTAAACGTTTTATATTTCTAGATATTTTGAGCTTATTAGATTCATATTTCCAAAAATCTCCTACTTTAATTTTTTAACTCCCAACACACTTCAACCTTATCAGTTTACTTGCTTTTTCCGGAATCTGTGTCCTCCAACCTCTTTCTAATCTTGTATTATATATTATAAATTATAATTTTTAAGTTTATAACTTATAATTCTTATAATTCTTAAGTTTCAGAGGTAAAAATATTTTTTTTACATAATATTATATTTATTTTAATTATTCTTTGTGGCTTTATATATAAACTAAATAATATATGTATAAAAATTATTTTATATATACATATATGTATATATATATATATATATATATATATATATATATATATATATATATATATATTATATATATATATATATATATATATATATATACACTTTTTATATATACTAGCAAAAGGCAACCCGTAATACGGGTTTTGGTCGGTCTGTTACATAATTAATTTATAGTAGCTGTTTTCCACAATTTAATCTTGCAAAACCTTAACTAATACCCTTTTAGAAAATTGCCTTCAGCTTAAAAAAATTAATCCATCTGTAAAATTAACATAAAAATTATGAGGAGGTAAAATAATTTACCAACTACTACTTAACATTATTAAGTAATTTACAAATAGCACAGGTCATAACAGTGTAAGGCAGAACCATTTTCATCGACCTTCCTAAGTTTAACACAATACGTTTTTAGTTATTGACGCAAAATAATAACACTTGGTTATACTTTAAATTGACGAAAGTGTCAACTAAGTCCTTAAAATAATTTTTATAACACGAACCATTAAGATTAAAATGAAGTTAATTTATATTATACAGGAGTTATCAATTTTTTGTTATCCCCTTGATTAATTGTTCTTTAGAAAAGAAAATTGGTAACTTAAAAATGTTAAATGCACACGTTTAAATAAATTTATAAAAAATAACAAAGTTTATTATACTACGCAACTGAGTACAAATACCTTTCAAACAAAAGAAAATTTAATTTACGATCAAACATAGGTATAACTAATTTTTTAATACATTAATGCATCATAGAACAAACTAAAATAAAAATTATAAGAGATAAGTAGACATAAAAATTTGTAAACCAAGCTGACCCGACCCGGGTCTTGTTAAGTCTGTTCAACACAGACCATTTGTGTATCATTTATTTGGCCTCTTTATTTTATTAAATTTTTAGTAAACGGTAATTTGCCACCATTTACTAAAAATTCCTTTTGTAACTCGAAATTTAATTTTTCTAAATATTTGGGCTCTAATAAAGAGGTTCCTTCCCTCTTTTTGTTTTAATGGTGGCCTGGTGAATAAAATAAAATATTAAATTGTAAAACAATGATCTACTTATATAAAAATGTTTTCTTTCTTTCCTCAAAAGTGTTGCTAATACAGACTAAGCTAACTAATTAGTTAAACACATAAATAAAACTTAAGTAACTCGATATTAATGCGCAAAACTACAATATTCTCCGTATTTTTAAAGGTTTTTAGTTACGACTGCCCATTCAACCCATACGACCCCCCAATCAATTCTCTCTCTACAATTCTCAATACTAATTCTTATTTAAGTCTCATCTAAGAGAGAGAGGAAGTGTTTTAAAAACACCATGTTAGAAAAAGTAAAAAAGTCATGCAATAAATAACAGTAACTGGTTTTATTATGCTACCAATAAACAAAATTATTTTTACCTTAACTAAAAGTTAATTTCCAGCATTTCTTAATTTATTTCCAGCTTCTCTCTAACTGTTGACAAACGATTAATATTGTAAATTTTACATCATATTAAATTTACAAAATTAAAACCATGTTTTAACAGTAAGCAAAATAATCAAGTGATGACAAAGACAACTAAAAAAAAAATGAACAATTATATTAAGATTACAAAAGTAAAAAAAAAAAAAAAAAAAAAAAAAAAAAAAAAAAATATCATTTAAAACTGAAATTTTTATTATTTGTTACTATAAATAGTAAAATTCATACTTTGCTTTATTTTAAAGTGTCTAATGTAAAGTCAAATAATAGACATCAACAGCGCTTGACACTCAATTCTGCCAAGTAAGTTTTTGGTTCATCAAGCAAAATTTCTTATATTTCAACGACAATTAATTTTATCATGCCTAGATCTATTTCTTTCATATGACAACAATTTCAAGTCACCTATAACCATTTACACTAATAACTTCTTCGAGCCTAATATTATAAATCTGTTATCATTAAATATATATTACCAGTGGTTATGCTACTGTTACAACTGAATAAATGAACGTTTTATATTTTTACAACTGAAAAATATAAAACAAAATTTATTTACATTATTTTAATTTAGCAAAGAATTTAGAACACAGTGCAAAGTTATTTGCATTGTGTTCTAAATTCTTTGCTAAATTAAGAAAGCCTTCAGGCACAATCTTAATGCACAAAAATAATAAATGCAGAATCTTGTATAAAAAATGAAGCAATGTCAGTCTAAAGTAATATATATGTATGTATATATATTCAAATTTTTTCTATTCTTAATTTTTTCTTTGAGATAATATTCATATAGATTCAGAGAAATATAAAATATTCCGATATATAGGCACATTTAAGTATATAAACTTACCTGTCAAAAATTACAGTCAGTTTTTCATGTTAAATACATAAAATATATATCTAATATAAAATTAAACAGAAAATTAAACTTACTCAAATCAGTAACAGTTCGACTGTCTAAATATTTTTATTATTAACCCTTCTATTTAAAAAATAAAAACAAATGATTTGAAGTAACTAAAAAGCACTTTAGCTCTTTCCAATTGCACTAAAAAATAAAATAAATCTTGCTTGCTAAGTTGATTAATTCTTAAGAATCTGATAACAAATAAGTAAAAAACCAAGAACAAACAAACATTTATTTACTAAAACTACTCTATTTAAACAAATTAAAGTATACAGAGAACAACATTGATACTCCTTGAAAGCTGAAAAACTTTTTATCTCAAATTTGCTTGTAGACCTTGCTTATGAAACCACTTGAATAAGAAAAGCATCAAAAAAGCCTAGAAGCTGGTATATGCTACATTGAATTTTAAATGTTGATTGGTGTAGATATTTTTAAAAAATTCAAAATGATTTGTTCTTCTATAGCAAATAAATACACCATAAATCTGAAGTTAAAAATGTAATGAATAAGTAAATACAAAGAAAAACATCTTATGTGAATTAAAAATCAATGTACCTGATAGAGATAAATACGTGTATGTGGTGATACCTGAGTAGTATCACCACATACACGTATTTATCAAAAAAAATTTAACTTTAATCATAATATAAATGCAAACATATATGCAAACTTTTAACAACTATAAAAGAACATTTATTAGCATCAATTATTTTTAATGTAACAAAGAATGCAGACTACAATGCACGACATTGTTAATAAAAATGAAGTTATGTCAGTCAGTATATATTTATCTAAAGTAGTGAAAAAGAATAAACCATTTAAAAACAAAATTAAAAATTTTTAATGAATATATATTTAGATACCTTAAAATGAAGCATAACACAACACTCTTTTGACAAATTCCAGAGCAAATTTTTAAAATTTTTCTATTCCTTATTATTTTATTCCTTATATCGATAAAATACATATTAAATGCCACATTCAACTAATGTAATTAATACCTTATTTAGATCTCTCTTGATTAACTAAAGAATTTAAATTTTAAATAAACTCTAACCAAATTTTAACAAACAAACAACCAAAATAAATCCTCATATTAATAGTACGTTATTAAGTTGAGTAATAGATCAAACAATTTAATCTACTCTAATAATCTACTACCTTATTAATAATCTTTAATTTTTTTTCTACGACTCAGTGTAACTATAATATAGATATTTTTAAAGTAAAAAAGAATTTAATATTATAATATATATGATTTAAAAAACCTGAAATTTTAAATCTACCTCGAAGAAAACAGATATATAATAAAAAGTATTTTTATTTCTTTTTAAAAATTTTAAAATGCTTTATAACTTACTTGTTTCATATTATTACCAACGTCTAAATAGAAAAACAAAGATATATGAGTTATATATAGGATTTTAAAATATATATGATTTTAAAAAACTGAAACTTTAAATCTACCTCAAAGAAAACAGAGATATATTGAAAAGTATTTTTATTTCTTTTTAAAAATTTAAAAATGCTTTTTAACTTACTTGCTTCAATATTGTCATCATCTAAATAGAAAAACAAACAAACATTTAAGTCGACTTATTCTTAAATCTAGTTTAATTTCTTCAATAATAAAAAAAAATTTAATCTTTGAGGATTAAATTCATTTACAAAAATCCGTTTAAACCATTTTAACATTGTTAAGTTAATTTAAAGTTTTAAAAAACTGAAACTTTAATTCTACCTCAAAGAAAACAGATATATATTGAAAAGTATTTTTATTTCTTTTTAAAAATTTAAAAAGACTTCTAAACTTACTCCCTTCAATATAATTATATAATATATATAGTATATATGATAAATAAACCTCCACAATTTCCTTGGTTTAACAACTCGATTATGATTTATAACAACTCTGTAAACATAAATTTTCTAATAACCTAAATAAATTACAGATAGACAAACATAAACTAACACAATTAAATCCTAAACCAAAATTCATTCATGCAAGACAAATAATTTTATATTTATTGAAGAGCCAGAAACATTTTTTTTCAAAGAGCTAAAGTATTAACAATATTAAAGACAAATTTTATTTATAACAAAATTTTCAATAAAAATTAAATTAAGATAAATTTATAACAAAATGTTGTCATGGCTTTTATCCCAATAACCAAAACTAAGTGAAAGTATGAAACTACCCATAAATATATTTTAACGCTAGACACAAATTAAGAATTAAAGTAATCTATAACACGAAGCTTTAAATTTAAAGTTACAATTTAAAAAAGATTACAATAAATTAATTACTTTTAAATTTAAAAAAAAATTTAGATTACCTATAATTTTAAGCTACTAAACATTATCTACTTAATGTCAACTTAGATATTTTGAACTTGTACCATGAAAGGTTGAAGGGAAATCTGTAAGTAAGCACGCGGTAAAGAAAAGTCTAGAAACTACTTAAAAAGTGTATTTTACAGATACAGAACCGTACCGTAACTATAAAACAATACGCGTAACTATGCGCACTATTAATATTCATAGGCTATTCATTATAGGCGATATATATATACTTTTTATATATATATATATATACTTTTTATATATAAAAGCAATAATAACTGTATAAAATATAACAAACTAATAATAATGATATCAGTTTAAATTACAATTAAAATTGTAATATAATAAGGTTAAATTAAAAATCATTTTTTTATTTAATAATTTTCCATCAACATCTTGGTTATATAATATTAGTAGTAGTAGTAAAAGATTTTTTGCTTGCAAAGCCAGTGAGTGTGTTTTCATGCACTTTGACATGCATGATTGCTTCTCAACCAGCAATCAAGAACGACTTTAAAATTATCAACCTATTGTGCTGTTATGAATTCATTTGGTAGCAAGTTCCACAGATTCGTAATTCTATTCAAAAAGAAATGTTCTCTTAATGGAAGTTATGCAAATTCTTTGTAATATTTAAAACAGTTACCTCTCAAGTTGTTATTTAGAAATGAAAAACTTTTGTTGATTTCTATATTTTTAATGCTATGAACAAATTTATGTAATTGAGTCAAGTTACCTCTTTTTCTTCTTACATTCAAAGTGGTCAAGTCTAAATAAACAAATCGATCTTCATATGTAAGGTTTCTTATTAAATGTACAATGTTTGTTGCTCTTTGTTACACTCTTTCAATATCATCACAATCTCTGTTTAGATACAGAGACCAAACTAGAATAGCAAACTCTAAAAGAGGACGAATAAATGTAAAATAAAGGAAATGTAAAAGTTTACAATGAAATCTAGCGAATGATTTTTTTACTCGTCCTAGCATCTGGTCTGCTTTACTGATTGCCTTGGTGACTTGATCCTTCCATTTAAGATTTGTATTGAAATAATACCAAGATCTCTGATTTCGATTCCAGCAGTTGAACACCATAAATAAAAAGGGGACCCCTTTTGTTATTTGAACCATAATGCATGACAGATCATTTATTTATGTTAAATCTTAATAGCCAATCTTCAATCCATTTAAAGGCTCTATCTAAGTCATTTTGAATTTCTCACACACACAGATCAGAATTCAAATTTGATAAAATCTTAGTATCATCTGCATATAAACTTGTGATGTTTTCATTATCATAGGTAAGTTGCTAATATAAATAAGAAAAAAGAAAGGACCAGTATCTGAACCTTGCGGCACACCACTTAAAATGTTGATCCAGCTAGACACAATTTCACTTCTAACTATTCCTTGTCATCTATTTGTTAGGAACGATTCAATCCATTTCAAAACAAGACCAGTGATTCCAGATGCTTTTAGCTTTAATATCAGTTAGGGGTTGGCAAAAACCGGAAAATTTCAAAAAAACGGTTTTTGGTTTTTTCAAATTGTAAAACCGGATAATCGGTTTTTAATTGGTTTTTTATTATGAAAGATGGGGTGTATGATTTTGAAATTGTTATTTAACAATCTCAAATTAAAACAATTAAACAGCAATAACAAAAAAGTTAAGCAACAAACGAAATGAAACAACAAACAAAAATATCTAAAAGTTGACAAAGTATTTCAAGTAAGTGTTACTTGTCTTTTGTGGATTGTTTTGATTATTATAATTATTTCAAAGTTTGAAAATTGTTGAAAGATTCTGTCAGTATGTAATTTAAAAATAACTAGTAAAAAAAATGTAATACCAAGGTGGTATAATTGAATTGAGGGAGAATGAAGCCAAAAATCATTTAAAATTGTAGTCTTCATTGTATAATTATTCCAGCGGATAGTCAAAATTTTACCTTTGCGTTGAAAAAGGAAAATTTTTTAATGTAGTTTGTAAACTTTGTAAGCTGAAATCAAAATGGTATCCGATGAGTTAAGGCACCGATTAGCATAATACCGATTATGTAATCAAAATCTTCGATCATTTTATCGAAGCGTGCTTAGCGTTTAAGTTGTAAGGACGTATTTTGTTGTGTTATATTTAAGAATTTTATATCAATATAGACTTTTTTTTAAAATTAGAAGAGTTAAACTTCATGTTACTGCTAAGATTATTCCTTGAAAAACTTTAACTTTGTTTTCCCTTCAGTCTATTTTATCTCATTGATAAAACTGAATGCAATATTAAAGTGCTTTTTAAAACTATTTATATTTTCATGATTTTTGTGTCCATGATACTTGTTAGCTTGTTAAAACAAGAAATATTTTAACTATTTATGTATTTAGTAATGTATAATTAACAACCGGTTTTTTAAGAAGAAAAAATCTGTACAAAAACTGGTTAACCCGTTGCGGTTTTCACCGGTTGCCAAGTCCTATTATCACTCTTTTATGGGCAGCAGTATTAAAAGCTTTTGCGAAATCTAGCAAAACAACATCAACTGGTGTACCCTTTCTATGTATAATGTTATAAAATCAATAGTTTCTAGTAAATTTGTTGTACACAACTTTTTCTTCACAAACCCATGTTGCTGTTGCGCTATCATAAAAATGTTTTTCAATTTTACTTCCGGCTATTTTCTCTAGTATCTTACACAGAACTGAAGTGAGGAAAACTGGTCAATAATTTGTTGCTACTATTTGATCACCTTTTTTGTAAAGTGGAGTTATCAGATCTAAATTGAATTGGCAGTTGACTAGTAACTGAATATTCCCTAAAAATTAATGTAAGTGGTAGAGTAAAAACATTTAATGAATTTTTGAGCAGTGCCGGTAGTGCAGATTAACCTTAATTTTGTTCACAATGCTATGTTCACAGGCCAATTAACCTTAATTTTGTTCACAAATCTGTTTTGTGATGATTTTTTTTTTAAATTCGTGAGTTCGTTTTGTGATTGATTTTTGTTTCTTGTTCTACTTCAAACGTGAATTATTAAATAAATATATCTTTTTTAGATCCAAAATTTTAAATATAATACAGTCTTGGAAAAAAGTTTAAGACCACCACATATAAATGCTATACTTTGGTGCCTAAAATAAAATGCTATAACTTGGTGCTATAATTTGGTGCTACTTTTGATTTTAGCTGCTGTGGACATTATTTTAATGCATTTATTTTTTATTTTTTAACCAATTTTTTTTGTACTGTAATAATTTTTTCATTAAATTTTCAGTTTTTTGCAAGTGGTTTTAAACTTTTTCCAAGACTGTATAATCGTATATAAGATTTATATATCATATAAATTATAAAATTAGTTACAATTTTTGTATTTAGGGTGTTCAAGAAAGTGTTTCACTGTTATTTATTATACTCCAAATAATTTTCTTTAGTTTGTTGGGAGACCTGTGTTTCCTGCATATTGGGCACTTGGATTTCAGTTGTGTCGATATGGTTATGATAGTTTGGCTGAAGTTAAACGTACTGTAGATGAAATGTCTAAATATGACATTCCACAAGTAAAGAACTTTTGTTTGAAATTCACTTAAAACTACTTTAATTTTCCAGAAATTTCTGGATGTTTTTTGTTATTAATTTGAAAAAAAATTAATATGTTTTTACATAAAATTTTAAATACTGCATTTTTTGCATTTAAACAAATATGTTATCTATAATTAAAATTTTCACGAGATTTTTTTCCTTTTTTTTTTTGCTTTTTAATTCATTCAAATTAACTTTCGAAAATTAAAAATGCCTTTTTGTAAAAAGTTAATCTAAATTTTGTTCTAAAAGTTTACAAAAGTTTTTGTTGTCTGTTAATATGATCAATTTTTAATAAAATATTTTTCGGTATTTTTATTAATAAAAATTTCCAGGATTTTCATAAAGTCAAATACTCATCTATGAATAATATAATAGTATTTAAAATATTATTTATGATTAATAATAATATTATTATTTAATATTATTAATAATATTAATGACTGTAAGTATAATGATATTTAACTATTATTAATGACTATTAATAACAGCTATTAATAATATTAATGACTATTAATAACAGCTATTAATATTATTAATGACTATTAATAACAGCTATTAATAATATTAATAACATTTAATAACAGCTATTAGAACAAAAATTAATAAATAAGAAGTATCTTGCAATTATAAAAAAGTTTAAAGTATAAAAAAGATTTCTTTAAAAAAATATAAATTTTTAAAAAAGGAAACTATAAAAAAAATATGATATTTTATTATTTTTAACAAAAATGTATTTATAAATTTTTGAAAAAAATTGATATTTTTTATTCTTACATCTGAAGTTTTTCAGATTAAATCAAAGCGTAACTTTATGTTAATTTTTAATATATAATTTGAAACGTTGCTAAATCAAATAGAAAAATCAAAATAAAAAATGTTCCGTAAAAACAGTTTCCTAAATTTATTTATTATATATTTATATTAATTGCATAGACAAGTTTGTTTTTTTAAATGAAGTTACAATTATTGATTTGATTTCACTTTCAAAGTCTTGAGCAATATACAATTGAGCAGTTCTTCAGTTTTTTGTATTGAATCTGAATGACTCAATTTTTTTTTTTGCAATCTGACAATTAATAGCATTGAATCTAATTAATCTACTGCCAAAGCCAGCACAACAATTCCAAGACCAAATAAAAAAAATTAAATCTAATCAGTCTACTTTTGTATGGTTACTTAAAAATATGCAGACCTTTAGAAACCCACTACCTTTATTAATGCCTACTTTGATCATACTTTGCTAAAAAACAACTATAGATTTTACCTGCTCAAGTTCAGAAAAAAGCATCTGTTTTCTTGTGACTGTTTTAAAAAAAAACCATCTCTAGAGTGGATTGAAACCTGCTGAGTTACTTTTAATTTTTTAGAGTTGACGCTTTTTTAACAGTCAACTCACTTCACTTGTTGATATAACCATTTGATCTTCCATCTTCAAATGCTGCAAATTTTATTCGCTAAATGTTTTTTAAAATTTGATAAGATCATGTCTAATACCTGGATACCAAAAACTGGTATCCCGGTATTTCAGTTATTTTTCTCATTGGATAGATTTTGTGCGTGTTTAGACTTGGAGATTTTTAGAGAGTTATAAGCGCGAAAATATCACTAAAGAAAACTTTGATTATAAAAATGGATTAAAAAAAGACTTTCTTAGATGAAGAAAGCTTTTTTTTAATATTTAGTTACCAAAATATTAAATAAGTTACATTTATATTTTGAAATATTAAACTCTTTTAATAATTAGTTGAAATATCTAAGCGAGGAAAATATCACCGAAGAGAACTTAGATTATTGAAATAAAAAAAACCCTTTCTTAGATAGATATATTTTTTTTTAATATTTAGTTACCTGTTTGCATAAATTTTTTAAAATTATATAATTAGATATTTTTTGGAAAGAATTTTTTTTTTCACTTTGTTTTTTAACAACAACAACAAATAAAGACAAAAAATAAATTTAAAAAGAATAAATATATAACACTCATGTTTTCAAAGTCAAGATAAAAAAACATAACAACATCTCTATATAATATAGAGATTCTATTATGTTTTTCCATATAATATAATTATATTAAGTTCGTATAATATCTTTATCTTCCTATTTACAAATTTTTGATATTTATATATTTTGTATTTCAATATTATTTATCATAATTCAAATTCTAGTATTCTAAAACTTGCGCCCTAGCCATGGTCGATAAAACAAAAGTATTTGAAGATTTTGAAATAAGACTTCAGGACAAAAACTCAATACTGTTGCAATAGCTCCAGGCTTTTTACAAGACTTTGCGCAAAAAGTCTAGAGCTATAACCAAATGTAAAAAATGTGCTAGAGAAATCAAGAATTGTGGTGGCTCGACTAGTGGACATGTACATTTAAGGATTCCTACCAAATAAATTTATTTAAATGTTATCCAGTTGAAGTTTCAATTTCATTATCTACTGCTGGTGTTTCCACTACATCCGATTTGCAACTCGCTAGACCCAGAAATAAAATTTTAACTTATTTTACAAAAAGTGAAGACAAAAATACACTGCCGAATGCTTTAGCTATAATGACGGCTACCAATGGCTTGCCATTCAGAGTTTTTATAACATACAATGAGCTAAGAAAATTGCTTATAGCTCGAGGTTTTATCATGCCAAAATTATCCAAATCCATTTGTCAAATAGTTAAAAAATATGCTACTAAAATTCGAAACTCAAAATAAAAGAATTATCTGAACTTCAACAGCAAGGAAACCCATTTTGTCTTATGTTTGACGAGTGGACTTCTATAAAAAATAGTTGTTATTTGAACATTAATGTTCGTTCTAGAAACAGATTTTAGAATTTGGGTTTAGCATGAGTTAATGGACATTTCCCACCTGAAATGTGTGTTAAGTTAATTGACAAGTTACTAAAAGAACACAACTTATAAATTGATCGCGATAACGTATGTATTACCACAGATAGTGCTTCGGTAATGAAGAAAGTAGGATGATTAATGTCCATTGACCAACAGTAACCATTATTAAGTTGGGAGTTACTAGAAAAAAAGAATAAAGTTATAGAGCAAAAAAATTGTTGACAGAAGACTTAAAAAGTTTAAGGTTGTATGAGTCAGGAAAACATGAAGATAGGAGAGAGTTCCAAAGAGTTGAAGTGCAGGTAAAAAAATAAGCAAATAAAAGTTTTTGGAGCATGTAGGGACAGATACAGTAAAATAATGAGACTTTGATGAATAGTGTGTCAAGTAAAAATGAGTTCAGTTGATTTAGTTTTAGTTGGAACTAGAGATAATAGCTTTATTGAGCAGCAACCATAATAGTATTTGTAGAAAAAAGAAAGAGATGCAACTTTACGACAATGGGAAAGAGGCTCAAGCTTAGTAGATAGACCAGGTCCAACTTTGTTTACAATGGGTTTTTGGACCTTGTCTAGAAGAGAAAAAGCACCATTAGAAGAACCAGCCCAAATATGACAATAGTATTCCATATAGGGGTGAATAAGAAATTTGTAGAAATAGAGAATGGAATCAGGGGAGTTAAAATGGCGAGCATGATAAAGAGAAGATGGATTAGATTTGGACGGATTAAGAATTTTTCAGAGCTTACCATATTCAAATGAACTTGTAAATAATTAGTCTCCATTGATAAGCAAAAGTTGTAAAGCTGTTTAGACGATCACCGGTAAAAAATGAAATCCCTCAAGTTTATATAAATACTGAACATGGTAAAGAACTGTCATTAATATTAAATAATAAGACCAGACTTACTTTTTATGCTAGAACATTTTTAAAAATTAAAAAATTCTATTCAAAAAGACCTGATTGACTTAAATTCAGCTATTCAAACTTTACATAAAAATTTCAATGTTCAAGTTTGAACTTTTTTCTCCTAATAGTTCAAACTTTTAAGTTTTAAAAAAAGATTAGTCTTTTCATTAATTTTTGTGAAACAAGCTGAAATATAAGTAAAAATTAAAAATTTGAATATTTTTTTGTTTTTTTTTTGTTTTGTGTTTCTCTGCAAACTCTAAAAATATAATCAAAATTACGTCACCTGTAGCACCATCACATTTAACTTAGGATTGGTTTTTTCCTGTTAAAAAGTAGTTAAACAGTGACTGGTACTTTTTCACCATTTGACCAATGTTTGTTTGCGTTAGAAATTAAAATTATAAAGAGTTTTAAGTTCAAACAAAAATTGGCTACTCAGCGTTAGTACATCTAAAAGATTTGAAATTTAGGAGTATTTTCATTTGTTGCCAAAAGCTGCAACGAGCAAAATAAGCCTCAAAACGCACTTTTACAATACACTTGTTTTGTAAAAGTGCGCGTTGAAATAAATACAAGATAGAGGTTCTCAAATATAATAGCATCAATAAAAATTAAGTTAATAAAATAATAATTTAGTACATAAAAATGATATAATTGTTAAACCCAGTTGTTTTAAATCATGGTAATCAGTTTGATAACAAAATAAAAAGAAATAATATAGATAATTTTGTAAATTAATCTTATTCAAAGATTATTCCAGCTTAGAAAGGTAGACTCGATATTAATAAAAAAGCCAAAAATTGTAACAATATCAGAAATTTTAATAAAAAATTGACTCTAGCTAAAGAACCAAAATTTTTTTATTAAAATATATGATTTTTAAATGGTATGATCTTGTGAAAGGGCTCTCTGGCCTTGGATTGTTTTTGCTTGGAAAAAGAAACTGGTTGGAGGATGATACCTTGCATTTACTTTTTATAAACAAATGAAAAGTCTTTAAAAATAAATCAACAGTTTTGTGTTTTACTTGTACTCTTTTGTTTTCAATTTCAAATAAATGAAAATTATTTTAAAAAGTTTGAAAAAGTTTGAACTTTTTTCCTAAATAGTTGAAGTTGGGTGTAGAGGGTAGGGTGTAGGGTGTAGAGGCTTTAGAGGGTAGGGTGTAGGGTAGATGTCAGAGAGATATGAGGTTTGAGGGTAGGGTGTAGGGTGTAGATGTCAGAGAGATGCTATTCTTCTATTAACTGATACTACTTTAAAATTTATGTTGCAAAATTCGAGCCTATTACTATTAAGTAACAATATGAAGACCTTGATTAAAAAAATAAAAGAAAGATGCACAAATTTATTTTATCTTATTCAATATCTTCATAAAGGAGATCAAGCCCAAAATAATTTTGGTTCAGATATCATATTTGATTGGCTAACTAAAACTACTTTGGTAAATTTAATTGTGCATTTTACCCAGTGGCTCTCATCCGTCCAAGCTAAAGCTACAATTGCTATTGGAAACAGATAATGATAAAGATACCATAATGTGCGAAGGCAAACCTTGACATTACAGGAGAAGCTGGACATTGCCAAAAATAATGCGATGAAAACGGTACCAAAAACAAATCGAAATATTACTGATTTGACTAAAATGATTTCTATATTTCAGGAAGATGGTACATATAGTACCTACTTAAAGTTGGTATACCAATAAATTTTAATTATTCCCCTAATGATTGTATAAAATTTTTCTTCATCAGGAATGTTATGTACAAAAATTCGATCATCTTTAAATGACTAAACTTAAATAATTTATGTTTTTTGCAGGTCTATTTCAATAATAAATAATTATATATATATATATATATATATATATATATATATATATATATATATATATATATATATATATATATATATATATATATATATATTTTAAATGAATTAATTTTATATATTACTTTAACTTAAACAATAAAGTGTTTGAGCTGTTTATTTATTGTTTTGGGTTATAACTACTTTTTTGAGTATTTGTAAATACTGTTATTAATACAAGTATATCAGTTTTCACTAAATTTAATACAAAAAAATGGTATTTAATTTTTGATCCGGTATTGGAAGCCCTTATTATACATAAACTGCATTTAATACTCTATTTTTGGAAACACCCTTATTAAAATTAAAAATAAATAATATATATATTAAAAAAAAAAATTATATTAATAATAATAATAATAATAAAATAGTAATAACTGCAATAATAATTATAAAAATAAAAATGCCTATTCAATTTAATTCAAAGAATATCAGTAGAATAGTTCAGAATGTGAGAATGTCAGTAGAAATAGTTCAGAATGTTTTTTGTTTTTTTTTATTGATTATTATTTTCAGTTAAATATTATTTTTTTAAGGATGTTCAATATGGTGATATTGATTACATGGAAAGACAACTTGATTTTACTTACAACAATAAGACATATGATGGTCTTCCTCAATATGTAAAAGATATTAAAGAAAAAGGAATAAAATATATAACTATTTTAGTAAGTAATAATATTATTCAAAAAAGTTTTCTATGTTATTTTGTAATCAAGATCAAAACAATCAGCGCAAGTGTTCTGACATTTAACATTTTAACTTGCAACAATTTTTAAGAAATTTTTATTTCAACTTAATATTTTGATTTAATTAAATTGTGAAAGTATTAATTACCTTTATCCCTCTCTTTTTTGAGATGTGGTTTTTATTATCTTAAAGGATTAGCTTTAGCCCTATACAAATTTTATTCTTCTATCCATCTTTTATATGGATGAATCTTTTACTTATTTTAATTACTCTAAATATATATAATATAAAAAATAATATTCATTCAAGTTTATATTTATCTTTTTTTTTCTTTTTTTTAAGTTCTAATTCACTCTTAACAAGGTTGCAGACAACAACTATTAATTTGGGAGTTACAAAACAAAGAGTTAAAAAGCAAGAAAACAGTTGATTGCATTTAAAAATGATGTAGGTTTTATGAGCCAGAAAAACATGAAGATGATAGAGAGAGTTCCAAAGGGTTGAAGTGTGAGTAAAAAAACTAAACACATAAAAGTTTTTAGAGTATGCAGGGACAAATACAGTAAAATGATTTTTACCTGATGGAACTAGAGATAATAATTCCTTTAAGCAGCGACCATTGAAAATATTTGTAGAAAAGAGAAAGAGATGCAACTTTACAACTATGGGAGATAGGCTCAAGTTTGGCTGATAAAGCTACATTTACCATGCATTTTTAGACATTGTCTAAAATAAAAAAGAAATAATTAGAAAAACTAGTCCAAATATAAAAATATTATTTCACACAGAAATAAATAAGATATTCATAGAGGTATAGAATGGAATCAGGAGTAAGATAATGGCAAGCATGAAAGTAATAAGCAACCTTTGCAGATGCTAATTTTGCAATCAATTGTATATATGGTTTCCATTAGAGGTCAGTAGTGAATTAAAATCCATATTGAAGTAAAGAAGAGGCTTTATAAATAGCCAGCTCAGAAGGTTGCTATTTATTATTAAAGGAATGTCAATAATATTGCAATAGTTGTTTGCAGTAATAAACTAAGTTTTGTTTCAGATGTGTCAAGCCTCAGATAGGTCAAGAGCAACACGCCTTGCCTTGCTGCTTCTATCTAATGCGTGATAGAATCTTTCAGTCACAGCAGTTACAGGCTTGGACAGGAATGGCGTGCGATCGCACTCTGTAACAGACCACACTAATTTTTTTTTTTCTTTACAACTTGACCATGGCTATTTTGATGTTTTAACAATTTAAATGCAATAAAAAGTGTTTCCTTATGAATAACTTTTAATTGTTGATCTTTTCTAAAAATAATTTTTACGCGAAAGCTTTAAAATAAAATCATATAATTAATAATTTTTTTAATGATTGTTTACATAAACACGTGTGTAAATTAATAAAAAATGTTATATGAAATTTTTTTTTATTTAGCATGTATATTTCACGATAAATTTAAACGTTTGAAATTATTTTCCCATGTCTTCCTAAAAATCTTTTAAAGCATTAATTTTAAGAAGTTTTTTTTAAGTTATTTTAATTTATGAATTAGTTCAAAACCTTTTGCGGCTACTAGCTTTTACACATTTTATGTGAATTATACAAGAATATAAAATACTTTATTTACTTATATACACATGTATTTTGTTGATTAATGGAAAAGTTTTGAAGCATTTTGTAATGTTCATACGATTAATTTTTATAAATAATGTTACGATTTTCTTTTTTAATTATGATAGGAATGAATGAGTTGAAATCATTTATAATAATTTTTATAATTCTTATTAATAAAGTTGTAATGCTCAAATTAAAATTAAATTAAATTGCTTGTTTTGAGTTTGTTTTATTTAATTTGCAGGCGCATTTTATTTATTTATTTTTACAAATAAAATAGTGGGAAATCTTTTTTTAACTAGACATTAATTAGAGCATAAAATTATTAAAAATTACTATTTTAAAAAGACTACGTTACTTAAAAAAGTTTAGAAGAAATTGAAGCGTTTTGAAAAACGCTTTTGTAAGACTATGACAGGAATATTGTCTGGACCACAAGCCTTAGCTAAAATTTAATTGAGATATGACTTTAGCAACAGAAGCTGGAGTGATTTGAATGTCTAATAATCAGGCTTGGTCAGGAAGCAGGAGCGATCGCTCTCAAATACTGACCACGGAAATAATATTTAGTTGCGAAAAACTGGCTAGCTTTTTTAATCGTTTTGAGAACATTTTGTTTATGTATGTAACAAAAAACTTTTGTTTTTGGACATACATGGAAACATAATAAACTTGAATGTTCTCAAAACATCTTGATGCGGAAAAATAAAAAGAATATTCGCAAACACTAAAAACCCGCAAAAAATATGCTGACTAAGCAAAACAAAGTTCTAGAGTATTCTGTTAAAATGTTTAAGAAGTTGTATTATTTACAACTTGTTACATTTTGAGATTTCTAGCATAAATTGTTTTAAGAATATATTATCAAACGAACTTTAATACTATGGCTCATTCTCGGAGCCACATCTGCAAAATCATAAATCTTTCAAACTATTATTATTTGTTTACAAAAATAAATGTTTTATATATTTTTTAGATTGTCAAAATTTTGAAAGTTTATTATAAATTATAGATTTTATTAGTATATTCTTTTTTTTTATTTAAAAAGTATGTATTTACTATGTAAATGTAATTTTGTGTATCTATTTTTTATTGTAATGTAATCTTTTAAAGCAATTTTTATGATTTACTTTGTAAACAAAAACTTTGTTTGATTGCATGATTGCATTTTTAATGAAGTTATTAATAATCATCAAAGTTAATAAAACTAATTATGTAATAAACATATAAGAAGTTTCTGGTTTCCAAACACAAACATGCATTCAAAGTAACTCGCGGATGAATAGCATCGCGCCTGAGGTCACGACAGAACACAAATATATATAGCAAGTTATTAGATATAAAGAAAAGTTTTTAGATATTGGTTTACTAACTCAAATTATTTTCGCTTCAGTTGCCATTCTTAAAAACTCGTTATACTTTTTTCTGAAATAAATAATAAATTAAATTAAAAAGCCCACTCACTAAACATTGTCAGCGATATTGTGAAGCACTTTCGCTTCCTTGTCATAAAGTATTTTTAACCTTTTTAGTTGATTTCTATCTAGTTAATTTAATTTCTATAGTAATTCAATGATTTAATTATTTCATTTGTTCATCTTTCTAAGAAGAGTTGTTTCAAATATGTTAAACTTTTCAAACTACACGAAGCATAAAATAGTTATTAAAAAAATTAGCTTTTTTTATTATAAAATAATTTAGCTTAGATAAAACTAAAACTTGTGTTAGTTTTATTAGAATCTTGTTAGACTTTTCGGGGCCGGGGGCTATTTTTATTTTGGATGCCTTTTTATGCGCTGCAGCGTAAAAATGACTAAACAAAAAGATCTTTTTGACTTTTTTGGGGCCCTAACATTGTGGGGCCCGGGGTTTTAGCTCCTCTAACCCCTACCCTTTTTAATCTAACACTGGAAAAGACATGAGTATATAAATAAAAAAATTTTTTTGCTTCCCCTTTCCTCTTATCTCTGGCGTCATTTTGTGGTAATGAAGAAAGGGGGGAGTAAAAACGCAAATATTACAATATTTTAACCACTTTAACTAGTAATAGAAAACTATTGATTGCATTCTTGCTGATGATACGTGTTATTTTTAAAGAGTATTTAATAGTTATTGTAAAAAGCTAAAAAAACAACAATAAAACAAACTGCAAAGTTGTTTTAACAACATAAAGAGCTTGTGTTAATGTAAAACAACTTTGTGACGCTGTTTTATTGCTGTTATATACAGTTTATAACCTTAATAACATAAAACGGGTTTAAAATAAAATGAAGTAAATAAATAGAATTGTTTTAATTAATAAATTATAACATTATTGTCATAATGTTATAATTTATTAAAACAATTCTATTTTTTTAATTAATAAATTGTAACATTATGGCGATAATGTTATAATCTATTATAACATTATCGACATAATGTTATAAATTAAACTCTAAAATTTACTTTTGTGCAAAAACATGCCTATAGACCATACAAGTCTAAAATCTATTGATGAAACAAATAACATCAAGCAAAATAACATTAGATACTGCATTTTTTTATTATTTATTGTTTCTTGATTTAGCGTTAAAAGTTTAGGTATAATTAAGTTTTTCATTCAAATGGTTTTTAAGTTTTGATTTAATTTTTTCATTCATATTGTTTTGCAATAAAATGTGAAACAAAAAATTTATTGTAATATATAAATTTAATAAAGTTTAACATTTCCTTAAGTTTAAGAATATACTTAGATTATTTTTTAGAAACATTACTTTAAACAGAAGTAAAATAGTTTAATATTTTAATTTTTTATAATTTAATTTTTATTTTAACTTTTGCAATAATTAAACCAGTGAGGTTTAATGTTTGCAATAGAATGTTTATTCTTTTAAAACTATTTTTAAGAAACAAAATATAACTCAAAAAGTTTTCAATTTAAATAAAACTTTCTTCCTCACTTTCACTCTATTCTAAATCTGATATTGTTACTGTTGCTAGATGTACGTTTAACTTTCAGCAATGTTTCTTTCTATGCTGGATATTACAGACTTGGTATTAAGGACGCCATTGAATTAAATTTATAGTTGAGAGTTAAAAGTCTTTTAGATTTTTTCAGATTTTTTTTTAATTTGAAATATCAATCGCAAAATTATTTGAATAAGAGCATTTTAGAAAGTTAAAATTCTTTTATTCAAATAGATTGGAATTAAGACAATTGAACTAAGACTGTCTACTGCATATTCAAACAAAGAAATTTTTCAAATAGATTTCTTTTTAAATAAAATTCCCTAAAACAACTTGCGTATTTAAAAAATGGCATCGGTAATGGTAATTGTGTTTTTAATATTCTATTCAAGTTTTCTTCTTAAAATAATTTTTATTTAGAAACTTATATTATGTGTTAACAACATATAAGATATGATTAGAAACATCATATAAGATATAATTAGAAACATTTATTTGACTAATTTTTGTGAGTCTTTGAGTATACTAAGTAAATTAAATAGTTGAGTAACTGTAAATTACTGTAGTAACTTAACTTGTTGTTTTGATTTAGATTAAAGGTAAATTTACTATGATGTATATATCCATTCAGTAAATCAAACTAAAATTTTATTTTGCTAGTTTGTTTAACTCAAACACTTATTGATACGTTGATCAAAAAACAAAAACATGCACATAGAACGTCTAAATATGACCATCGCAGACTAAATTTGAAGGGAAAAACCCAATCTGATTGTGTAAAACTGAAATGAGTTTAAAAACTGTGCAGTGAGCAAAAATATTATTGAAACCAGATGTTTTTTTTAACAGAAAAAACTTTGCAAGTTTGAGAGCCTAAAATTAGGCTATCAACCAGAAGTGTAATGGCAAAACAACAAATGCTTTTGTTAATATCTCATTCATTAATTTGTTTTGAAAAATTTAATTAACTTTTAACCAGACCCTTTTAACGATGTATAAAAGATTAGATGTTTTTTGCAAATATCTCTCTCTCTTTTTGGGGAGAAATAATACGATCAGACCCATAAATGTTCAGGTTGGCCACTTCGGTATTTCAATTTTACTGCTGTTGAAAAATTTCTTAAAGCAAAGAATCCTAATAACAAACTCAATCTAGAAAAATCTTATAAAGCATAGAGAAACTTACTTGTTACTCTCACCCGTCGTAGTAAAAAGAACCATTACTCTAAGTTCTTCTCTGACAATGCCAAAAATTTGAAATCTACATGGAATGGTATTAAGAACCTTTTAAACATTAGTTTGAGAGTTAACTCATCTCCTTCATGCTTATCTTCTACCAACTCCATGATACATGACCCCATTAAAATTTCGGAATCTTTTAATTCATTTTTTGTTTCAGTTCCGGAAGATTTACAGAATAAGATCCACTCATCCAATACTGACTTTAATAAATATCTTAAAAATCCTAATCTTAATTCAATGTTCATAAAACCTACAGACAAAAACGAAGTATTATCAATTATTCATTCTCTTAATGACAGCAAGGCTTCTGGACCTAACAGCATTCCAATACCTATTTTTAAAGCTCTTGCAAATGATATCTCTCCTGTACTTTCTGAACTATTTAATCTGTCATTCACAACCGGTGTATTCCCTGATATTTTAAAAACTGCTTCTGTTATCCCAATTCATAAAAAAGACTCAAAACTTGAACGTAATAACTACAGACCATTATTATCAAATGTCAGCAAACTTTTAGAAAAACTTATGTATTCTCGTATTTACAACTTTTTAAATAATTCTGCTTGTTTTCATATTCGACAATTTGGGTTTCGCTCAAATCACTCCACTTCTCACGCTCTTATTAGCACTACTGAAATTATTCGTGGTGCAATTGACAGTGGTTCTTTTGCTTGTGGTGTATTCATAGATCTTCAAAAAGCTTTTGATACGGTTGATCACAACATTCTAATAAAAAAGTTAAACTACTACGGAATACGTGGTATTGCTAATCAATGGTTTTCTTCATATATTGCGGATCGCACTCAGTTTGTTTCAATTAATGGATTTGAATCCACACATAAAGTTATTAAATATGGCGTTCCACAAGGTTCCGTTCTTGGACCGTTGTTGTTCTTATTATATATAAATGATTTATCTTGTTCGTTAAAAAGTTCTATGATACATCATTATGCTGACGATACCAATCTTTTATATATCAACAAATCCCTCACGACTATTTGTAAAAAAGTTAATCAAGATCTTTTTTCAAAAACTTTTTCCATCAAAATATATAAAGTGTCTTGGAATATATCTTGATGAAAACCTATCTTGGTATAATCAACTGTATCATCTAAAAAAAAAACTTACACGAGCTAACAGTATGCTTTCTCTAATTCGTTACTATGTTCCTATCCAAACTCTTCGAATGATTTATTTTTCTTTATTCTCTTCTCACCTTTGCTATTGTTGTATTGTTTGGGGTCAAAAAAGAAACTTTTTACTTAACAACATTGCTAGTTTACAACGCGCATCTATTAGAATAATGACGTTTTCCCCAATGAGATCTGATATCGAAAAAAAAATTTCTGAACTAAAAATCCTAAAACTCCATAATCTTGTAAAGTTTTACAATTGTCTTTTTGTGTTTGACTTTCTCCAAAATAAACTACCAAGCCCTTTTTCAAATTTTTTTATTAAAACAAACGAAGTTCATAATCATCACACCAGGAATACAGAAAATAGTAAGCTATACTATTCTTTTTTCAGCACAATCAAATATGGTAAGTTTTCCATAAAACAACAATGTATCTCTCAATGGAACCAGTGTATTCCTGCATTAACAAAAAAGTCTAAGGAAAAATATCCACTTGTTACGAATTTTTTACTGCTCAACAGAATTCAATTTAAAAATATATTGTTGGAGTGTATTTCTTTATAATTTCTCTCTGTACTATAGTTGTCTTGTGGTTTGATTTTTATTTTATTTATTATTTACCAATCTTATATTTATTTATTATTGTTTTATTAATGTTACATTTTATGTTATTATTATATCTAATTATCATCTATGATTTGTACATACAATTTATTGTATTATAATATTCCTAATATTATTGGTACTTTATTGTTATTGTTATTATTTTGTATTATTACTATTATTATTACATATATCATTATTATTTGTTTAACAATCTTTTCTTCTTTTCTTTATTATTTATATATACAGATATTGAGTTTTTCCTTTTTCTTTTTTTTGTTTTTTTTTTTTTTTTTGTTTTTTTGTTTTGTTTTGTTTACTTTAGTTTCCTTTTTTTTTTTTTCTTTCTATTTATTTATTTTTTCGTGAAATTTTTATGTTTTTTAGGTGTCACTCCATTGACTAGTTTGTAACTATATGAGTGACACCTAACCAATTTATATTAATTTATGATGAAGTTTGTAAATTTTATTGATATGGTTGAATAAAAAAAAATATATATATATTCCTTTACTATCTTAGCTGTATGAACGCTAGCATTATCTTGCTGAAAAACAAAATTTTCACCACTAATAACAGATGCTTCACGCTGTAAAAATTCTTGAACAATTAAAAGATCATCCTTAGCCTTCATTTTTCCGTTAATAAAATGAATTTTTGATTTATCATGATACCCAATTGCATATGAAATCATTACACCACTACCACCCATTTGACTTTGTTACCGTATTACTGGTTCTTTACGCAAATCGTGAAAGTAGTAATTCCATCTATCCGGCCCATTAAAACAAAATCATTTTTTGTCAGAAAATACTACTTGTTGCCACTCTTCTTTCCATGTTATGTGGTCCTTTGCTTAAGTTATTTGATTGTTTATGTGTTTTGTTTTTAAAGGTGGTTTTTGCTGAAGCTTTTTGCATGAAAGGTGAAAAGCATTATGAATGACTCGCTGAATTTTACATAAATTAGCAATCACACCTGCTTCTGCAGCAATTTGACGTGCAGTTAATGAAGAATTCGAAGCTTATTAATTAATTTTAAGCTAAATTATTCTTACTTATTTTTATAAACTTTAGTATTTATTTGGTGTATTATTTTCCAAAAGAGAAGATAGTGATCAGATAAATGCGTAGTATAACAAAACAGATTAAGAACCATATTCTTAGGTTAGAAAAAATATTGTACCTAACAATGCTTGTCCGAAAAGGTCAAAGTGTTTTGGTTATTAGCATGTAGAGAGGTAGCAGCTTCTGGAGGAAGCAATAGAAGTAAGAAAACTTGGAAACAGTGTATACATATGGTATAAATGAGCTTTTGTTAAGAAAAGTAGATGCTTAAGATTGTTTATATTAGAGAAACAGCATGTAAGGGGAAGGCTAAAGCTTGATGATGACGATGATAATGATGATGATGATGATGATGATGATGATGATGATGATGATGATGATGATGATGATGATGATGATGATGATGATGATGATCATGATCATGATCATGATCATGTTGATCATGATGTTTATATATAAATATACATAAGTAACATATAAAATATAACATGAGTTATAAATTATGTAATTATAAAATTAGAAAAGTTAGAAAAATATACTTTAGAATTTATCAGTCTATACAGTCCTGGTCACAAGCCTGGCTTACTTTTCCTCTGCCCCAACCCTGATCAAATTTTAACCCTGGTCACTATTACATTTTATTGCAGCAGTTACTCTCAATCGATAGTTAAAGACTAACATTTTTTAATTTGATTTTTTATACAAAGTGTTCTAGATACTTCTCATCTTGATTTTTTTTTTTTTTTTTGCATAGTTGATTTTTTAATTATTAAAAAAAATATTTAGTCTAGTGCTAAATCAGGGGTGTAGTGGCTGAGCTTTCCACCACTCCGTCACTATCAGGTAATTTTACTGGGTAAATAATTTGATATTATCTATAGTTTATTACTATACTTATTATATATAGTTTATTACTATTACTATTGTAGTGATAAGGCAAATATTGTCTTCTTTTAGCCCCGGTCATGTAGATTTTATTTATATAACACGGCATTGTATTCTTTTTTTTTTTAATGACAAATAAAAAAATAAATAAAAAATAAAATAAATAAATTTCTTATAATATAACTTTTTCCTTTATTTAATTTAATATGTTTGTTTTTAATTTGATATGTTTTAATTTAATAATTTTGATATTTTATTTACAAAACTTACAAACAATGTATTGAAACTTTTAATATATACTCTTCCTAATATGTTATTATTGGGGTCTAATACAATCTTGTCATATATTTATAGGACCCAGCAATAAGTGCAGAAGAACCCAAGGGAACATATGAAACTTATGATTTGGGTAGCGAATTGGGAATATGGATAAAAGATGAATCAGGGAAGGCGCCATTAATTGGAAAGGTATAGATTAAATTATAGTTTTTTTACATGACAGTATGATGTAAAATCCTAAAATAGATTCGGTTTTATAAAGTAACAAAATTACTATTTATATCTGGTCTTTAGTGTCTAGGAGCTTCAAAAAATGCTAAGAGAGTTATGCATTACATAGGGGAAAATACAGTGAATTTAAATGTTTGGAACTTTTTTTTTTTAAGCTCAAAGTCATGGAAATGACCACCATTTTATATTGACATATAAAAAATTGAGATTTTGTGACTTTCATAACTGGAGTTAAATTATCTAATGGCTGTGAATTTTGTTATTATCATTTTTTTATTTGTAGAGATTTGTAGCATACCGTATGTTTAATGAATTGTTTTAGGTTTGGCCTGATAAACCAAATGTTTTTGTAAACAAAACATGGCCCTGGGATGATCAAACTAAGGTATTGTTTAACTTTACTTGTTTAATCTTTTTAACCAAAAACTAATTATGCATTTACTGAATGATTGAATGAGTCATTTATTAAATAAAATCTCGTAAGAAAAGGAAAATTACTCAAAAAATATTTTTAAATATTTATTATTATTAAATGAAAAAAAAAAAAAAACTGGTTATATTAAAATAACTAATCAAAGTTTAATAATCATTAAAATAATAATAAAATAACTAATCATTAAACATTAATTACAAGTCAAATGATTAAAAATCAAGATTTTTTATAAGAAATAAATTCTGTTATAAAAAATAGTACATTTTTAAATGTAAAATAAAACACATTTCTTAACTTCTATTCTATGAGTTATATGACTTTTATTATTGCTGGTCAATAGATTGTTATTAATATAAAGTGTTATTAATATAAAATACAAGTAGTATAATAAATATTGTTAATAGGAAATAAAATATGTTTAAAATTTTGAACGTTTTTTAATGTTACTTTTTTTCTAATTTTTTTGCTAACATTAAAGTCAATATAGTTATTTATTATGTTTATATTGACATCAAATCTAATATTGCTGATGTTTATACTGACATCAAATTTAATATTGCTGATGTTTGTATTGACATCAAATCTAATATTGCTGATGTTTATATTGACATCAAACCTAATATTGCTTATGTTTATATTGACATCAAACCTAATATTGCTAATGTTTATATTGACATCAAACCTAATATTGCTGATAATTGTGTGTGCTATAGTTAAGTTGATGTAAAAATATATCCTTAAATTCTTTTGTTGCTAATTTGATATTGTTACTGCAATATTAATTATATTCGTTATATTATAATTATTATCTAATTATACTATGCCTATTAATTATATTGCTAAAAAATGACTCCAATGACTGTTCATTATGTTTGTTGGACACTTTAAAGTTTAAAAAGTTTATAGTATTTTACTTGATGTTGCCAAGGTTAATAAAAGGAAATTGTTTGAATAGTTCATCTGTTTCTTGTAATAAATTTTTTTATTGCATCTTTTAGTGCTCTGCATAAAAATCGACAATGAAAACTTTGTAGGTTTTATGCTTTAAGTTGGTGATTGGTTTGAAATATTTCTTTGTTTTAAATATTTTTGAGTAGTAAAAAAAAAATCAAATAGTATGTATTGCTAAGGCTTTGTATTTCTTTTTTGTGTAATGAATAAAAGACTTGAGCAGTAATCAAAGTTAGGTAGAACAAATGTTTTAAAGAATTGTAAATGCACTTTGAAAGCTAGAACAAATATATTAGTTATTGAGAATGATTTTTTTTATGCTTTTGCTTTTATCGCTTTTATATGTTTGGTAAAATGTAAATTACTCTTTACATATAAGTTACTGTTTACAATGACACCAAGCAAAGAAAGTTTATTAACTAATTTAATTTAGAACTCATCACTTAATATGATTGATGTTGGCAATACTATTTTAGATGTATGCTTATTTGTTAAAATCATTGCCTTAGTTTTATCTCAATTTATGTCGACACTGCAAAAAATGAATTCTTATTTTAAGCAAAAAAAAAACTTGTTTTAAGCAATTTTTTACTTAAAACAAGAAGTTTTTACTTGTCAGTATGGTAAGCAATTTTTTTCTTAAAACAAGTTTATTTTTGCTTAAAATAAGAATTCATTTTAAAATGAATTCTAATTTTAAGCAAAAAAGATCTTGTTTTAAGCAATTTTTTACTTAAAACAAGCAAATTTTAACTTGTCAGTATGGTAAGCAATTTTTTTCTTAAAATAAAAATTCATTTTTTGGAGTGGAGTTTATTAGCATAACTCAATAAAATTATTAAATGCTGACTTTGTTATTAGATGATTTAAATTGTTATCACTTGTCATAAGTGTTGTGTCATCTGCAAATAATGTTGATTCAAATAATGTCAGGTATTTTGGTAGATCATTGATGAAAATTTAAAAAAAAGAGGTCCTAAAATAGAACTCTGTGATATACCAGTATTAACTTGTTCTTTGTTGAAATATGCATCTTTAAGTTTTGTAAGTATTTTTCTGTTATGATAATAGTTGCTTATTAAGTTCAAAGCATCAGTTAAAAAAAATGTTTTAGCTTCAAAATCAGTAATTTGGAAGTCAAATGCTTTTCTGAAATCAATAAATATAATAATGTAAAGAGTTTTTTAGAGTTGCTTAGCTTTACTTAAGAGATAAGAACATGCAAAACAGTTTCACATAAATGATTGCATCTGAAACCATTTTGGTCATTGTTGAATAAATCATTTTGTTCAAAGTATTCAGTTACTCTTTTAGCAATTATGTGTTTAAACAGATACTTTTGTTAGTGGAGATAATTTCATTTTTTTGTTTATAAAGTGGCATTATACTACTTATTTTAAATTCATTTGGAAGTTTCTAGACATTTGTTGAATATAGTCATATGACTTTTTAATAATTTTGTTGGAATATCTAAATAAGCGCAGCTGCTTTTTTCTTTTAAGTTTTTTATCATATCGATGGTTTTATATTTATTTATAAGAAAAAAAGAAAATTTTATTAATCTTATTTTTAAGATTATTAAAGAGATTGTTAATAAAGTTATAAGAATCATTAAGTACACAATCGGAATTAGATTTAAATGTACTAAAGAATTTATTGAAAAATAATGGCTTTTCAATGTTTGAGTAGGCCTTCTTGTTGTTGTAAAGTATATAATCAGGAAAGGGAGTATCTTCAAAGCTTGATTTAATTTTGATGAACTTTGAGTAGAAATTATAAAAGTCTTTTAAGTGAATAAATTTTTTTTTTTTTTTTTTTTTTTTCAAATGAATTTTTCGTTTCCTAATTTAATAAGATCAAAATAATAATCTTGCGGAATTTTTTCAGATTTTGAAAGAACACTTGATCAAACCATTCATTTTTATCTTTATTCTTGATGTGTATTTTTATCTCCTTTTTTGGTGAAATACCATCAATCACTGCAAAAACTGCACAGTGATCACTAAACGAAGTTTCTAAGATAAATTTTTTATCTTAGAAACTCAATCTTACTTTTAGATGTTTTGAATTTGTTGTTGTTTTTATTAAATTTGGTTGTAACTCTAGTTGGTTTATAGATATTATTTTTTAAGTTGTTATTAGTAAGAAACTCATTCAGTTACATTCCATATTGGGAGCTAAGATCTTGATTTAGATTACCAATTATAAATACTGGTTTGTTTTGGTTGAGATTTAATAATAAGCTTTCTACATAATTGTTAAAGAATTGAGAATTAATATTTTGTAGCTTATAACAGCAGATAAAATTGTTTTTCAATTTGTTGTGCATCACTTGGAAATGAATAACCTCAAATCAAAACTGCCATTTGAAAATAAAACTTTCAAGTTGTTTTTTATGTAAATGAGAATGCCACCTTCTTTAATGCTTTCTTTTCTTTCTTGACTTATAATTATTTGAAATTTAATTCTTTTGTTAGATATGTGTCGTTAAGTTTAATTTCATTAAGCGTTATTATATCTATCAAATTTAAATCTAATATTGGTTAAGTTAATGCATCTCAACTTTCTTGAATTTATATTTAAATGCAAAATTGATAGTATTTTTTTCTTTGAGAAATCAAAAGGGAGGATAAAGTTATCTAAGTTGTAAATTATTGTTTTTGAGGAGACTAGAAACTTAAAAAAAAATATTTCCTGAAATCTATCTAGTCTCATTTCTAAATAGTCAAGACTTTCTTTTATTGTATGTAAAAATTGTATATGAAAATTAATATTTACTGGGGGTAAATGTAATTGGAGGCCCTCACATTAGCAAGTGAATTAAGTTGCAATTATTGTTAATTTGTTACATTTAATTTGACGTGATCAATACGACTTATTACAATGTTGGACTTGCAGTTAATTTTTTATTTGTTATTTTTAGCTAAAAAAATAGCTGCTACAACATAAGTTGCCATAGTTGTTTGAAATTCTTTTGTTATGCTATTCTTATTACCAGAAACCATTTTGGTTGTATAAATTCTGATCATTAGGAATATTAATGTCGATATCTTTTATTTGGTTTTTCCCATTATTTGTTTCAAGTTTGTCTTTTTTTAATTAATCGATAACTTTATCTCTAGAAGTGTATCAACTAGTTGTTTAACTCTTTGATTAAGTAACCATAGGTTAAGATTTTTAAAACTTTTTCTTTGGCAATTAGGTTACCATAGCCAATATCAGAAATTGATCCCATACAGGGTTGCCACTCAACCTGGAAAACCTGGAATACCTGGAAATAGCATGAATCCCAGGGAAAAACTGGAAAACTCAGGAATTTTTTAAAATTTTCATAAAATTCAGAGAAAACTCAGAGAAAATATTTTTTTTTTAAATTTTGTACAATTATTTTTTTTTTTAATATTTTGCTAATACATATAATAATAAGTTTACAAGATGTGGGTGTTGTTGTAAAAGTTTTAATTTTTCAAGTATAAAGATTGTGTTTAATTAAGGAAAATAATAATCTTGTTGATGAACAGGAAAAAATAAAGAAAAGTCAGGGAAAACTCAGGGAACTTAAAGAGTTAAACTCAGGGAAAAATGTTCTCTACTCAGGGAAAACTCAGGAAAAAACTTTAAAAGTTATAGTGGCAACCCTGCCATAATATAAATTTGTATTAATTTTTAATAATTATATATTTTTAGTTTTTATGTCATAAGTAATCAAAAATATTGCTTATCGCTTAAAAAAATAAATAATTTAATAAATAAATTAAAAAATATAGATAGTAGAACAAAATGATAATGACACGATTATTACAAAAAGTTATAAAAGATGATAAAAACGGAAACAAAAATTAAGACAAATAGTTGTAGAATAAAGTAACAAGGATTATTATGAAACAAGTAAAATAAAATAGAGTAAAAACTTTTAGATACTAGTAAAGACCACACGAAGCAATAATGAGAAAATAAAACAAAGAATCAAAAATCAAACAAAAACTAAAAAATCAAACTAAAATCTAAACAATAATAGAGAAAAAACAAAAAAATAAGATAAAGTAGTAAATAAATATGAATAAACAGACACTAAATAATATAAATGTATAAACTGAATAAAGTTAAAGTAAAGTAAAAATACTAAAAGAATTACAATCAATATTTACTAAAAAAAAAGAACGGGTCAATAACAAAATATAATAAAAATAACTTTTGTTAGAATTTAAATTAAATTCTTACTCTCGCAAAAAAATAAAAAATTATTTTTAAATTCTATTATTTTTACTTCCAAATGTTTTGATACAAATGCTTATATCTAAAACCTATTTAAATAAAGCTCAAAAAGTGTTTTGATTTTATGACCACAGCTGTAGAAAAAAACTTTAAAGCTACTTCAAAGCCTCTTTGTTAAGAGTTATAAGAGAAAGACTTAGGTATTGACAACAGAATATTCTTTTTTTAAGAGAATAACTGCTAGTTTAAGTCTTACTTCATGTGCAGACATTAAGTAAGACTCAAACGAGCAGTTATTCCCTGGTTCTAGGAAGAACTGGCTTCACATAGAATGCTGTGTAGTTAGTTTTTTTTTGTTAGCCCCCAGTGTGCTTTAATGTCACAGCTGTCCCAGAAAACAAAATAATTTTTTGAAACTGCTTTAAAGACTCATCAGAATTGACCCCATTTTGAGGTATTCTATGACCTCATATCAATAATTGTCATAATACACTCTTGAAACTGTCTTTTTTATAATGCACAGAGTAAGCTACAACGAGAGCTTTGAAGCTATGGGATTAACTAGCTATGAATAGGCTGCATTAATTCAGGTCGCAGTTTAGTTCACTTTGTTTACTTATAGCCTAATTGTTGCAGTAGTTCATCTCATCATGATAAATGATAAAACTGAAAAGTATGTTTCCTTTTATCTTTGGAATGCAAGCTGTAATCCAACAAGTTTTTCTGCTTGAGTTTGTCAGAAGCTCTTTATCTTTATCGTTGAATTTGGTAAGAATAAGGTCTTACTAAATCTAATGATTAAGAACATGCGTCTTAGGATAACGTTGTATAGAAACAAGCAGTTGCTTGCTGGTTATGACATTAAAATAGTACATATTTACTTTTTTACATAAGTACTTTTTTAACTGTAAAAGTTCAAAACCATTGAAGTTTTACATGAAACTTCATAAAACACTCTTATTCTTAGAGTTTTCTTGCAATATTTGCCAATAAAATATTAAAATATGAATTGTGGGTAATTAAAGCCTTGCGACAATAATATCACTTGTCTACCATTTTTACGATAATTATTAATCTGACTTTGTATCATAGGTTTTATGATTTGAAACCCTCTACATACTATACAAGGCATTTTATTTTCATTCATTATTTTTATTACAAGTGTGCAACAGTACATAAAATACCATAAATAAAATTAAAAAAAAATAGCACTCATGAAAATTATAGTTTTTGAAATGAAAACTAACCTCAGATAACCAGAATGAACTTTTTATGACTAATTGTACAATTTGTACATTTTGTTGTGCTGAATTAATCTATAGTACTGAAATAACTATTTGTTTCAGTCCCTAAATGCTTGGTTATTTTTGTACTTTCTTGAATTATGAGGTAAAACATGAATAAAAAGCAACACCTTTGGAGATCTATTACTTGTTTTAAATTTTGATATATTCTCAATAAACTTTAATTATATACCCAAATTTGCAGAAAATATTCAAATGCAAATTGAAGAATTGTATAATGATTCATCGTATAATAATAATTCATGAAAAATTACTTTTGATAACAAATCTATAAAATTTTAAAATTTTGTATATCTTAATGCAGTCTTTATATCTTTTACTTTGTAAACAATAAATAAGAACTGGGAACAAGAGCTACTGCCTTAAATTTTTACCCTGGTTATTTTGGTATCAATCTTCCTTAAAATCACTATATTACTAAAATTACTTTGTTTTATATTTAAGGCTTTTCGTGCAAATGCAACGTTTCCTGATTGGTTTCATCAAGATATTTCAAAATGGTGGAATGTTTTGATAAAGAAATTTCATAAAACAATTGAGTTTGATGGACTTTGGATTGTAAGAATAAGTTTTTATTTTTTTTAGTTATTTTAAAAAAAGGTTTGAATATTTTTTTCACTTACAAACACTAACAAACACTTAAAAACACTGACAAATACTCACATCTTCAGCCCTTGGAATTCGGAAAAACGAGGTCAGCAATAATTTGTCGACCCTATTCTTTTAGAAGTTGGCTTCAGGTTGGCAAAAAATTTTTTACCATAAACCATAGAAATGAGGTCAGCGATTTTTTGCACAAATGTGAAAACAATTATGCAAAGTTTTTGAAAATATTTGAGACGTCTCTGCCCAAAACAGCAGAGCGACAAGTTGATAAAATTTGTTTTTACTATTATTAACTAAATTAATATTCATCGATAAATTGTAAATTTCCTAAAATAATTTCATAATTATAACTATTTCTTGTTTATGTATATACGTTTCAGTTTAAACACAGTTTGAAATTATAAACGTTTTGTCTCTAATATAATAATTCAATTTAAATATTTGACATAAGCAAACAAATTTGGAAAAAAATAGTAATTTTGTACCTAAATTCTGTACCCAAATGGGCTATTCGGCATCCCTTTTAACAAACAATTAGAACTTTTTAACACTGTTCCACTTGATTTCCTATTCAACTTTAACCTCGTAATAGTTCTTTATGACTGAATTTTGTATATACATAAATAACTTAATGCTTGATAATTAACAAATTCAAATTCCTTTAAAACAATTTTAAATAAAATCAATCCATTTTTTTAAGGAAAAAATTCCCCTGAAAAAATCCCCTATGATTTTTTTTTTTTTTACATGTAAGGAATGTGCATTTATTGACTGACAAATAGATAGAACATACAAGACGTGAAGATACATCGACTGGCAAATAAGTAGAAAATGCAAGGAGCGTGCATACATTGACTGACAAATAAGTAAAACATATAAGGAGTGTACACTTAGCAACATAATGATAATGATGGCACCCCAAAAATATTTATAAAACTCTACTATATATTTATATTTAAAAACTAATTTTTATAGCATCTGAGAGCAAATGGATTACAAGACTAAATAACATTTTGAAAAATTTACTTTAAACCTAACTTGCATTTTATTTTTAAAAAAAACTGTTTTTAGTGCTACAAAATTATGGCACTTTTGGAAAAAATTCATATAGATAGTCATTTATATAAAAAGTTGTCTCAATTTTAAACTATCAATAGTAGGTACTTGTACCATTTTTTTGAATTACTTCAATCATTCTAGAAGGTAAAGAATCATACAACTTTTTTATTTACAAAATGTCAATTGCATCCCATGCAGATGCGATGGATGATTTCAAGTCAGCTAGTGAACTATATTGTTTACCACCTTCAAACACTATATGTGACAGCTGTGCCCAAGCATTCTCAATAATGTTCAGGTCTTGAGATCTAGCTGGCCACTTCAATTTTTCAATTTTACTGCTGTTGAAATATTCCTTTACTATCTTAGCTGTATGAACACTAGCATTATCTTGCTGAAAAACAAAATTTTTACCACCTATTACAGATGCTTCACACCTCAAAAATCCTTGAACAATTAAAAGAGAATTCTTAGCCTTCATTTTTCCGTCAATAAAATGAATTTTTGATTTACCATGGTATCCAATTGCACACCAAATCATTACACCATCCATTTGGCATCATTGGTGTGTTACTGGTTCTTTACGCAAATCGTGAAAGTAATAATTCCATCTATCGGGCCCATTAATATAAAATTGTTTTTTGTCAGAAAATACTACTTGTTGCCACTCTTTTTTCCATGTTACATGGTTCTTTGCAAAAGTTATTGGATTATTTATGTTTTTTCTTGTCAAAAGTGATTTTCGCTGAAGTTTTTTGCGTGAAAGGTGAAAAGCATTAGGAATAACTCGCTGAATTGTGCATAAATTAGCAATCACACCTTCTTCTGCAGTAATTTGACGTGCAGTCAATGAAGAATTTGAAGCTTTTCTCAACAACCTTCGCCTATCACAGTTACTTAATGTTGATGGGCGTCCAGAACTTTTTTTTACTCTATACATATGAGGACTATTAATGTAGATTTTAATCATAGTTCAGCTGCATCCAATTTCTTTAGCCATGTAGCTAATGGAGTGACTCATTTTTGATTAGTTAGAGAGCACTTTTTTCTCATCTGAACTCAACGGTGCAGCACTACCCATTATTAATTAATTTGTTATTTTATACTTGATAAAAAAAAAACATAAACTAAATTTTTGACAATTCACAAAAGTTTACAGTTAAATTATTGTCAGTGGTGTTTACATCAAATAAATATTGTTAATTGCTCACAACTGCAGTTTACAAATAAAAGGTTTTTTGTAAAATTGTCTTATAATTTTGTAAAATTGTCTGAACTGAAAAAATGTTTTTTTTTAAAAAAAAAATGCGAGTTACGTTAAAAATAAATTTGTTAAAATGTTGTTTAGTGTTGTAAACCCTTTGTTTTCATTTACAATAAAAATTATTTTTTAAATATAAATTTATAGTAGAGTTTTATAAATCTTTTTAGGGTGTCTTATCATTATGTCATAAATCATTTTAGGGTGTCTTATCAAAATAAGACCTGCTCATTAAAATCATTTTAAAAACTGCTAATGTTAATTACTTCATAATAATGTTGTTAACTCTTGTGCGCAGATACTTTTTAAACTTAATACTAATAAGACAATAGTTTTATAAAATATTAATATATAATTACTAATGTTACATAAAACCAAGGAGTGTATTTAGCAAACTTTTTTTTTGTGTAAGTTTGGCATAAGTTCAAAACTGTGAAATTTGAATTCACAAAACTTGTTCAGTTTTGTTTAACAAAATTTACATAAATTTTTTCATAATTTTAGGCACAAAGAATTGGTATTCACCAAGCTGAAATAGTATTCACCAAACTTTTTAAAAACTTGCTCAGCTCAATTTAAGCAAGATAAGTTACATCAGCTAAGAGCTGCCTTAACTTTGGCGTAATGTTAAAATCAGTAAATATTAGAAATGTTGTAATATTATTATGATTATGAATAAAACATTGTATATAATAATATCATTATAATATTGTTATACTTTTGTATAACATTATCAATTCATTATCTTATAATAGTAATATAACAGCATAAAATAGGATTTTAATATATTTAAATTATATGCATTATGATGTCATATTATTAATAAATATTGATATAACATCATAATAGTAACCATTAAGATGTTATATTAATAATATAGTTAAACTTAATGTATTTAATTTATATATATTAAGATGTTATTATATTATTAATATAACATAACATCTTATTATATAAAATAATAGTAACATTATTACATAAAATAAGATATTGTTGTATATTACATATTATTTATAGTATAAAGTATATATTATATATTTTAAAAGATACTATATTGTTATTATGCAGCTATGATTTTGGTAACATTAATTGTATATTAAACAATTGTCAAAATTTATCTGCCCTTTGTAACTTCTTTGTAGATTTTTTACTTAAAATTATTTTCCTAATTTTTATAATAACCATTTTTTACTAAATAAATATTCAATAAAAAGTATTTAGTTTTTATATCAGTTTAATAAAAATATTATTGTCATTTTATTAGGCTGTAAAAAATACTAATTAGTAATAATCCCTAATTTAAGTTTGTTAGAAGTTATATGAATTCAATATTAGAAAAGTTTGTTTTATAAAATTATGGAAATAAAATTAGTTTATTAAAAAAAATATCAACTCGGTTGTTGTTGTTTTTTTTGCATAAATTTTTGTGTAAGTTCAGTGCAACTTGTGCGCAACCTTAACTTTACGGAAATACTGCGTAATATTGGTGAATACTAAATAGTTATGAAAACAACATTGAATGTACGGTTTCCATAACCTTAATTGAGCTGCACAAGAGTTAATAAAGTTTGGTGACATCCAGATCTTTACCTAATATCAAATAAATTTTTATATAATAATACATAATATTTTTTTAAAAATCTTATTATATAAAAAAAAAAAAAAAAAAAAAATGCGCAATTAGTAATTTTAAATTTATCTTTAAATTAATAAATTTTATAAATAAATTTATCTATAAATTTATTTATAAAACTTTTAAACTTATCTATAAATTAATTTATTTATTGCAATTTGCAGCAAAAACTTAGGATAAAATAAATCAGGGTTGCATGGTTTTAACCAAATGGTTTAAACCATTGGTTTAAACCATTAGTTTAAACCATTGGTTTAAACCATGGTTTAAACCAATTTAAAAAATGTTGGTTTAAACCAAACTAATGTTTTTTTAAAAAGATTTAAACTTACAACAGGAAACTAAGACAAGGTTATGTTCACAAATATAACTAATCTTCAATATAGATATATATTATTAATATGCTTCATCCAGGATACACTCTACCTAGTAGAACAGAAATTGGGGGAGAAATATTAAATAGGGTTTACACAGAGGAAATTGAAAAATGTAATGTATTGAATGGGTTAATTGTAGCCATGTTTTTAGATGGCTGGAGTAATGTACATAATGAACCTATAGTTTGTATCTCTGTAATTACAGATAAAATTTACATTTTAGTAGAAACAATCAACACTTCTGGTCATTCACATCCTGGTGAATATCTTACCCAATTAGCAAGAGAAGCAATAGATTTTGTAAGACGTAAATTTGGATGCACAGTAAAAAGCTTTGTTGCTGACAATGCAGCTAATATGAAATCAATGAAACAAGTATTGTTATCTGAAAGAGATATTGTCATAACTTATTGGTGTGCTCCTCATATGCTGAATTTTTTAGCAAATGATCTTAACATTGAAAATGTAAGCAAGCATGTTACACTAATAAAATATATAAGAAATAATCATCAAGCTGGAGCACTTTATAAATTAAGCGGAGAAACAAAATTGCTACTTCCTGCTGAAACTCGCTGGAATTCTGTATGTGATTGGCTTGAAAAATGTCAACAAATGGACCATTATTTTTACAATGTTTGAAAAAAATAAAGACTTGGATCCCGTGATTGGTAAAAAAGTAAGTGATATACAGATAAAGCGAAACACAGAAGATTTTTTGAAAATATTGAAACCCATTGCAGTAGCTCTAGATAAGTTGCAAAGAGATTAAACAAAAATAAGTGACTCTTGAAATTTTTAAAGATTTGATGAACAGTTTATTATTTTTATCAAACAAAAAAAAAAAAAAAAATTGAATCTAGATACCTTCAGACTGTCAGTGATGCTCATTTCCTGGCAAACACACTAGATCCTAGATATTTTGGATCTAATATTTCTGAAAATGAAAATGAAGCTGCCATGAATTTCGCAGATAAAGAGTTCAAGAATTTGTTACCAATATTATTCAAATTAAAAGCCAAATCTACTATAACATAATGGATATTGAAGGTTTATTAAATGCACCAGCTTCTAGTGCTGGAATCAAAAGAATTTTTTCAACTTTTGGTTTTGTTCATTCTAAGTTAAGAAACCGATTGGGGGTAGAAAAAGCAGCAAAGCTTGTATTTATATATAGAACATTAAACAATGATATATTAAATAATTTTGATGAAATATAACAATAATATTGATAACATAGATGAGTTTTTTCCGGGAATTCCCGAAATTCCCGAAATTCACTTAAAACTCCTTTAATTTTCCAGAAGTTTCCGGATGTTTTTGTTATTAATTTGAAAAAAATTATATAAAATTTTAAATACTACAACGTTTGCATCTAAACAAATATGTTTTCTAAAATTGAAAATTGCAATAATATGAATTTTTAAAATATGAATTTTCATAACAATTTTTTTTCTGTTTTTTTTTTTTTTTTTTTTTAGTTCATTCAAATTGACTTTTTCGAATATTAAAAATTCCTTTTTGTAGAAAGTAAGATAATCTAAATTTCGTTTTAAAAGTTTACAAAAGTTTTTGCTGTCATTAATACGATCAAGAATTTTTTTATTAATTTTTTTATTTTTTTACTAAAATAATTTTCCAGGATTTTCATAAAAAAAGTTTCCGGGATTTTTATAAAGTCGAAAACTCATCTATGTGATAAATAATATAGTTTACTCAAATGAAATACGTTATGCTTTTTTTAATTTAAAAAGGTAACTAAATACCGCATTTTTTAGTAAAAACCTAATTTAAACCAAAAAAAACATGTTTTTTTTGGTTTTTTTAAAAAACCTATGGTTTTTGGTTTTTTTCAAAAAAAACGTTTTTTTTGCAACCCTGAAATAAATTAAATTTAAAATAACATAAATTTAAGTGACCAAGTACGGTTTAAAAAAAAATAATTTGCATCAGCGGTGCAAATTAAAGTAGCATATCATAAGCAATAAAACTATTTTAAATGCATTTTTAAAATTTTATGATTTTATATAATGTTTTTTACATCATATAATATTTGATTTTATGAAATTTTAGTATATGCATTTTTCAAATTACATCCTGTTTATTATTCAAACCTTGTTATTCAACAAGACTTTTTCTTCCAACTTTAATTTTTTTTTTAACCGGTCAACCATGATTGGCATTTTGGGAGGTCAAATTATTTTGGGAGGTCAAACTAGCAATTTTACTTCTTACAGCCAATTGTTGACTGACCATTATTTTCCATGCTGTGTGTATGCATGAGTAGAACAATAATCTTATAGTGTTGAAAATAATTTGAAACCTTTGGTTGTTTTAGCTATTGTCAAGTGATCATCTGAGAAAAGTTTGACCATTGTTGTGAGGGTGATAACGATGATAAAGGTGTCATGTAATTGTGTGAAGTGTTTTAAATACTATATAAAAAGTTTTTTTGCTACTATTTTAAATTAAAATTCATCAACAAATGTGGTAAAAATAAAAATTATTTTGCCTAAGGAGCAGGTTCTTTAAATTACAAATATTTATGTTGGAAAAAATAAAAAGAAATTTGCCATACAATTGAAAAAAGTTAGCATACCTCTGAAAGGTTTTTTTAGAAATTGTTTTAAACATCAAAACTGATTTTTACAAACTGACCTGTCCAGGCAAAAAAATTTACCATAAATTTTTTTTGCCTCGACAGGTCAGTCTGAATTTTAAAATAATTTTTTGAAATAAGCCAAAGGCAAAAAAGAAAAACAAGAACAAAATAAAAACTAAAAACAGGTATTGAGCAAAGCTTGTATTTCAAAATGTGAAAAATATTTCATAAATATTTGTCAACAGTTTGCAACTAGATTTTGTATTTTTCTCAATCCTTCTGCATTAAAAATATGAATGAAAGTATAAACTTTAAAAGAAAGTATAAAATTAAATAAAAAATAATAAAAATATGAACAATTCTTCAAATTTGTGTGATAATAGGAGTTTACTCTAGATGTAGAAATCTTGGGAGTCAGTCTTTTTTTTTTTTTTTTTTAAAAAGAGAATTACAAAAACATTCAATAGTAAATTTACTAACATGACCCAGGTTATTAGATAAATACCAGTAGGCCTGATTACTACATGATAACTGATTACTACATAATAACCGATTACTTCATGATAACTAAATTACTATACGGTAACTCATTACTATATGATAACTGATTACTTCATGATAGCAAATTACTACATGATAACTGATTATTTCATGATAGCAAATTACTACATGATAACTGATTATTACATGATAACTGATTACAACATGATAACTGATTACAACATGATAACTGATTACTTCATGATAACTAAATTACTATATGGTAACTCATTACTACATGATAACTGATTACTACATGATAACTGATTGCTACATGATAACTGCTTTTAAATTATTTCTGTTGTAAGCTTAATTAATATTTTAGCGATAGAAAGTTTTCAAAAGTCAGTCATAACAAACTCATTTTCAAAAATGAGTTTGTTACAACCACTGTGAACCTCTAATACTACCTTCACTAATATAACCATTAGAACCTTAACATTTAAATACTATAGGATCAAGCCATAACCATACACTCCTACAATTGCCATTACAATCCTAACTATAACCAACATTAATATCCTCATTTTAATCACTATTATCAACCACAACTACCCTTACTAGTAAAAATGACTACAATTTGCCACAACCACCACAATTATCTCCACTGTAATGATTACTACCATCATATTAAACGCAACACTAGCACTCTTACTATAACTTAGTTGATGACTACGTACAAGTTAAATTTAGACAAGTTATAAAGCAATTACAAAACTTTTAAGTTTAATAACAAAAGAAAGTGTAACAAGAAATCTTTGAGAAGCATTATGCAAAAAAAAGTTTTATTAAGGAGATACAAGTGTTATAAAGCTTGGGAGATAAAACCAATGCATGATTTCTTGAATTATTTCAAATAAGATGTACAAATGACATAATAATTTTAATTTATTAATATGTATTTTTATATTGTCATATAGGACATGAATGAACCTGCCAACTTTGTAATTGGATCTGTTGAGGGCTGCTCCAAGAACAATTTAGACTATCCCCCATATAAACCAAGTATTTTTTGGCATATCAGATTTTACAAATAACTTTGTATAATTTACTTTGTGTTGCTTGAATTACAGTAACCTTTCTTTATTTTTAAGATACACTTGGTGCCTCACTTGCTGAGAAGACAATATGCATGAGTGCTCTCCATGCAGACAACCAAACTGAATATAACTATCATTCGTTGTTTGGATGGAAACAGAGTGTTGTCACATTAGAGTAATTTTGCTCAAATTTATTTCTTTAAATTTTGATTTTATATATATATATATATATATATATATATAAATTATATTCATTGATTATATATATTGATTATATAAAATTATAAGTTTTATAAATTTAAAAACTTTAATGCGTATGTAAATTTATAAATTTTCATTTTCAATGATATATATAAATTTTCATCACTAAGACTGGTTCTTCAAAGATTTTTATTAATAACACTGGTCAATCATAAATATTTATTAGTCGTTCATAGATTCTTTGAAAGATTTTTTTAACAATGTTTTCAATTTTTTGAATATTTAATAATAGTTAAGTGTAACTTTTAGCTTTTAAATTCAATTGTGCTTGTATTTGTGTGGTTGCTAAAAGATTGTACTTGTATTTGTGTGGTTGCTAAAAGATTGTACTTGTATATGTGTGGTTGCTAAAATAATGTACTTGTATTATCATTTGTGTGGTTGCTAAAAGATTGTACTTGTATTTGTGTGGCTGCTAAAAGATTGTACTTGTATTTGTGTGGTTGCTAAAAGATTGTACTTGTATTTGTGTGGTTGCTAAAAGATAACTTCTTAAAACAATATTTGATTTAAAAACAATAATTTAAAACTACTTCTTTGTATTCAACATAGTAAAAAAATAACTCGTTGATGTCATTTTAAACCAATCAAAATATTTATTTATAAATGAGCTATTTAGATTTTAGGTTTATTTTTTATATATAAACTAGAAAAAAAATTATTTTTTAAAAATGTGCACGCCAGTCAGATAATGAGCCTCTGTCCAGAAGATTTTTACAATATTTTATTTAACTTGCTTTCTTGTTGATAATTAGTAATAATAAAAGAAATTGTTAAAAAAAGTAATTAAAACAAACAACGCAAAACAGACTTTAGTTAAGCATAAATAAAAGAAATTTTCAAGAAAACAAACAATAAACAACAAACTTTAGGCGATTTTATTTTAGCGCAAACAAATAAAATCGCTGTTGAATAATTATTCTATTTGTTGAATAATTAAAAAATATATAAAAAAAAACTTTTTTAGAACAACATTTCAAAAATGAAATAAAAACTAAAAAACAAAAAAATATAGAAAAAGAACTTTTTAAAAACAACATTTTATAAAAATGGACTAAAAAGTAGAAAATAAACTATTTTACTGGACCCAAGGACTTTGTGTAGGTACACAACCTGCAGGTCATTTGTACACAACCTGAAATATCATTAGTCAATGACTGGATATGTTAGGCGCCAATAGGAACGAGTAGTACTTAGTTGCCCATTTTCAGTAATTGACTTTAATGATATTTTTAAAAAAAATTACACTTTTTATTTAATAATTTTTTAAATTACATGCTCAATGTTTGCTCTGTTTAAATAAATATCTAATTGCTATCTTAATTTTAACTTCTATAATATATAGACTTAATATCTTAATTATAATTTCTATAATATATAGACAGTGTTAATCACTGTCACAAGCTTATGTTAATCACTGTCAATTGTTCATATTAATCAATGTCGCAAACTTTTGTTAGTCACAGTTACAAACCTGTGTTTATTACTGTCACAAGCTTGTGTTATTCGCTGTCACAAGCTTTTTTCTAATTACTGTCAGAAGCTTTTGTTAATCACTGTCACAAACTTTTGTTAATCACTGTCACTAACTTTTGTTAATCACTGTCACAAGCTCATATAAGTTGCTGTTACAGGCTTAAGTTTATTACTGTCACAAAGTGCATTCATATTTAAGAACAGTGTGTTTATTACAGTTAAAGATTGCGTTTATTGGGATCAAAAACTGCTTGTTTTTCAGAGAAAAAAATGCTGTTCATGCAGCAAACTGACTGTATGCTGTTTAGAAAACTTGGATGATAGGAATCTTGGCTAAGTTTTTTTTAATATAGTAAATGCTATTTTACTCTTATAAATAACTTATACTCTGTCTCAAGAGTTTTACAAAAACAAGAATGTTGTTACTAATTCAAAGTCTTTCATTCACTGAACTATAGGTGTATGTTGAGGAAACTGAGATGTAAATGCGTATTAAAAGACTTTAACCTTTCCACCCAAGACGGTTTGCTGAACAGTGTAGAACCTTAATTCTAAATTGAAACCTACATGGAATAGGTTTAAACATATAAAAGAGTATACTCAACATCTTATCACTTTATAGTTAATTTAATTTAACTCTTTTTTTTAGTTAAAAAAAAGAAAAAAAATTAAAAAAAGAAGATTTTTTAACATTAAATTTTACATACTTTGCATATTAGAGCTGGATGAAGAATTATTCAATTTTTATTGGATTATATACATTATCATTGTAAATATTTTTAAGTAATTGAATAAGTGTAATTTAATATTTAGTAGTATTTTTAATAGTATTTTTAATAGTTATTTAATAGTATTTTTAAGTAATTGAGTAAGTGAATTGAAACATAAACTAAGAACTAAAAACAATATATGGCTTGCTAATAAATGTAATGGCTGAGATGGATGTAATGGAATGAGGAATCAACAAAAATTCAGTATAATAAGCTAAAAATTAGAATAAAGAATGATATTAAGAACAATATAAAACAATTTGAAAGTACTTTAGCTAGCAAGTTTAAATCAAATCCTAAATTGCTTTATAAATATATCAATGAGAAGAAATCAGTGAAAACTCATATTCGAGCTCTGGAAATTGATAATGGGGAAATCATAAATGATCAATTCGCCATAGCTACTGAACTAAATAAATATTTTCATTCTGTGTATGTTAATGATAATTGTACAAATATTATTGATTTTCATAATATACCTTCAAATTTATTATTAAACACAGTTTTAATAACACAAAATGATGTTCAAACTAGACTTCAAGCACTTGATAAATCAAAATCAGTCGGTTTTGATTTTGTTCATCCATATGTTTTAAAAGAATCAATATCAAAATCATATCCAATATCATACCCAAACGTCAATATCATACCCATTATATTTAATTTTCAAAAAATCGATGGAAACAGGTACCCTACCAGATATGTGGAAGAAGGCAAATGTAATGCCACTTTTTAAAAAAGGAAGCAAATTAAAAGCATCTAACTACAGACCAGTCTCGTTAACTTCAATACCATGTAAAGTGTTAGAAAGAATAATAGCTGATTGTATCATGCAACATCTCATAAAAAATAATTTACTTTCAAAAAAACAACTTGGTTTTATGAAAAGCAAGAGCTGTACAACAAACCTATTAGAATACATAGATATTTTAACAGATGCGTTCCACAATAGAACACCGGTAGATGTATTGTACACAGATTTTAAAAAAGCTTTTGATAGTGTTTCACATAAAAAGTTAATATCCAAGTTATTGACTTTTGGTATTTCTGGTAAACTTCTTACGTGGATTGTCTGTTTTTTAGCTAACAGAAAACAAAGAGTGGTTTTAGGTAAAAGTGTGACAGATTGGGTTGATGTAATTAGTGGTATACCACAAGGGTCTGTTCTTGGTCCTCTCCTTTTTTTGGTATTTATAAATGATTTACCAGAAAATTTTAATAATGAATGTCGTTTATATGCTGATGATAATAAGATAATTGCACCTATTTCTTCTCAAAATGATTCACAATTGTTTCAAAATGATATAAATAAACTTGACGAATGGTCAAGAAAATGGAAATTAGGATTAAATTTTGAAAAATGTAAAATTATGCACTTTGGTTCAAATAATAACGAATATTCATATTTTATGAACAATAACAATGCATTAATGGAAATTGAAAAGTCAAAATTAGAAAAAGACATTGTTGTTTATATATCAAGTGATTTAAAATGGGCCAAACAAGTACAATATGCAGCTAGTAAAGCAAATAGTATACTCTCACTACTAAATAATACATTCAAGTACAAGGATAAAGATCTAATAAAAACACTGTATTGTACATATGTTAGACCAAATTTAGAGTTTTCAATTCAAGCATGGAGTCCATATTATACAAAAGATATTAATGAACTAGAAAAAGTCCAACGAAGAGCTACCAAAATGATACCGGAGCTTAGACATCTTGAGTACAAAAAAAGATTGGAAATTTTGGGTTTGACTACTTTGGAGACTAGAAGGCTAAGGTGCGATTTAATCCAGCAATTCAAAATATTTAAAGGTATTGAAATCATTGATATTAAACAAAATCAAACAATGAACTCTATTTGCTCATCAGATCCTGCAGCTAACATTAGAGGAGCAAAACATCGAATGAAACCTGAATTGTTCAGAAATTGTTTGAAAAGGCAATATTTTTTCAGCAATAGAGTTGTCGATGGATGGAATAGTCTACCAGCCGAAGTTGTTCAATCTACTACAGTTAAAAACTTCAAATTAAACTTGCAATTGGTCGACTTAGAAGCAATAACAAACAAGATAAAAACCAAGAAAGCTTACTATTAATGTTTTTTATTATTTAGTGACTGAACTACCTTGTTCATTAATTAATTTATACTGGCTGTCATAGATATTGCCTGGCGCTTTATCTCAACAGCATTAATTAATAATAATAATAATAATTTTTCTGTTTAAAATTTTTTTTTAATTTATTTAAAATTTAAATTGTTTTGGTAATAAGCATTTAAAATTATTAAATAGGCTCAAGCCCCTCAGCTTTAGGCTTTTGTGAATATTTGCCTTTACGCTTACGCTTTGCCTATTTTGTGAATATTTTTTTCTGATTTAATTAACTCTCTTTTATATTGTACTAAGACAAACACTCTTGAATACAAAAAGTTTTATTTGATTGACATGGCATAATACCTTGTGGTCTCTTTGGCCCACAATATTGCAGTTTAGAAAAACAGTATAATACAATTTTCAGAAAAGCCAAAATTTTGGCTTTTCTGAAAAATATAAATAAATCTAAAATGTTTGAGTGTAAAATTAACAATTAAAATTTAAAAACTTTTTAATCTAAAATGTTTGAGTGTAAAATTAACAATTGAAATTTTAAAACTTAATTTTAACTTATTTTACCATGATTGAAAGTGTAAACTTTTTTATTTATTTTTTTTTTAGTGATGTGAACATATTTTGGTAATGTTTTCCATATATTTAAGTTCTTTTTTTCCATAGTGCTTTAACTGAAACTACAAACAAGAGGGGTATTGTGATATCTCGTTCTACATTCCCATCAAGTGGTCGGTATGCTGGACATTGGTTAGGTGACAACAAAAGTGCATGGTCTCAAATGAAAGAATCAATTATTGGTGAATTACCTTTTGCTTTGTTTTGCATTCTTGTATTAAAATATTCTTGTGATTAAATAATTATTTTTACAAAGTAAATATTTTACATTTTAATGTTCTTGATGTATTTATCGTCAGATCAGAAAAAAATTGTTGCTAAGAAAAAGAAAAAAAAATTATCTTTTAGAATTTTTTTTTTTTTTTTTGTTTCTCATCAAATGTTACTTGAAATTTTGAACCTAGAAAGTATGCTAAGTTACCTTATGGGCTTTACTAAAAGATAATTTAGGATTTGTTAAGATTAGTATTAATTAGTTATCTAATTTTTTATCAAAACTAGTTATCAAAACAAAGTGTGAAACAAAAATGATTAACAGAAAATGTAAAAACATTTAAATATTAAAACTTTAGTAACATTGTAAGGCTTTAATAATGTACAATTTAGGAAAAGCAAAAGAAACAGAAAGAGTCATTAATGAGTAAACAGAAAAGATGGTTGAATTAAAAAAGTTAAAACTTTAAAAACTGTAAATTTGATTTTATTTGATAATATTGTTATATTTTCTACAATTCATTTATAGTAAACAAGATCCTTAGACTAGAATTTAAAACCTTAGACTTTATTGTGAACAAGAACTTCAGACTAGACTTTTTTACTTTAGACTTTATAGTGAACAATGATTTTAGACTGCTACTAAAATTTTAGCAGCTATATCCCTGAAACAAAGTCTTTGGAAACAGTATCTGACAACTGAAAATTTGACTCATAAGCAATTAGAAAAGCCTGTAAAATTGTTTACAGCAAAGTAAAATTTGAATGTAATATTATAAAATTGTAGAAAAAATTGTCACTTTAATAAAAATAGCAAACAGAAACAAGCTAACTACAATAACATTCTGCAAAGTCAGATTGGTATTCTGCAAAATCATGTAATTTTTTTTCATCATCATCAAAATTCGTAACGCACTGCATAAACATTCTCAAATGAAAAACATGGCTTTAAGTTAAAAAAGTACTGTGCTCAACTTGTTTCTTCACGCAGCAGCTTTGTTAGTCAAGGTACCTGTTTCGGAGTTATAAAGTTGAGAGAGGGTTGTAATCACAACTAAAGTAGCCTACTCATCTGTAATGGCTTTCATAGCCTTAGGGAGGTGAATTAAAATAAAAAATTAAAAAAAAAAAGTTCTTATCTACTCAAAAAATTTGATTCACTTATACTGATGAAGCAATCTTTAAATCTATGCAAAAGTATTTGATTTGCTGAGGATGCTGTGACTTTAAATTGTGCTCTGATATATAGTAATCTACTTTTAAATAGTTACACTCCAAGAATCTGTTCTATTTTAGTAATTTCTATAGATCTAAATTACCCATCTTTCTTCTTTATAATATAAACCTGTATTAGATTTTTATGTAGTTGATTAGCATAAATTATTTTACACTTACAAATATTTGCATCACTAGAGTACAGATATACTGCAAATGATAAGTAATTGATCATCAAGTAGTCAATCTTTCGCTCTTTTTATTATTATTTTTGTGTCTGTATTTATGGATTTCTATTTTATAATAAACTAAAAAAAGTTTTAAAAATTAATACAACTTGACCCTTTGATATTTACAAAATAGTTGAAGCAATTTTGTTAAGTCAAATCTCTTATCTAACATTTACCTGAGTTGCAGTTATAAAATATAACATATATTTTTGTTATGATACTACAACAAAAAAGATTCCCATCCAAGGTTTACAAAGGGCTCCTATCTTACCCACAATTAAATCAAGGATTATATAGAAGTATTGTTTTTTTCCAAGGTAAGTTACCTACAACATCGCTAAGGAACCACAAAAATATAAAATAAATTGAATTAAATTAGAAAGTCTGGATTTAGTGTTTTTAATGCTGTGTTCTGAATGAATCCATCACTGTAACTTAGTTCATTAAGTAATTTAATCATTTGTGAGCCAAGTAAAGGGCTCAGTACTTGGCTTCCTTGATTTTGTATTCTGCATTAAAGATTGTCAAAAAGTTGGGTAGTTTTGATTTTAAGAAATGCAAATATCTGGCAGCATTCATGCATTCTCCCTTTCCTAAAAACTCTATCGCACCGCGACCATTTCCACTGAAACAACCCCAAATCATAATTTTTTTCCAAGACTGTATAATATGTTGAAGCTCTAACTATAATATGTTGAAGCTCTAACTGCAATGTGTTGAAACTCTAACTATAATATGTTGAAACTCTACCTATAATTTAATGAAGCTCTAACTATAATATGTTGAAGCTCTAACTGCAATGTGTTGAAACTCTAACTATAATATGTTGAAACTCTACCTATAATTTAATGAAGCTCTAACTATAATATGTTGAAGCTCTAACTGCAATGTGTTGAAACTCTAACTATAATATGTTGAAACTCTAACTGCAATGTGTTGAAACTAACTATAATATGTTGAAACTCTACCTATAATGTAATGGAGCTCTAACTATAATGTGTTGAAGCTGTAACAATAATGTGAAATATAAATTGTATTAAATTCTGAATGTTGTTTTTGTTAAGCAGATTTATTTTCAAAATAATATTACTGTACCTTTTTTGTTCAGAAACTTTTGCATAACTGTCTTTTATAATCTTTACCCTTATTTAAATGGCAATCCACAGCACTATTAACGTTTACTATTTTTTTTTTTTTTTTTTTTTAGGAATGCTGGATTTCAGTTTGTTTGGTATATCTTATGTAAGAATATTTTTTTAATTAAATGAGTTAAAATAAATTTGTGTAAATCAGTTTGTTGATGTATTGACTACATCACCTATCTCCATTTTATGACAAATCGAGTTTAAAATATCATTCAATTAATTTTTCTTGCTCAATCAACATGTGATAACTGTTTTGAAGTTTAACCAACAAATTTTTTTGTATAAATAATTTGCATCACTGGCTATGTCTAAATAATGGCAACAACACCAAGTATCTCATTGTTTAGACATTGCCTGTTGAGTTTGGTGAAAGTGTTACTTCATTTTTGTTGAAGGTATGCAACGAAAATCAAGACAGCTATAAAATACATAATATGTAAAGAACCTGTAAAAATACATGTAAAAGGTGATAAAGTACTTGATGACTCACACAAGCAGTACTTTTTTACAACAGTTTTCATGGTTAAATAATTTTTGTTAGCAAAAAACGGTTACTTGAAATGTTATGATTTGAAAAGTTCATAAATTTAACATCATATATTGATGAAAAAAGTTTTTTTAAAACGTTATATTAAATAATTTATATTAAATAATTTTTTACATTTACATAATAAATTTGCAATACGACAATTGCATCCCGAGCCGACGATATTGAATTGAAGCAACATTTCAGTTGGTGTTATTGGTGAATAAATGGATAAGAAATTATATTTGAAGAGTTTATTTTGCATCCAAAATATCATTTTGCTTCATGTGTGAATAATTTATGAAGACAAGATTTTAAAAAGTATATTACATGGAAGCAATTCATAGTATATGTGAGGCCTACAATGCATACTTTGAAATACATGTCTATTATCAAGACAGATCCTGGGTATTGCAAGATAACTTGCGAATATTGCGTGATAACTTTTGAAGTTAAGTTAAAAAATTACTTCTTGCTTAGATGTGCTTTATTTAGTAGAATTTCAATAGTTTAAATAAATGGAATCTATCTTTTTTTTTTTTTTCAACATCTTCACTTCCAACAAGGCAGCTGCAAGCAACCACTATTAGAGTTGGAAGTGACCATGGTAGTACCACACTCAACTTGTTTCTCTGTGCAGCAGCCTTGTTTGTCAAGGTTTGTGTTTCGGAGTTATAGAGTTAAGAGAGGGTTGTAACCATTACTAAAAGTAGTCTCCTTGACTGTATTGGCCTTCATGACCTTGGAGAATTGAATTGAAATTTAAAAAAATAAAAAGTTACTGGAAGAGAAAAGACGAAAGTTATAGTAATAACGATTAACAGACGAATTAAAAAATTAAAACTTATATGAATCAGGAAAACAAGATGAAGAAAGCAAGTTCCAAAGGACTGATGTTCGAGGAAAAAAACTAGACAAATAAGAATTTTTGGAGCACTTAGAAACAGTCACAGAAAAAAGGTGAGAAAAAAAGGAAGAGTGGCATAAGAATGAATTTTAGTAGATTGCACTAGAGACGTTAGCTCTTTAGAGCAATGCCCATTATAGTATTTAAAGAAAATAGAAAAAGAAGCGACATTACAAAGATGTGATAATGGTTGAAGGTTGGCTGCAAAAGGAACTTGCATGTTTACAAATGTTCACAATGTGTTTTTGCACCTTCTCTAAAAAAGAGAAAGGGCATCATTGGAAGAACTACCTAAGATATTGCATCAGTATTCCATACAAAAATGCATTTGAGATTTGTATTGATAAAGAATAGAGTTGGGAGTAAAAAAGTGGCAACCATGATAAAGAAATGTAACCTTGGCAGATGCTAAACTTGCAATCGATTTGATATATGGTTTCCAAGAAAGATCAGAAGTAGGAGTTAATCCTAGAAGATGACTTATCGAGTACATTACCATTCATAAGTATAGGAAGATCTAGATTATTGTGATAACGATTAGTTTTATCTGAGTTAAAGTTCACCATCCACTGAGAGCCCCATGCTGTATTAGAAGTGAGATCCTTTTCAAGCTCAAATGCCCCCCTCCAATCAATAAAAGAGTGTGGGCTTTTTATCAAGACAAGAATAAATGGTATCATCAGCTTACCATTCTATCATAGATGTAAGAATTTCTGGGAGATTGTTAATGTAATTTTAAAAAAGTATAGGGCTAAGGGTAGAATTTTGAGGAACCCCTGAAGTTATAGGATATGAAAGTAGTGCTGTCCATCAAGAACAGCTTTTATACTACGATTAGTAAGAAAGAACTGTGAAAAGAGAACATATGGAGAAGACCAGTATCCCAAACTTTATCAGAAGCTTTAAAGGTCAAGCGCAATAGCCTTAGTCTATCAGCTATTACCGTTAACAAATCAGCAGTAGAATGAGAAAATTGAAATCCATATTGATGATCAGAAAGTAAGTTATTAGATTCAATATAAGAGATTAAGTATTTGTTAATTAAAGACTCAAAAACCTTGTATGTGATAGTAAGAAGACTAATGGGGCGGTAGTCAGACAAGTCAGATTACTCTCCAGATTTGTTGAAAATAAGGATAACAAATGCTGCTTTTCAGCAGGCTGGAAAACAAGACTTTGATAAGCACTTAAAATAGTTTTGAAAGTATAGATGACAGCTCTGGAGAACACCTCTGCAAGACTATAACAGGTACGTTTTCTGGACCACAAGCTGTCTTTGTCTTTGCAAGAAATCACTTTAGATACAAAAGCTGGAGTGATACAAAAGTCAGGCAACAGATTAACCTGTTTGTCAGCTATATCAGGTAGAACGCAACTAGTGATGATATAGATGAGAAGTTCTTAGAAAATAATTCAACTTTGTTTTTAGGTGAAGTGACAAAATATGAACCATACAAGAGAGGTAGGTTAACAGATTCTTCAGAAGTCATGAGAGCCTAATTTTTAAGATGAAATACAAGATTTCCTGACCTGAGAATAAATGGCATTGGCGTTAGACAAAACAATAGTTTCAAGCATTAGTAAACAGACATCTGTTTTCTGGAGAATTGTTTAGCTATTAAAGCTAGATATTAAAGTAATGGTTACAATTGGAAATTGAAGCAGCACAATGATAGGAAAACTATGGAGAAGAGTGATGCTTGACTTGAAATCATCAAAAGGGAATAAAAGATTCCATGCAAGCTTGAATCCAAGAAGTTACATAAGAAGTTTATAATCAGGAAGATGAAAGGTTTCTACCCAAGAGTCCCAGTCAGCTTTTAGGTAGTTGTAAGAGGTACAATGATAGGGGGATTCTAATGATAAAGAAGAATGAGTTTTAGAGAGATCAAATCATGATCAGAAGCACCTAAGGGTGAATGTGGAGATGCGTAAAGATTTTTATTAAAACAGCTGGTAGCAAAAACCTTATGAAAGTAAATTTTTTTTCTTTTCAGCATTTGTTTGCTAAACTTTTCATCAGTTACAAGTATTCTCAAAATTTTTATTTAATCATGCGAGAATATATTTAATGAAGTTTATTCTGTAAAACATGTATTGCTTATTTTATTTTATTTTTAAAATTGAACAATTATTGAACAAAATTGCAAAAAAGTGTAGCATTTTTTTTTTTTAGCAAAAAAGTGTAGCATTTTTTTTAGCAAAAAAGTGTAGCATTTTTTTTTTAGCAAAAAAGTGTAGCATTTTTTTTTAGCAAAAAAGTGTAGCATTTTTTCTTAGCAAAAAAGTGTAGCATTTTTTTTTAGCAAAAAAGTGTAGCAATTTTTTTTAGCAAAAAAGTGTAGCATTTTTTTTTAGAAAAAAGTGTAGCATTTTTTTTTAGAAAATAGTGTAGCATATTTTTTTAGCAAAAAAGTGTAGCATTATCGAGTAAATTTTAAAATTGAAATCATTTAGTGAAAAACTTTTTATTTTGGTAGTTTTTTGATTAAATTTTAAGAGACAGGTTTTAATGCATAATACTTCCCAAATATGACATAAACTAAGAAATATTAAATATATTATGTTTTTTAATGCGCACAGCAACACATTGACAATTTTAATCTGTCTTGAATTATTGGCATAAAACATTAAATATTGCTTTAATTAATAAAAAGCTGTCTGTAAATTTGTTAAATGTAAAATCTATAAATATTTTCTTACTAAACATTTTAGAATTCAGCAAATATCTCTAATAAATGATGCCTGTAAATTTGTTAAGTGTAAAATCTGAAAATATTTTTCAACTAAAAATTTAAGAATTCAACAAATATCTATAATAAATGATGTCATTTACCATAATTCTTTGTTAATTAAAAATTTAAGAATTTGTATAATGTCATTTCGATAAGAGAACAAAAATGTCATAGTGTTAAACAGCTCGGATAAACTAGAAAAAAAATTTGCATTGTTTACATAAAAAAAAAAAGATTCAGAATATATATTAAGGTGATTAACCTTTTTGAATATTTATTATATTTTAAAATAGAAGTCTTAAATTTATTTGGTTCTTGCACTCTATAAAAAAACATTCTTTTTTTTAGCTTTTTATAAAATTTATAGGAAAATTATAGGATTGATAATAAACGCTTATTTTAAAAAACAAATAAAACAAAAACAAATAACATTAATTCAAAAGAAGAAAAATTCTACTATGACGTCATTTACTTTGATTACTGGGATTTATTTGTTTGAATGAAACTTTTTCCATAGTAAAAGTTTCTACTGTCTTGCATTGAATTTTCTCAACGAACCACAATAGAATATTCACACATTATAGAATTGTATTGATTTGTACAAACAAAGTTAAAAAACTCTTTGAAATTAAACCCACTTGAATAAATTATAAAGTCTGTAGATTTCGGCATATATTTTAAAGACTTTGAGAGATTGGCTAACATGGAGACAGCAAGCTTCAAGTAAAACAACAAAGTTTCTTTTTCTTGGTATACATTTATTATTTTGTTTTACTTCAAAACATTCTGCTTAAACTTTTTTTTTTTATCATTCTTTTTAAAATGAACACAACTTGTCTTGGCATTTTGGGATCCCTTTAAAGAACTTGGCTCAAAGCACAGATAGTACTCAGTATACTATTTAATAGTCCAAGCAACTGCCTTATTACTATAATAAACCCTAAGCCACAACAAAGGGCTCCAAATTTTGCCACAACAATCCTTATTAAAGTACAAACAAGAACACCATCCATGGCAACATGAGACTGTTAGTACTCAATATTTTACAACTGTTGATGGAATCAGCCTCTCTGAGAGCTACCATAGAGTTCAGAAAACCTGACTACCAACCAGCCTCAGAACCATAAAACTGAGTTTTAGAGTTGTACTGTCATTAGGAAATAATAGAATGAGATACCTAATCATAAAAACACCAGCAAAACCCATGCATTGAGTCAAGAAGATCCAGCCTTCAACATCCTAAACTAGAAACAATGTATTAAAAAAACATCTGTGCCAGCCTAATAGATGAAAAAGGGGTGCGAGGCTGGTCAACAGATCTATTTATCCCTTAAGTCTTTGCCTGGGAGACCTTCTACAAGACAGTAGTCGGATGCGTTTAACATCTGCCTAAAATGAGTATTTTTATCGAGGTACTATCTCAAGCCTTAACTCAAACAAGAACCCCAAGGCAGGGGCTAAAATAATTATGAAAATAATTTGTAGAAAATTAAATGTAATTTAAAAAGTTGCAATCAACAAAGTGTTTGAATGAAACTTTTTCCATAGTAAAAGTTTCTACTGTCTTGCATTGAATTTTCTCAACAAACCACAATAGAATATTCACACATAGAATTGTATTGATTTGTACAAACAAAGTTAAAATGCTTGCTTCATTAAACTACTCAAGCCACTACTCCTGCATTATTCCCACAAAACACAAATGTGCTTCTAGTTGTTTATCTAGATATCTATTACCTAACAACTTTAAGCTGCCTGTTCCCACTGCCCCTGAAAGAAATTTGCTATTTTCAGAAGAAAGCGACAAGTTTAACAGCGAGGAAGATATTTTGTAAACAAGCTTTATTTTTTGCAGGTTTGGTTGAGGAGAGGAGGCCATACTTCCTAAACAGAAAGACATCAAAAACCTAATCAGAGATCTATGTTTTACAAAGTCGAATAATGAGTTTTTGATACATTCATTAAAGCATGGTTTTAACAGTAATGTTTGTTAGATATGCAAGCTACAGATCAGAGAAAACATTAACATACACTTTCCTACTTCCTCAGTAATAAAAAGATTTGATGTTACTCACTCCTGAGTATTCACAAGACTAAAATGTGAAGTTGGTTTGTATAGTAACAAAAAACTGTAAAAAAATGTGAAGTTGGTTCAGATTCTCATAAAGAACTGCAAGATGCAGATTTAAACTTCATATACTTGACGCTAATCTTGATAAATTCAACGAAAACATGGGAGTTTACTCAGAGGAGCAAGGCAAACACTTTTAATAAAATATATTTTTAAATGTTGTTCTTGAGGATACCAAATTATGATGGGGACTTCATCTGAGGTCTATGATGGGGACTTCATCTGAGGTCTATGATGGGGACTTCATCTGAGGTCTTTTAGAATTACTCATTTCTGATGCTTTTTTTAGTAATTTTTTACTAATTAGTTGATTTAATATGCAATTGTTTCTTACGAGACCAATTGTTTCTTACTAGTAATTTTTTTAGTAATTTTTAACTAATTTGTTGATTCAATATGCAATTATTTCTTACAAGACCAATTAGACTAAAATATAAAATTTTTCTTGTTCTGTTTAAATAAAAATGAGCTTTCTTTTTGATATATTAACAAAATCAATGTTTTTTTCCACAGATTTTTTCCACAGATTCTTTAGATGTAAGCAATTAAAATATATCACTTCGAATCCAAAAACAAAAATTGTGTTAGATAATGGTATCTAGTATGAAGACATATTTTACATAGTGGTTACTATAGTTGCATAGTATATGCATAATATGCAACATATGCAACTAATCTGAATTCTAGAAATCTAGTACCAGAGTCAAAAAACATAAAGAAAAAAAAGAAAATAATTAAAAAATAAAATTAATTTATAGTGATTAAAAAAAAAAGTGTAAAATATTATAATATTTGTACTTTATTGTTGTTTGTTGATTTACTTCAACTAGATAATTTTTTTTAAAGATTGGAGCTGATATATGTGGCTTCAATGAAAACACAACAAGAAGTTTGTGCTTACGATGGACTCAATTAGGAGCATTCTATTCAATGAGTAGAAATCATAATGGACTAGGATTCATGGTGAACTTTAAAATTTAATTCTAATAATAAAGAATAATAATAATAAATATTTGATAAGCATTTATAATTTTTTTAAATAGTTATGATTTTTAATTTCTATTCACAATGTAAATACAAATTTAAATACTTTTTTATTAAAATTCATGTCATAAAATATTTTAGCGACAAGATCCTGCTGCATTTGATGAAGAATTTGCAAAGATAGCAAGAGAAATTTTGCATGTGCGTTATGAATTACTTCCATTTCTTTATACATTAATGTATAAAGCTCATGTTGATGGAAGTACTGTTGTTAGACCTATGTTTCATGTGTAAGTACTTAAAAGTATTCTAATAAACACTTCAACAAACAAAATAAAATTTTACAAAATTTCTTGTTTTACTTCATCATTCAACTTTTTAAAACTTTTTGTTGAAAGTTTCAATTTAGTGTTAGTATAAGTTTATACTGGTATCACTACCAGTAAATGTGTTATCGCTATCAGTGAATGTGGTATCACTACCAGTGAGTGTGATATCCCTATTAGTGAGTGTGGTATCACTACCAGTGAGTTTGATATCCCTATCAGTGAGTGAGGTATCACTATCAGTTAGTGTGATATCGCTATCAGTGAGTGCGGTATCACTACCAGTGAGTGCGATACTGCTATCAGTAAGTGTGGTATAACTACCAGTGAGTGAGGTGTTGCTACCTGTGAGTGTTGTATCACTACCAATAAGTTTCAAACATGTTTATTCACACATTTTAAACTTGATTTTTATTAAATAACTAAGTTTCTTAAGTATTTTTATTTCATATAGGGTAACGCGGGGCAAAATGAGACAGCGGGGCCATACAAGACAGTTCGCGTTTAACATAATGCCAGCCCTACAAATTATTATTTGCAAGATTTTTAAAAGTGCAGTTGTGTTCAAAAACTATTTTGTGTCAAGAAAAATATATTGAGTCACTTTGAAATAAAAAAGTTGAGTAAAAGGGGAATCATTTCATCCCTCGGCTTCGCGAAAATTACAAATTTTTAAGAGTTGTTATTATATTTTTTCCTAGCCTTTTTTGATCTCACTGAGTGGAAAAGCTTTTTATATTTAAAGTTATTTTTTAATTAGAATCTTTAGGCCTTTTCTTTTATTTCCATTCTTTGGTATTTTATTTCTTCAATAAAATATTCTGGAAATTAGGCTATTCGATGCCAACATGATGCAGGGCAAAACGAGACATTCTGTTTGTATTTTTTTTTGCTGATCTAATATTATGTTTATTTAATTTTTTACATTAAAACAACAACCAAAGCAAATATTATTATTTACATGCTGTAGATTTAAATTTGTTATACTGTATTTACTTACTTTTTATTTTGTTAATTGAAATGTTTAGTTGTTATCCAATATAGAATTACGTTTTATATTTTGTTAACTTATATTTAAATATAATAAATATTTAATCAAATTGAAGCAAATAATTGCCTGATGTTTATAATTACTATGTTTGTATTTTATAATCTTATTGTATTGTAATGTAATAAAGTAAGTAGTATATAAAATATATAGTGAGTAGATTATAACATATAGCTTATTGCAGTACCTATAAACAAAATACAATGAATGTTATGCGTGCTTTAAATACATAAGTTTAATATATGCATGTATTGTTTTATTAGTTCTTGTGGAGTCATTTTCAAAATGCACAACCTGGGCTCATTCGGACTGTTATTCGTTTCAAAATACTGGTCAAGCAATATGTGATTTATGTGACTAGTGACAGTTTGATTATAGCTGTAATATATTATAAAATGTATTTCTTGCTAATCCTCTTAAAGATCTGTTTTTTTAAACTTTATTTATTTAGATTACTAAAATCTGTCTCATTTTGCCCCGGTATGCGGGGCAAAATGAGACAGGATAGGTGCTGTCAATAAATGATCTCTGTTGACCAAACTACTGCAGTTTTGCAACTCCTACTTTTTAGGCTTCAAGTAGGATCGTAGAAGAATTGAAAAATATCAATTTATTTTTTCAAAAGTTGTTAGACAGGCCGTATTAGATATATTAGCTTAAGTGTCTCATTTTGCCCCTCGTTACACTAAAAATATATGAAAAACAAACTTTTAAAAAAACTTTGATTTTTATTATTTTATCGATGATAAAATGGTTGAAATTATTTTATCAAAAAAAATTCTCGCTACAAATGACTTATATCAAATAAAGCTAATCTAACTTTTTACTTGAATATTTTTGATAACAAACTCTTGAACTTTTTTTGAAAATTTACCTGTAAAATTTATTACATCTTCATTTTTATTTTTTAAAGATTATAACCTAGAAATTTATACTATACTCTAGCTCAGTTTCAACAGTTTCTTATTTTTGTTTGATCTTTTTGCAACATATTTGGAGCCTATGCTATTTTCATTAAATCTTCATCATTATCACTTATCAGGATGTCACTTTTCTATTAATCTTGAGCAAGTTTTTTTGAAGCACCTAAAAACACTAAATGATTTGACATTAGGCCATTTAGTGTAATAAACTTTTTTATGACTGAATGAAATTCTTTTTGCGGTTTTCTTTGTGGTGATTCTTGGGCTGATGTCTTTTGTCTCTCTGCAAAATATTTTGCTTCCTTTATAATCTTCTGGATTCGGTCACAGAAAACTTTATTTCTTTTATCACTTTCAGTTCAAGCTTCACTTTACACCATTGTTATCTCCTTATCTCTAATTGTTATCTCCTTATGTCCCATTTTTATCTTCTTATCTCCCATTGTTATCTCCTTCTTCAACATCTGCTATTGTTAATTGTAATCATTTCTTTTTCACTAACACACAAACAAGTCACTGGAAAACAAACATCTTTTTACCATTCAATAAATCAATGTAAGAAGGTATTGTCGGACACTTCAATTTTATATATTTTTTAATTGTTGTTATGCTTTTCATGATGAATGGCAGCCATCTTACTAAGTAATTAATATTCTATTTTCTCTTACTATTTTTTCAACTGACAGTCTTTCACTGCTGACCTCTCAGAGAAAGTATAAACAATCCATTGTAATATTTGCATCTGCAAAGGTTGTCTCTTTTTATTATGTTCACCATTTTCTTAATCCTTATTCCAATTTCTACCTCTATAAATCTGTTATTGGTTAATGTGTGGAAAAAATTTATAACAAATTTATTTTAAAACAATGTTTTTATAGTATATTTATTTTTTATCTCTTGAAAATGTTTTCCAAATAATTTATTAAATATCCTTAAAAGGTTTCCTTATGACCGAAATACCTGGAACGTTGATTCGCAGTTTTTTTGGGGATCAAGTCTTCTTATCACACCTATTTTGGAGGAGGTTTTTTTCTAATTTTTTATATTTCTATATTTGAAAATTATAATTATTAATTTTTTTATAATCTAAATATTTGTTTTTAAGTTTTCAATTGTTTATTTTTAAGTACAGTTTTAAACTTGTTTTTTTGTTTTGTTGTTGTTGATATTACTCAGATTACTTTTAGATTATCTTAACATATTTTAGGTTATCTAAGCATACTTTTAGGTTATCTAAGCATACTTTTAGGTTATCTAAGCATACTTTTAGGTTATCTAAGCATATATTTAGATTATTTAAACATACATTAAGGTTATCTAAGCATAATTTTAGGTTATTTAAACATGCTTTTAGGTTACCTAAGCATACCTTTAGGTTATCTAAGCATACATTTAGGTTATTTAAACATACATTTAGGTTATCTATGTATACTTTTATGTTATCTAAACTACTTGAGATATAAAGATTTAATGCTTGTATATTTTAAAAAAAAAATTATATTAAAATAGTGTTTTGCAATGAACATGTTTTTAAACACTTTTTGTTTAGAATGCAGTAAAGGTTAACGCCTACTTTCCAACTGAAGCAAGTTGGTTTGATTATTTCACTGTAAGTCATTAATTCTCATAGTAAGCTATTATTGCTGCCAATCAATCTAGTAAATCTGAGTATGAACTATGATTAAAATTAAAACCTTGAGGTTTATCACTTAGAAAATTCAAAAGTTTTTTTTTATTTATTAAAACTGTAAGATATGTGGATCATGGCTATGTAATTAGATATCCTGTATAACTCATACAATTATTCGGAACCATGCTAATTGTTTTAACCTAAATTAAAGTTTCATTTACTGAAAAAAAACTCAAAGAAATCTATTTTGGAATTCAATTGCTAGGATTGTTCAGAATTTAATTGATTTTAATAGATGGTTTATAAATTTTGACAAGTATTCCACCACCTATTCTTATACCACAAAATGTACTATCACTGGTAATACATCCATTCATATCAAATATAAGGTTTGTTCTCGTTTATATGATGCAGAAATAAATGTTGCATTTTCAGAGAGTAAGATTTAGTCAATAAAGCTAATATTGCCCAGTTTTATTCTTTTGTAAAAGCAAAAACCAAATGCTGTAGCTCTGTTGCACCAATAGAGGATATTACCACCTATTCTTATACCACACAATATCTTGTTGAAAAACGAGAGCTGAAAAAAAATAATATTTTTTATCACAAACAACGAACACAATTTTTATGTTTAAAAGATATATAGAAAAGATAAAATTGCATAAAAAATGTATGTTATATATTTATATATAAAAAACCTTTTAAAGGTTTAACCTCTATAGGTTGAAAATTTTAAATTTGCATACATAAAAATTTTAAATTTGCATATATAAGGTGCACTTATGCACCAGTTTGGTTTGGCTTATTAGCCAAAACCAATGCAATGTTGATTAATCAACCAATGGTCAATCTGATTAATTGGTTGCTGATTACCAATGGCATAGATTAATGGCACTAATAGACTGATTAATGGCACTAATAGACTGAGTCACTACATGTTATGCATATATATATATATATATATATATATATATATATATATATATATATATATATATATATATATATATTTTAAACTATTCACCTCCCCCAAGGCCCGTGGGGGCCACTACAGTTGAGGAGGCTACTCATTTTTTTTTTTTTTTTTTTTTTATGTAAATCGTGGTACAACCCTCTCTCAACTCTTTAACTCCGAAACACGAACCTTGACAAGCAAGACCGCTGCGCGGAGAAATTAAGTTGATATATAGTGTATATATATATATATATATATATATATATATATATATATATATATATATATATATATATATATATATATATATATATATATATATATATATATATATATATATAATATATATATATATATATATACATATATATATATATATATACATATATATATATATATATATATATATATATATATATATATATATATATATATATATATATATATATATGTGTGTCTGTATATGTATGTATATATTTAAATATATATATATATATATATATATATATATATATATATATATATATATATATATATATATATATATATATACACATATATATATTACATCCTTAATATTATTATAATACCCTTATATAAGTACATTAAAACCTATTACTAGCCACAATCAGTCTTTGCTATCAGCACATCACTATAAAAGATGCAGCGTTTTTTTGCTTTAACAGTTCGGCTTTTTTGCTTCAACAGTCAATATAATATTTGACCAAGTTTGCTTCAACAGATCGGCTTTTTTGCTTCAGCAGTCAATATAATATTTGACCAAGTAGCAGCTTTTGAAAAAGCCAACACCAACCTGTTAGTTCAACTTGCTAACTGTCAACCATTGGCAGATCATCCATCCACTCCACATTCCCAACTGTTCCTAAAATCGTTTATTTTACAATAAGCCAAAACTGGGTCAGCCACTAACAATACCATCATAAACACTATGAATCATAAACTTCTAAGAACAAAAGAAAAGTAAACCACCATGACTTAGCTTCCTAATGCAACTAGTTACTAATAACTTAGAGCATAAGAATCAAGCCAAATTGCTACTGCCAATAAAGGCTAATAAAGTCTTTAGAATCTTAAAACACACTTTCATCAGTTGACACTAAAGTATGGAAAAAACATTGCACCACCTATATATGCCCACATATTAAGTTTTCAGTTACCGCCTGGGGCTTGTACTTTGAACAAGACATAAGTGTTATAGAGCACATTTAGTATCAGGCTACCAAAGTACAGGGGCATAGTGGCGTACCAAAATACAGGGGTGTATATGTATATACATATATATAGGCTTTGGAAGGAATCCCAGGCAATTGCCGGCGATGGCTTCCACAAAGGTATAAGTGAGTTTAAAGCAAAATAAAGCTTGTGCAAATATGCAATAGTTTTTTTATAAACAGCAAAATTTTATATATTTTAGATTGAGTTGTATTTTACTTACATAAACAAAAATAGTGAAAAAAAAAAAAGCGCATTTAAAATAAAATTTCACTTTAATAAATATTATGTAGTTATGCAATAATATAAAAAAAGCAAAAAAATTTAATTCGTTGTTACGTTTTTGTGAGCATCTTTAAGGTAAAAAAGTTTGTAATTAGAGATTTTCTAAAAATGTTTTGACATGGTTATTTTTAAATAAGCTTGATATGTTCAAATGGCCAGTATAAGAATTTCATCAAAAAGCATATTAGAAAAGCAACAACAACAAGAACTTTAGTGTTTTTTAAAAACCTATTTGAGTTTTATATTTTTCATTAAAAACTTTTCAAAAATAAAATATGCTTTTTAATATAGTAAGTAAAAATTGGTAGTTTAGAAAAAAAAAAGAAAGGTATACCCGAAGTCCTGCATGTCCTCAAGGCCACCTTGCACCTGCCAAAGTACTGCAGGAAATGAAGTGCTTCAACTATAAAACATGATGCATCAAATTCAGCCTCACCTCTCTACTTGATGAGCGTTTATGTGGCAGTCTCATCCAAGAATACATAATCAAGTACAACATCAACTTAGTTAACTTGCATATTGCTCCACCTAATATCCCACCTAGTCAATTGTTTCAAAGCAAAACTCAATCAGCAATCACCATTGTTACCACAACCCATCATCTTCTGTGCAATCATGCACGAGCTAGCCCAACTAGCTGTTTACATAACACGCTTTTAATTATTTTAGGTTTCCATTTTAGGTTTTTGGTAATGTTTTATGTAAAATATCTTTTACTTTTTAACAAAAATACTTATATTTTAGACAGTTCGTTTCTTTTCAATTTGTTAAAAAATGTTTGTTTTTTCGAGTTAAAAAAATCCCCTTTAGATAAATTTTATATATTTTTTTAACAAACAATTTTTTTCAGTATTTTAATAAATTAAAAGTAAAAAGTTAATTTTACAATGATATTTTTAACAGTAAATAATGAGCCAACTAACTCAGTCGAATATTTGCCAACTCACTGTAACCTAGATAACACATGGACATCAACATGATGTTTTACTTTTATCTTTTATATCAGCATCAGATCAGCATTGTTTCCCTTCATCAGGGCGATTTCAGCTTGACAAACAAATTAAATTAAAAAAATGTTTTGTTTGTAAACTAAAAAAATTTACAAAGTTTGTAAAGGAAGACATTCATTTTAAACTTTTGTAATTTGTGTTGTTAACTTGTGTTAAAACAAATATATTTTTTAGTTTGAAGAGATGTCTTCTGGTCTGCAGTCTCTACATATTCCAATAGACAAAATTGGTTTGCACATTAAGGGTGGATCAATTATTCCAATGCAAGGTGCAGCCAATAACACCAAATTCAGGTATAAGCTTATCTAATAGAGTAATTAATATGACTAATTATATTACATAAAAATAAATTTAAGTTAATTTTATTAAGTTTGAGTTTTATTGATAATCGATGAAGCTTTGGGACTATGTTTTTCTATTGTCAATCTATATATACAACATTGGTGTATATGTTTATATATATATATATATATATATATATATATATATATATATATATATATATATATATATATATATATATAAACATATATATGCAAACATAATATGTATGTGTTTGTGTGTGTATGCAGGTAGCATTGTATTTTTTTGTACAATTTTTTTTTTGCTTAAAACGATGTTTAGCTTTTTTTTTTTTGACTGATTCACTCCCTAGAAGGCAGCAAGAAACCACTATTAAATTGGGAGTTACTTGAAAACTAAGAAGTGTTAAAGAGCAAGGAATAAATTGACAGAAGACTTGAAAAGTTGAAAGCTGTATTTAGTCAGGAAAAAATTAATATGAGAGAACTTCCAAAGCATTGAAGTGTGAGGAAAAAAAGTAGTGCATGAAGAAATAGATAGCGTAAAAGGATACAACTTTGCTGAATGACCAGCCAAGAGAGAATGAGTTGATGGAGGGAGAAATTTATTTGAGCAGTGATCATGATAGTATTTTTAGAAAAGAGAAAGAAATGCAACTTTACAATGATGGGAGAAAACCTCAAGGTTGCAGATAGAGCATGTCCACCTATGTTTTTAATACATTTTTGGACCTTGTCTAGAAGAGAAAGAGCATCATTAGAAGTACTAGCCCAAATATGTCAACAGTATTCCATACAAGGACAAATAAAAGATTTTGTAGACGTAGAGAATGAAATCATGAATACAATAATGGTGAGCACAATATAGAGAAGCAACCTTACATATGTAAACTTTGCATTGGGTTGTATATATGGTTTTTATGAGAGTTCATTATTGAATGATAATCCAAGACTTAAAGTGAAGGAGTCAGTTAAAGGGTTACTGTACTCTAGCTTAGTATCTAACTAACACTTAACCTAACTGTCTTTAACTGACACCCAACCTGTTACAGAAGAGAGATCAGATTAATTCAGCCTATTCTAAGCAATCAAAGAAGACTTTTTGTTAAGACAGAATTATAAAGTAAAGTGGTCAACAAGATCCACTTAAGATGTAAGATTGTCAGGAAGATCATTAATGTAGATAAGAAAAAATACAAGACCAAGGATAAAAACTTGTGGTACTTGTAGTTACTGGAAAAGAAGAAGAGTAATGGTCTCCAAGGTTTTATTACTGCAGATAGGAAGAAACAATTTCATAATCTCAAAAACTTTCTCTGATACATTGTAAAAAGCAAAATTATAGAGAAGACTAGCATGCCAAACAAAAGCTTCAGATATGTCATGAGCAATAGCCCTTGCTTTGCTGCCCTATCCAATGCACAATAGACTCAGCTAAAGTAGTTAGCTAAAGGAATCTATTGCTAAAGTCAGTTATAGAACAAGAAGAAAAAAAAACATTGTTTTTCTGAGAGTTATTAAACTCAAGATGTTAGAAATTTGTATATTAAAGACTCAAAGATCTTGCTCATATTAGCGAGAAGATTGATTGGGCGATAGCTGTAGGTCGCAGACTGTCTTCTAGAGTTTTTTAAAATTGGAACCACATATGCCATTTTTTAGCAAGCAGCAAAAAAAATATTTATGTAAGATTTTTTAAGAATTTAATTTAAGAGTTTTGTTAATGTTGAAGACTTATCTTTGTTATTATTATTGTTATTATTATTGTTAATGAGATTTTTTCTAAAAGTCTCCAGAACTTCTGACGTAAGGCTTGAGATTTAATAAACTGGGAATGGAGCTTAGAATTAGACATCTTTTTACATTGATTTCTTGCAATAATATAAGATGTTTGTTCTCAAATGAGTTGTACTTTTGAAAAAGATTAAAATAAAATGATATCAGTTAAATATAGTAGCTGTACAAGAAAGTAAAAAACATGGAGTAGAATTATGTTTGACTTTTTTTTAACTACAATCAATGAGGCTACTTTTTTATGGTTACAACTCTTTAAGTTGAAAACCTCGATGAACAAGATTGCTGCATCTAGAAACAAGTTGAGCATGATACTGTCAGAGGTGTGGTATGAATCAAATTAGAAACTTCTTGCTTATGAAGTGAGTGCTTTACAATCACACAAAAACATTTAAAACTTCCATACTTGCTTGAGTTCAGGAGGTTATTTAGGGGTGCATTTATCAGCAAAGAGACGATCAGCTTAAGATCTGTCACAGAGAAAATCACGAAAAAAATACCACTCAGTTTTAGGGTAAGTTCAGACACAAAACAAAAATCAAGGACTAAATGTAAGTGATTAGGTTTGTCTGGAAAATGAGTCACAAAGTTACCTATCTGAGTAAGAGATTGAGATATGCAGATGTTAAAAGCTTTAGTGCCTGCAGGATCAGTGATGTTAGAGCTAAGGCATTTAGTGTGGTGAGCATTAAAGTCAACAATAACAAAATATTAGCAGAAAGATAAAGGGAAAGGGCATGGTCAATTAGATCAGAGATAACATCTAAAAAAGTGTTGTTTTGAGAAGAAGGAGAATAAAAAAGAAAAAAAGAGAAAGGTGAATGAGTAAAGAGGTGCTAAGCGAAAACACATAATATAATGGTCAAAGGATTCAAATCTGATTTCACAATAAATAGGTAAATTGATGTGTAAATATACGCCTAAGCAAAGCATGTGACTATCACAGTCTTGCTAATCAAAGAATAATAGCCATTAATACTTAGATCTGAAAAAGAAACAAATTCAAATTAGTCTTACAAAGAGCAAGTAAGTCTTATGAATTTTTCAAGAGTTATGATTTAACTAATGAAAAGTTACTTTAAAAACCGTATTTGTAAATTTTGAAGTTATAGTTTTTTGATTATTTTTCCCAATTAATGTGGTATTTGGCATTGTCCTTTAACTAAAAAATAAACAATCTTTTACATTTTTTGCATCATTTGCAAAACATTTATATTTTTATTTATTATGTTTTTGAAATTATGATATTATGTTTTTGAAACTAATATTTTTGATGATCTCAAAACCAAGTTTGTTTGCTTGTTTTTCCACCATCATGTTATTTGATTTTTAAAGTAAACTTTGTTTTTATGTTGTTTTTTTTGTTGTTGAATTTTTTTTGGTTATATTTCAATTAAGTAGCATAATTTGAATTTTGTATCTATGACAGCACTAGGATTTATCAAAAAAATTATTTGATTTTCCAATAAGTTGCTTTATTTTCAATTTACTTGTTAACAATTATTAAAAGTACCTAGTTTTGTGTTTTGCTGACTGTATTTTGTAAATAAGTTTGTTTTTTTTTCCTTAAAATATCTCTTTGTTCATTTTGAAAATACAATTGTTTTTACTGTTGCCATAAGAATGTCTCTTGCAGATGTCCTTGCAGCAACGCATGCCCACTAGGTATTTAATTATATAAGTTGATAAATTCTTAATAATAGTGGAGTTTTAAAACAAGTAGTTGTCAAAACAAGTTTACATCAAGTTAGGTTTTTTATTTGAATCAACTTTTTTTTTAATATTTTACAAAATGTTGCAATAAAATTGTTTAACATTTTTAAAGCTGTTCAAAAATATATAACTACTATTTTCAAGTAAATCTATTTTATAAAGAGCAATTAATCTGAGAAAATATTCTTTTATAAATTGACTTTTAATTATATAAGCTATTTCTAATTCTTAGTTTTCTACATATAATGGTGGCTGTTTTTAAATTATATTTTGAAGTAAAATGTGCAAAACCGCTTTTGGTGTACAAAATTATAGCACAACTGCACATCTCAAGAACATCTTTAGCAACATCTCCACCAAAGACTTTCTTTAATATCTAAAAATTGTTTAAAAACCTCTTTTTTAAACCAAACTAAGGTATATTCATGCTTAGTTCAAATCAAAATGTTTTGCAAAAGATTCATGCTCATGAGTATCAAAATGGTTCAAATTTTTTATGCTCAAAAAACTTTTATTTGTTTTTTTCCCCTCAAACTTTGATGTTTAAGAACAGCTATTCTAGACCCTTTTCAACAGTGTTGACTGTATTTGGGCCCTGCGACTTGTGTATTGTGGCCACTGCCAGTGTTTACTGAATTTAGGCCCTGTTTAAATTCAGTTATCAAGTACTTTTTATATATATATATACAGCAAATACTATTTTTTTTCATCTATATTTTGCAATGTTTCCGTCAAATATCCTTACAACAGGCACCACCACAGGGGGTTCTGTCATTCAATTTATTTTCATAAAACAGCCTGTGATTACTTAATGGTGCATTTTTATGAATGTCTCTGAATACTGAAGACAACCGCGTTATTTAATTTTAACTAGAAATTATATATTTAATAGCCGAAGAAAACCCATGAAGCTTCTTGTTGTGTATGATAAATCTTTTAAAGCTGAAGGAGATTTGTTTTGGGATGATGGCGAATCATTAAGTATGTATATATTTGTTAAATAATTTTAATTTTTCTAAATAGAACCTTGAGAAATAACATTTAACATTTTTACTATTATTTATTTTTGTAATGGAAAATATTTTTATTAAATAACTTCATTAAAGTGTATTTCCTGTTTAATATTAAAGTGTATTATTGATTAGTGTATTTTTCAAACTTTTTAGCAAGATTTGGTATTGCAAACATACAAGAATTAAACTGTAGGTCATAATAAATATAGCCAGGAATATAATTAATCTAACTATGAATATATTAAATCAAGCTGTGAATATATTAAATCTAGCTGTGAATATTATAAATCAATCATGAACCTTTAAAACAATAGTACTAATAATAGTAACTAGTTGAGATCAGATGCATAAAAAAACGGATCTTTGTAAGTCTATTCCAAACCAAACTTTTCTTTTACTTTTTCCCTATACATCCTAGCTTTCCAGATTCGTAAAATATGGGTCTTAACTAAGCCTACCATTTCTATCCATATCTATTCTGCACTGATTATTTATATACCTATTCCTTATTTAATTATACTTAACTTTTTACTTATACTTTTTAGTAAAACAATTTATTCTGAAAAAAACATTCAAGAGTAAAAAACTTAACATGTGCACCTTTTCGGCATATGTAGAGCTTATAAAAGACTTAAAATTAGGTTTATTTTTCTACTAAATGCGTTTCATTTGATAGCTCAGTAGTTAGGTGCGCTGTCATCAGTTTTATTTTGGGGGGTTTAAGACTTCCCCTTAGTGTAATAAACTTTGAAACTTTTTTAATGTTTATATACTTATAACAGAAAAATAATAATGTAGCAAAAAAAATTTTTCTAAAATTTAAAAATAAAATCTTAAAGTTTTCTCATTTTATAGAAAAATGTTTGTACGTAACGCTATACAAGCTAAGAAGATCTTAGACCACTAAATATAGTCATTAAAAAAAAGTGCATTCTAATGATTATTATTAAAAACTAAAAAATAATATAGCCTTAGCTATTAAACACTAATCAAAAAGTTAAGCCAAAATATTTTGCTCATTGACGTTGGTTTGTGGCAAAATAAACCATTATGCTTCAAGTTTTCTTTTGCATCTTACATTTTTTGATTAATTTTAATTGTTGCATACAATCGCATAAAATTATATAAAACCGGTACAGATATATCATTTCACTGATAAGAGATTGTATTTATTACAATAGTAATAAATAAATAGTTTTTATCTTTATTAGATTATATCCCATAAAAATATATTCCATCTATCTTTAATAAAAAGAGTTTTTTAAAAAAATTTAAATCAAATTTTTTTTTATTTTTTCTAGTTTTTTGCCACAAAGCAATGTCACATACGCAAATAAATTGTGGCTTCTGCGATTTCCGAAAAAGCCTCATCTATCATTTTTAACGGCCTAAGAAGCAGATAACGTAATTTTAGTAATCAGAAATTATCAAGAGAGGGGCAAATCTAAAATTGAAGTTTCGAATTTTCCACTTGGATGATACAATATGTTTCATGTTTTTTCAATCTTGTAAATTTTTTAATAAATATAAATAACATAGATAGAAAAAATTTAAACAAAACAGCTTGACCAAAAAAGACTCGTAATTATTAGAAAAGTTTACTTACATTGCATTCGATCCTGAATAAAATGTTATATAGGTGGTTTTTTTACATTTTATAAACAATATACATAACCAAATAACATATTTGTTATTTGTTTATGTATATTGTTTATAAAATACATATATATTGTTTATATAGGGATGGTTAAGCGCCAAACCTGCCTATACAATAAAGTTTTAAAAAAATTAGTTTTATATTAAAAAACGATTTATATGTTTCTTTGCAAACACCAATTTAGTATACTTAAAGTTTTTAAATGCACTGAACTGCAATTACTTTTAATTTTTAAATGCACTGAACTGCAATTACTTTTAATTTTTTTAGTTTAGTGGCATTTGTTAAGAGCTTTTTGCGTCAAATTATCTCATTTCAACATATTGGTTGTATCATCCATTCTGCAGCAGTTTTTCAAAACACTTTAACCCTCTACCCGGCACATTATGATCAAAATGCTGAAAAAAAATTTTTTATAAAATTCCTGTAAGAGTATGGCTTTATGTTATAAAAAAAGTTATAATTTTTTTTTTTATATATAATTGTTACCATTTTATAATTTGTTGCAAATTTGCAACTTTGCCAAAAAGAGGTATTGAAAATAACCATTTTTGGAAGAAAAAAAACAGATGTTTGAGGTATTTTAAATTTATTAACAAGATAATAAAAAGTATAATAGACTGCTGCAGTTTTAAAACAAATTCCTTAGACAATATTACTTTATGTATTCTCTGATTTTATTGTACATGGAAGTCTTTGAAGCAGTTTCTATTCTTGTACAAGCAAAGCTTTATTTTACGTTTTGAGCAAGAAAAAGAACAGGTCATGTTACATATTCTATAATGATATTAGCATGTCTACCAGATCTACACCACCCATTGATGCATTATATTGAAGAACAATGTCAGGAGCTGTGACATCAAAATATACCTTCTTTTTACTGTCAAACCTCTTGACTTTTGTGGATCCGGCAACACCTGCATGCGTTGATCCAAGTGTAACAGCTTTGTTATCAAACCATTTTACTAAATGTATTCCTGAATTCTGATCTACTCGATAGTCCCATGATCCTCTTCCTTGAGATTATAGTTCTTTTTCTGATAAAAGTTTTACATTTTCCAATTAGATTATTACGTCCCTGTTGCAAATATTCCCATCGTTTTCAGTTCATTAAGTAATTGTAAAGTAGAAAACCAGTTTTTTATGCTTGTACTAGTCGTAGTATTACATTTTCAGCACCACAACTTTGGCTACTTGCACATAGATAAAGAAGCCGTATATGAAGCCTGACTTTCCTGCTATAACAAAATTTTTAAAACCCCACTTGTGGATTTTTTTTGGCATATACTGACATATCCCACTGCGCTTAGTTTTGGCCGGTATTATTTGCTCATCTGCAGATTGGTCTTGTTCTTGTTCAATTTTGATGCAGTTATTACGAACAGCATCTAATACAGGTTTTACCTTAAACAATTTTCCAGACTGTTCATTTTTTGTAGTATTGTCAACTGCATGCAAGTACCTTCATAACGCTTGCAAGTACATTCATAACGCTTTAACTGCATGCAACTGCATGCAAGTACATTCATAACGCAACTGCATGCAAGTACATTCATAATGCTTTAAACTCATAACATCAGCAACAGCACTGCATTGAAATTCTGTTGACCAAAATGATTCATAGCTAGGAAGACGAACTAATGATATCAGCATTTGAACTCCTAAAAATTGCACAATCTCCTTAAAATTTGTCGCTATAGTAGAACCTGTCAACTGAACACTATAAAGATTAGTTTGTTCTACTAAATTCTGAGTGATGCTATCATCCCAAAATATTTTAAAGTACTCAAGTGGTGTCATGTCATCACGTTCTGGTAAAGAAAATATTTCTTCCTTGAACACTACATCAAATATTGGTGGTTCTTTTTTTCTCCATCTATAGACAGGCTTCTATGCAGACTTTCTTTTATCACTAAAATGTATATATATATATATATATATATATATATATATATATATATATATATATATATATATATATATATATATATATATATATATATATATATATATATATATATATAATGTTTATGTATATCCATTATTTAGGTTGACATACCATAACTCTTCAGCTGATAAAATATTTTTGAACGGTAAAGAAGCATTTTCTTCTTCTTCAACCCTACAGATAAGAAAATAGAATAGAATATTACATTATACCTCTAAGCAACTTAATTATACTCAAAATTGACTCACTCAGATTCATCAGAACTGAAAACAACATGATTAATGAGTTCTGCCTCATTCCCTGATTCATCTGATTCTACAAGGTCTGATAATTCAGAATCAGAATTTGGTTCAAGCACCAATAGTTAACAGCTTCTTGTACAGTAAAATTTCGAATTCTGCATGTTTTTGTTTGAAAAACAAAAACATGCAGAATTAGGAGATCAATATAGTAATCTTCAATGTTAGGAGATCAATATAGTAATCTTCAATGCTTGTTTAAGTAAATAATAACTCTTTTCGATAACTTCAATCTTAGGACATATCAATTTTATGCATTTAAGCATCAGATGGGGTTTTCATGTGACAAAAAAAAAGCATTTAAGGTAGTAACTAAAACTTACCAAAAACAGCATTTTTGTTTGTTTGTATCAAAATAGTTAAAAAGGTCTAAAATACATGTTTCAAAATAACTTTTATTGTTGATGAGCTTTATTACTAAAATATTTATCACCAAATGAAAAAAAAAAAAAAGGAAAAAGGGTTTAAAAAAATAGTTTTGACTTTTTTACAAAAAAAGCTAGTTTAGATGCCTACAAACGCTATTGAATAAATATTTTCAAAGAGTTCTGAAAAAGTTTATCAAAATTATTCGTTTCAAAAAACATTTTACAAAGAGTTTCTCCTAACAATTTTTTTTAATTGCATTTTTCTTGAAATATGTAATAAGCATATTAAGGCGTTTTGAAAAACAGTTGCAGCATATATTTATAGTAAAAAAGTAAATGTAGCAAAATAAACTTTTAATTGTAAAAAGAAAGTTTTAAAGTTTTATATAGCTTCGGTCTTTTTTTTTTAATTTTTTTTTTGCCTCCACAGCAGCACCTTCTTGAGCAGCAGGACTTTATTATTAAGTTTTTTCTTCATTAAGTTGCAGACAGCTTTTTTTTTAGACAATCTGCAGCTTATTAGGATTAATTACCTGAGCACATTAATGACATCAATATAACATCAATAACATAAGTATCTCAATCATGACACATACACAACAAATTTTTTTCTACTGGTGATGTTTTTTTTGATGTTTTATTATGAAATTTTAGCTTTCTTTAAATCTTTTTTTTTTGTAAAAGTGTATAATATTGTTACATATGTTTGTATATAATCTCTTTAAAACTTCAAAAGTATTTTGCATTTTAAAGTAATCAAAAAATATTTTAAAAAAAAAAAGTCGTTAGTGGTAGGAATCGAACCTTGGCTTAAGGCCGTTTTCCACAAGGCGAAATATTTGCGCGAAGCGAATTTTTTCGCTATGACAAAACGCTGTTTTGATTTCCACTTACTTTCTTTTGCGCTACTTTTTTTTCGTTGTCAACAATAAAATGGCAGCAATAAGTTTACGTTGTATGTTTAACTAAAGACAGTTATTACTTTTTTAGCATACTTTCTACTTTGAAGCATGTGAAAATTTCTTTCCGTGCATAAATAATAACATTTCTGTCTTTATATGTAAGATGTGATATCATTTTGTAAAATAATCATTTATTATAAGGTTTTTTTTACAAGAAAGTATAAGAAAATAAATGCTAAACTCTGATATGATCATTTCTATTAAAAACTGTTACTGCAAGAACAAGCAGCAGGTTTAACTCTATTTAGGGTTTTACAAAAAAAGGTTTATCTTTGTGTGGCTAATTAAAGATAAACACTCTTATGAAGTGTAACTTTCGTAATTGACAGTGTTAAAATTTATAATTGTAAACTCTCGATTTAGTTTTAGATATAAGTCTTGTCATTTTTTTATATAAGTCTTGCTCCTTATTTGATGAGTTTACTCATGCTTGCCAATTTTCAGAGTAATTTCATATAAAATTAATAATAACGCCAGGTTAAGAATTTTGTTTTTTTGTTACTTTGAAAACTACATGATTTCGCTTTTTTTTACTGTTGACATCACGTGATATAATATTCAAAACTTGATTGGTTTTCCCTTATGGCGATTCGCAAAAAGTCGAAATGATTCCGACTTTTTTTTTCGCTGCAACGAAACGCTGTAGCGAAAAAAAATCAGAAAAATTACCAAAAATGTTTAATCTGCACATGCTCAACGACAAAAAAATTTGCTTCGCGCAAATATTTCGTCTTGTGGAAAACAGCCTTTACTTGTTCAGATTTTTCTCGCCATTACCTCGCTTGCAATGGCTGCCAAGGGTACCGTGTCAAACAGGCATGAAAGTGCACTACTACTACAAAGACTATTAAGTTCAGTATTATTAATATTGTTTAACAACAAAATGATACATAAATATTTTAAAGTAAATTATGTTTATATATATTAAAAAAAAAAAATGTGATGAAAATTAAAAAGTTACAAGTTTTATTAAAAAGTTTCTTAAAATTAAAGTTAATGAAAATTATAAATGTATTGTGAAAATATGAAAATAATGCATCACAAAATTTCATTTAAAAATTGTTTTTATTATTTATTAATGTCAGTAGGCAGTAAGCTTGTTCAAATAACATCAGGAATCAAAAACAAAGAAATTAAAATGAACATTTTCATTTTAATTTCATTATTTTTAGTTATTATTAAGCTAATGGTTCATTTAACACCAAATGCAGAGGAAAAGAAAGGTTTCACTGAGATAAAATTTTATTCATTTTTTATTTCAATAATAAACAATGATGCTTTAAATTATTAAAAGTATGAGGAGAGTTCCATTACTGAAATATTAGCCCTTAAGTTACTAGTAAGGTTAGCATTTTTTGTATTTTAGCAATGATTTATTTATCTAGTAAAACCGATCAGATAGTTTTACTATTTTGCCGGTTACCAGATAGTAACTTTTTTAGTTTGGATATCTAGCTAGATAATTGCTTGTAAATTAAATTTTTTCAAAGTTACCCCAAAACAAATTTACATTTTTTATAAAAAGTAAAGAAAACTTTTCTAGATAATTCAGATTTTTTTTTTTTTTTCAGTTTAAGTTTATGTAGTTAAATATTAAGAATGTAATCTTAAAAAATATAAATGTATAAAAATATATTAATTATAAATGTAGTCAACATTAAAAACTTCATAATTATAGTAATTAGGAAATAATCAGTTGACAAGTTTGATTTTTTTTCGATATCACCAGAAATACGTAGTTTGACTGCAATCCTGTTTGTTTTTTTTTCTTTTTCTTTTTTTCTTTCCAAATTTTCTAGTTCTGTTTGCAAAGTTGTAAATTTTGAAGACCAAACATCTTTTGATTTCAAATCTATTAACTGAAGTTCAAATTTAGCTTTATTGATCTTCTGAAATGGTTTAAAATTTATTTCGTTGGTGGTTACAAAGTAATTTTATCTTTTCTGAACTCTTTAAAAAGATTGGCAAATGTACCTTTCATTTTTTCAATAGTAGCCAACAAATATTTAGTGTTAATACCACTTCCTGCTTCTTGATGCTTTTTTAAATAAAAGAAATGAAGTTTTCATTGCTTATATCTTGAATCGAGATAATTGACTTTCAAAAAAAGTAACATTTTCTAAAAACGAGCAAGCAGTGTTGTCTCACCCTTGCAACTTGTTACTAAGTTTGTTAAGATGAGCCATCATATCTGAAGTAAAATTTTTGTAATGGATTATCATCATTTAACTCAGGGTATTCAAAACCTTTTGACAACAAAAACATTTTAATATGTTCAATACATTGACCAAAACGTTCAATGACAACCTCCCTAGATAGCCAATGGACTTTATTATGCATCAATAGATCAGAATATTTTTCATTAACTTCATCAAGTAATAAACAAAATTTGAAATGATTTAATGCTTTTGGAGACAATTTGATTGAGTATTTTTACCACTAAGTTCATTACTTCTTGAATCACAAAGGGAAAGGTTTGCACACACAGTGCTTCTTGGTGTATGATGCATTGAAAACTGAAAATATTGTATTCAATAACTTTTTTTAAAAGGGGCACAAAGCCTTTATTTTTACCAGCCATACTCTTTGCACTGTCTGTATCAATAGATATTACTTTATTTGGATCCGTTTTATTTTTTGTCAAAAATGTGTATTGAGAAATTAATGCCTTCTCCATGCATTTGTCCTTTGTGTATACACTGGCAGGATAAATATCGCCCTACTAATTCTACTTGTGTTGTGTCCCTAATGTCACATGACTCATCACATGCCAAAGAAAACAAAGGCAATGATTTTAGATCAGAAAATTGTTGTAGGGTCATATTCTCTGCCATTTTTATTGTTCTGTCATAAAAGGTTTTTGTAGAAAGTGAAATATCTTTGATTTTTTAAATTATTTCTTCTTTGTTTTTAAAATCACAAAACAAATATTTGGACATGTTTAAAAAGGTCTTTACATAATCTCCATCTGTGAAAAGTTTTCCACGCTTCATTATTTCTCAAGAAACAGAAATGCTAGCTGCAGATGACTATTTACAGACTGAATCCATTTATTGAATGTCAAGAGTGAATTTTGTGTATTTCATTGCAATTCTAATATTTTGGTTTTTCTTTCTTCACTAGATGAATATCTTTTAGCAAAAGTAGAGTAATTTGTTGAAAAGTGACTTTCAAGATTTGACTTTTTATTATTTGACAACATTTTATTGCAGATTAAACATGATGGTAAACCAGTGGTACTTGGAATTGAGTGCATACATTTTTGTCCATTTGGATTTAAAATTGCAATTTTCATATTGATTTTTTTTTTTTCTAGTTGTAGCCATGGCTAAGTTTCACAAAATAGATAAACTTTTGTTTATAATCAAACAATAGTGTTTTGACACTTAGTGTTTTTTGTGTTTAAGTGTATAATTTTGCTTTCATAATTCTTCACATTCATTAATTCAAACATTTCAAACACAATGTTGACATAGTTGCGTACAAATTTTATTCACACAAAGTTTGCTTAAGCTTTTGTGGAACTAAACTTGTGTTTGAATGAAACGTCTATTAATAACAGTATCATGTTAATAACTGCATATTTTATTTTAATATAATTGTATTCTATTTCAAATAAAAAAAAAATTTAATTCAATGAATAACAGTCATCGAATGAATTTTTTTTTATTTTTTGATAAAATGTTTTATTAAATTTTTTCTTTATTAAATTAAATTTTTCATGTTTCAATAAAACCAAAGCATTTATAATTAGGACAGACTGAATTGTTTTTTTGATTGCATACTCTGGTGACTTACATTTTTATCCCATTGATTGGTCAACCATTCCTTGGGATATTTTTTGGAACCTACAAAAAATATGAAATGAAATAAAAAGTTCAAAACGATTGTTCTGCCACCGCAGCATTTTCACATAAATTATTTTAATTTTTTATTGTTTTTCACAGAAATTTACTCATAGTTTTTATATCTTCTATTAGATTTTTTTCAATTAGATAAAAAGTCTATGTTATTTATTAAACTATATATTTACTTTTTCAATTTTAATTCTTGTATTTAAATTTACTATGACCTTCCCATAAAGTAGTTAGAACTATCATGACAAACTAGTTATTTAAACTATTAAGACAAAGTTGTTGTTTTTTTTTAATTATTTAAATTGAAGACAAGATCTATAACATATAAATATTACAAAATAATACTTATATATTATATGTTTTAAACAAAAAAAAAGTTTTTAATTTTATATAATAAAAATTAAAATTATAAATAAAGTAAATTAGTTTAAAACATATTAGAAACATAGTAAACATAATTTAAAACATGATAAAAACATAACATAAATTGAAACATAATAATATAATTTTTTTTTTTTATTACAGACTCTGTTACAGAAAAGAAGTTTCTTTACTTGAAATTCTCAGCAAATAAAGTAAGTTATTTTTTTTTTTTGTAATTTTTTTTTTTTATCCCTGTTATCCAGAACCATATATGATTATATCTATCTTCGGTTATATTTATTATTGCTATATCCATCTATTATATTATACTATTTATATATATATATATATATATATATATATATATATATATATATATATATATATATATATATATATATATATATGTATGTATATATATATATGTATAGATATATATATATATATATATACATATATATATATATATATATATATATATATATATATATATATATATATATATATATATATATATAGTATATATATATATATATATATATATATATATATATATATATATATATATATATATATATATATATATATATATATATGTATATATATATATATATATATATATATATATATATATATATATATATATATATATATATATATATATATATATATATATATATACTATTCCCATCTATTATATCTATTATGGCTATATCTATCTAAACTAAAAATATATATAAATATATATATATATATATATATATATATATATATATATATATATATATATACTATACTATACTCATCTATTATATCTTTTATGGCTATATCTATCTAAACTAAAAATAAACCCCTTTGTTTAATGTGGTTATAACCCTCTCTCAACTCCAAAACACGAACCTTGATGAACAAGGCCGCTGCGCAGAGAAACAAGTTGAGCACGGTACTACCAGGGACGTGGTGGGAATCCAACTTTGAACATCCCGCTTATGAAGCAAGCGCTCTACCACTACACCACTACTGCATTGTAAGCTATATCTTCTTTTTTTACACTTCATGATAAAACTCACAATAGAAACTGCAATTGTCAGCAATATTTACAATGCTACTGAACTATAAAATGAAGTAATTGTTATAGGCTTCAAATTTTTTCGAAACGGCTTGTTAGCAGCGTTTTAACAGTTTTATTCTTATTCACATCTAAACTGTATGTTTCCCTAAATTTTTTACAATTCTCTTTTAAGTAGCTTGTTTTGGCTTTAAAACAAAACTATTCCATATAAAAAAGAAATCCAAATTTTTTATTAATTTATTGCAAACAAACTCTTTATATTTCTTCTCTCGATGTTTGCTATCCATTCTTTTCTTCCTTATTTAATGTATTTCAAGTTCAATGGTTCATTCGAATTTCTGCTATCAATTGCAAATTCGAATTTCTGCTATCAGTGAGTCACTAACATTTTTCTTTTACCATAAAAATAATTAAAAAAAATTACTTCTAGAGCCTTTAAGATATTGAGAAATTAAAAAAATACAAGTTCTGTCAATGATAGCAATGTCAAGTTATAAATAATCTCAATGTAACTGATAACTTTTTTAATATAATACTTTTAGGTGTTAAATAAACAATTTTGAACATTTTTCTCTACCCCTTTTCTTGCCCTCTTTATTAATTTTAGCGAGTTTTTTGCGCATCAATGTGTATCTTATTTTTTTGTTTTAAAAATTATGTTTTAGTAATAAAATCCTAAAGCTTTTGTTTAAAATAAAGCTTTAACTTATTTTAAGCAAAACCTACAATTTATACTAAATACAATATCATTGAAGTTGCAAGAAAACATAATACAAACAAAATTAGTATATAAGCTGATTAAGTACATTATCTTCTTTTAAAAAGATGTTGTTAAAATATGTCACTGTAAAATGGTAAATTTATCTTATTTTTGGTTATCCAACAATTCATATAATATAAATTCATTTTATATTGTTAGTAAAAATTTATTTACCTATTTTTTAAAAATATGTAAATAAAACCAAGGCCTTTTAATGTAGAAGTTTTTAAAGTAAGCCCATGCGGAATGTGATGTCACATTAGTAGTCCATTTATATTTGTTTTGTTTTAAAAAGATTTGTTTTTATTAAAAGGTTTTGCAAGATAATTTTTTTATACTTTGTTGGATTTAGATTATCTGATTACAAAAAAAAAATTTGAATAAAAAAATAATAAGAATAACCACATTTATTTTAGTTAATTTTTTTGCAAGATTTTTCAAAATTTAATTTTTAAAAATATATTAAAAGTCTCATTAAAACTATTAAATTCATTATCTCATTAAGACTAATCAATTTTTCATTACTAAATTAACTTTAGCAATATTCTTAAATAGTTTATACATGAAATGTTGCCAGCTTTAAAAAAATATTTACTATTGTACATATGGCAAGTCGTGCAATATAAAGTATTAAAATACCACAACAACATACACCTTCAACCATCTCAAAAAACTTTAAATGCCTAATTGATAAAAAAATTACGATTTGTTTGTGCTTTGACATCAAAAAATACTTGGAAATATTGAGAAGATATCAAAAAGAAAAAATTGAAAAAACATCTGTTGTTAGTTGCAACAAAATGATAGTTGACCATTTCAACCCTCCACAATCTAAATTGAATAGATATTCATACTCTGAAGCAACACCAAATTCTAATGAATGTTCTGATACTAGTTTTTTTTTTTGTAAAACACACAATAAACTTTTTCATGTATTAGCTTATAAGCAACATAAACAATATACACACATAATACAGCAATATAAAGAAGAGAATTACATTCAAAAGAAGAAACATCAATATTATCTGACCTTGTAACTAATTCATAAAATTCTTAAAATTTAAATGGCTTTAAAATATATCATGCCAGTATATCATTCAATTGAAAAATTTAACGTTAGATAACTAAAGTAATGTCACAAGAGTTTTTTCAACCCATGAGTGCACCTTCTACTATAGAAGGTGCACTCATGGGTCATTTAATGTTAAATAATTTTTTCTTCGCTTTAATTTGAGAACAGTTTTAATAAATAATCAAAAATAGTAGATACTTAAGTTTAAAATAGAATTTTTTTGATGCCCAATTAAAATTGTGATTAATCTTTAGTCTCTCTGTTAAAAGATAGTCCCAAGTTCAAAATGGGTACAAAAGATAATTACAAGGTCAATTCTAGGCTTTATTTGTTTAATTAAAAAAAATTTTAACACCATTTGGTTATGGGTTGGTTCTGAGTTAAGTGGTATTTTTTAGTAAATATTTTTTTTATAAATTTATCAAAATATTCAATATATTCAATCGTATATATTAAGTATTTTTTAATTTCATATATTTTATTTACATGAAGCACTGGGCACTATATAATTGATTTATTGATTTCTAAAATTTATATTAAAAATTTCTGTATATGATTTATGTTTTTTTTTATAATAAATAAAACTTTTAATAACAATTTTATACACTGTTCATTTATTTACTCATTTATTTACATTTATTTATGTTTAATTTCATTAGCACCATAGACATTTTTTTCAATTTAAAAAAAAAACACATTTTTTTTATTGATTTTAAAAGGTTTTTATTAATGAACTTGTGTTCTTTTTGAAATGACAAGTTCAAATGTGTATTGAGGCATATCTTTTTACGGACGTTTTAACAGTTAGTAAAAAAACATTCCATAAATAAAAGTATATAAAAAAACTGAATACGAAGAGAAGTAATAAATACGTAAGGAGTATCATTAAGAAATTTAAATCTGCATTAAGTACAAAATTGGCTGACATTCTAGAGAATTTTTATTTGTTTATGTTGTTTAAAAAGAAAGACACTCTGCAAAACACTGAACATGATACAACCTAACCATGGCAGTTAACTTTTTTATGACACCAAAACTATATAATGAATTGCAGTTAATTATTAGTTCCTAAGAAACCTTGGCATCTTTAATAAAACTTTTGAAATTTTTTTTTTTTTTATAAATAAAAATTTTTTAATAATTTTTATTTATAAAAAATATTTAAAAATAATAATTATTTTGAATAAATTATTTACATATTTTTTATATGTTTTGGTAGGTTTTAAAGGTTTGGAATAGATTATTTTCATGTTTTTTTCATTATTGCTATGTAGTTATTTACTCACTTCACTTACTAATTTACTGATAAAAGAACGCATGTTTTAATAAAAGAAAACACATTTTAGTAAAAGAACACAAGTTCTTTTTTTTTTTATAAATTTTTATAAAGAATTTTTTTTTTTTTTTTTTTTTTTTATAAATCTAAATTTTTTTTTATTTTTTTGTATAAAGTTTTATTTTCATAATAGTTCCTTTTATTTCTGTCATTTATGTAAAAAAGATTTTCGAATGAAATACTTTTAATGCATACTTAAATAAATAATTTTTTTTTTTATCTACTTAAATATTTAGTTAGTTTTAAATATTTAGTTATAAATATTTTAAGAATTATATTATATAATATAATATATAGTTATATATATTTTAAGAAATGAGATATTGTTTTGATAACTTATTTAACATAACTAAAGTTTGCAATTTTTTGAACTAATTGGTTTTTTGTACCATTTGGTTTAAAAATTATTTTTACCTTCTGGAAAAGTCATATATTTCTAAAAAAATGTTGCATTATTTTTTTAACTTTTCAAATTCAATTATTGCATTTTCAAAAAAAACAGTCTATTAAATTTATACAAAAGATATTCTATCCATTTTGAACATTAAGCAACAATCAACAATGTTGGTTTAAATATCAACAATTTTGTTATAATTCAGCCCATTATAAAACATTTTTAAGTATATAACCGATTGTGGCAGTCTAACTTTTTGCAAATGTAATTGCTCTATTATGTTATTTATAATATTTTTAGGATATTTTGAGTATAAGTGTGGCAAACAAATATAAAAATGACGATAATCTTCAGTTTGAGCAAATAACATTAGTTGGACTTCAACATTCTATAAAAAATGTATATGTAAATGAAATTCTTCATCAATCATTTACCTCAAAAACAATAAAAAGTTCTAAGGTGAGTTTTTTGATGAAAAATTTTCATATTTATTATAGATATAAATAATCATATTAACCTATATTATACAACACATGTTAATATGATTATATATATCTAGTTATCTATTTTATTATGACATGTATTATATGTTTGTATATATAATCTATATAACATTATAGGTTTTATATATATATATATATATATATATATATATATATATATATATATATATATATATATATATATATATATATATATATATTATAATCATATAATATAAAAATAAAAATATTGTTTTATAAATGTGTATTGTAAAATATTTTTAAATATAAATATTCAGGTTAACTTATTTTTGTGACAAACAAAAAAAGATAAATTTCCAAGCAGCCAATTTTTTTTGGCCAACCGTATTTTGTGTTAGTTGGCGCAACTGCAGTATATTTACAGTTGACCAAACCACATTTTGTATTAGTTAGCCCAATATAAATCACAGGTATGTGTTGGCACATAAGTTAAGTTTATTAAAATGTTAGTTACAGTTTGTAAAAATGTAACACTACAAGTAATTTTGTAACATTGTTTAATAACTTAAAACTCGTCGCTGAATATATAGGGTATAAACTTTAGCCGGAACGTTAACATAAGTGAAAATGACGCAGCGCTAATAATTATTAATTATATATTAATTATTATATATTAATAATTATGCCAACAAATTGCCAACTATATAGCGCTTAGGTCAGCCAATGTGTAGCGCTTACAATGTAAAATAGTTGGGCAAGCTAAATTGTGCTGCTTGGTTCCACCTGAGTTTTCAGTTCAATTTTTAAACTTCTATTTTCATGACAAAAAAAATCTCCAGTCTAATAAAAAATGTTTGTTAGTTATTATGCCAGTTTACGTAAATAGTCTCACGTATTTTTAATAAAATTGTATCGCTTGAGTATTCTGCATAGAATAAACTAGAATTTCTTGAAATATAAATAAGTTGAGAAACAAAAAGGTAAATAAAATTTTTTTTTATTCTTATTAATATTTTTTTTAAACAAAGTTTAAAAAAAAATAGAAATTTTTTCATTAATAGGAACAAAAAAAATTGTTTTCTACATTTTACTGGGCAATAAAATTTTATTGTATTTTATTTTTGGGTCGACATTTTTCACAAGCCCATTTTCGACAAGCGCTTTTCTTGTCAAAAATGGGTTTGTGAAAACCAAAGCTAAAAACCAAAACCAATTTTTGAAAGAAAGAAGTTTTCTTTCTTTCAAAAGTTGGTTTTGAAGTGTTTCAAAAAATTTATCAATCACTAGGTTAGTGCATAAAGCGGCTCTCGCTGCTGAAATTCTTAGTGCCTTGCTTTGACTTAATTTATGTTGCCAGCGTTGGTTGAAACCCATGTAGTACTCGATCGGTTGCTTTTTATTCTTAAATAAGGTAGTTTGATTAGTTTCCTTCAACTACTGGAACCCCACGATTTGAATTTTAGGAAACAGTTAACCGTAACCCCACTTACCTAAAGCCTGAAGACGTGAACAAGTAAGGTCTTTGTCACGTGGCTAAGAGTTGTTAACTTACTAGCCTCGGCTATTCTTTTTGGATATCGAATTTTTCCTCCTAGTGTCCCATGAGGTATACTCAGTTCACCAGTTTTAACTTTTTTAATGGCTTTTTTCCATTTGCTCTTTGCTTAAATTAGTGACGGATTTTTTCTCGTAATTTAAGACATTTTTGTTGACAATTGATCGATTTAATTTTTATTGATTATTAAACCAACATAACCTAAGAAATATCTATATATATATATATATATATATATATATATATATATATATATATATATATATATATATATATATATATATATATATATATATATATATATATATATATATATATATATATATTATATATATAAAATATGTATATGTATATATATTACATATATATTATATATATATATATATATATTATATATATATATATATTATATATTATATATATATATATATATATATATTATATATATTATATATATATTATATATATATTATATATATATTATATTTATATATATATATATATATATATATATATATATATATATATATATATATATATATATATAGGCGAAATTTTCCCATTTAGTATTTCCGGATTACCTTCGGAACCTATCAAATTAAAAAGAAAAAAACAACATATTTTTTCTCCGTTTTGGTTTTTTAAATTTTTGACAAAAGTGAATAATTAGATTTTTAAAAGAATTTTAAATTTCCTGTTTATTTGAAAATTGCCATTGTCAATTAATTTTCATATCAAGTCTTCAAAATGAAATATTTTTTGATATAGTTTGATTTGAACTTTCTATTTCTTTAAACAGAAATTTTAATCATAAAAAAATCTTATTCCTGAGAAAATTAGAGTCATAAAAGTAAAGATACATCGATTGGCGGCATCATCTATAAAGTAAAGAGGGAAACCATTTTACTTTATAGATGATGTCATCTGTGATAACTGTGATCAGCTGATTTTTAATTAAAATTTATTAATTTTTAGATTTGGTTAATAAACAACGTCAATTTAAAAATTGATCGTGATCACAACATCAAATGGACGTACAACATCAAAAGTTCGTCTTATTGTTTTAAAGTTAACATTTATTGCATGATAACCGTAATCGTGTCATTGTTCACTATTATGTATTAAATTTAAATTTTTTTGTTGAAATAATTGGTGAGAAATCTTAAATAATTTTTTTTTATAATTTTTTTACGAATAAAGTAACAGTCATAAATTTGTTTTATATTATAAAACTTATTGTATTCTTTGCGTGTTGTTCACTGATCTCAAAATATAACTGAATAGCGGATTCTATTGTTTTTTCCAAAAAAAGTTGAAGCCAAAATTGGCCTCCCAAGATGGCGGCGATTTTAGTTCTTAGAGGTGAAACCTATATACATTCTATTTTACTTAATCAAAATACAAAAGAAAATAATGAAATAAGACTAATTCATTTGTAAAAAAAAGCAATAAAAAAAATAAACAAATGAATTTTATAATTACTACAGAAAAAAAAATTATTTTTTTAAATAATTGAATTTAATATTAAATGGCATTAGTGAAATTTACAATTTTAGTTTTATGTATAATTTATGTGCCTTATAGTTTTAACAAAGAATACTATAACTAAGAATAAGAACCCAATGCTGTATGCCAGAAGGTTAATAATTGCTGCTGTTTACCATTCATAACAGCATGGTAAACAGCAGCAATTATGTCTACCTACAATTTTATATTTTTTAAGCAAGATACCAATTTGTACAAATGCTGCATGAACTATTACCCGAGTGCTGTAAGTACACGAAAACTCAGGGGCTTCTTCTAAACTTATATTATACTTAAATGCTATTATTGCATAAATTATATGATTAAAATATTCAAAAGTATCACTTATATTGGTAAAAAAAAACCAGGTCTGAATTATAGTTATATATAATAACTTTTAAAACAACTAAAAAGTAAATAATCATTTCTTATAACTTAAAGGATAATCACTCAATACAATTGGTGATGAAAATGTATGTAAAAATACATTTGTTTGAAAAAAATGTGTTTATTAAATTTTTAATATACAAATATTCAAAACACCTCTTTGAAATATCTCTTTAACTAAAGTTATATATGTTTACCTGCTGTTAAGAATTATGTATATATGTTATAGTTAACTAACTTTTTTATATTATTAAACTGTATGTTGCAGGTTAATAATATAATTAAACTGCAACATACATAAATTCATTGGCATACATATAAAATAATTTTATATATATGCCAATGAGTTTATTCGCATAAAAGATTGATTACATGACATTAAATTCAAGAAACCTATTTGCCAATGGATACAAGTCAGCATTGTGTGTATGTAACAAGACTCTGTTTTTCATTTCTTAACATGGCATATAATTATTTCATTGTCTTAAAGAGATTAATTGGTACGCAAATGAACTTGTATAGTCTAAAAACTGATTTCATTAGATATTTGGTAGCAGTTTAATCTGTTTAAAATAAATACCTCAACTGAGAAAAAAAAGAAAGTTCGCCATAAAATCATTTAACATATAAGTCAAAACCATCAAACAACTCTTTATTGTGCTGTGAGATCTTATTTAGCTGTGAGATCTGCAAGAATGTTTAATAACTATATCAAATGCCAACAACTCACAACCACATATAAACAACTTTTGATGCGAAGTAGAGTTCAATGTTTTGATAGTAGAGTTCAAACTTTTGATTCGAAGTAGAGTTCAATGTTCAAATGGAAACTGCAGCATCAGAGATCAAACTCATATTTTAAAAACTTTAGATTCTTTTTTTCTTTTGCTCACTCCAGTACTAAAATATCTGACTGAAATTGAATTAATAAAAAAATATGATTTGTTGGAGAGAAAAACAACTAATAGTGACCACGATTATGCAAAAAAGTATTGATTTCATATTGTCTGACACGTTGCTAAAATTACATTAAAATAAAATTATCTGTATTAAATATAAATATATATATATTTGTAAAAATTTTAATAAAAATCACAATATTTTTTATTCATGACATGTTTCGTAGTCTTACTACATTTTCAAAAGATTTAATTTACAATTAAAACTCTGGTAAATAAATTTAAAAACTGAAGACAATACAGAGAAAAAATTAACGGACAAATAAACTTGTTAATAAATAATAAATTGTAAATAAAATCCTTTTTTAAATAAGCAAACATCTCAATATATTATAAATTTATCTATCTAACTTAGTATATTATTATTATTATTATTATTTTTATTATTATTATTATTATTATTATTATTATTATTATTATTATTATTATTATTATTATTAATATTTTAATATAAGGAAGTTTATTTTGTCATAATTTGTAATATAATTTTTAATTGGTTTGTAACAAGTTTATTTGTCCGTTAATTTTTTCTCTGTACTGTCTTCAGTTTATAAATTTATTTAGAGTTTTAATTGTACATTAAAATTGTAAATTATATATATATATATATATATATATATATATATATATATATATATATATATATATATATATATATATATATATATATATATATATATATATATATATACATATATATATATATAAAATTCTAGAAGGAACCTCTGAATTGTGTGTACTCACAGAGCTCAGCTAATAGTTCTTGGAGCATTTGTAAATTTGTGATATCTATTTGAAAAACTAATTTATAGTAGTTTATTTTAAAAAGATATTCAGCTGCCTACCATGCAGTTGTGTTATTAACCTTCTAGTACACAGCATTGGGTAGTTAAGAACTAAAAGGTACATAAATTGTATAAAAAACAATATTAAACAATTAATTTATGGTAACACTAAAATTAAAAGTAAATAAATGAAATACAAATAAAAAATGAATAAAATTATTTTGATTTTTCACATTTAAGTTTGTTTGGAAACTTTTGAATTGGATAACTACTAGGTTTTTGTTTGTTATTTACTTCTACTAATAGGTTATAAATAGTTATATATATTAGTGGAACCTAATAGTTAACTATTAGGTTCTAGGTATAATACTAGTTTCTAGTGCTTTCTTTACTTATGTTAAATAAACTAATTTTTAATTATTTAACTAAAAAATTTTATCTTGTTTAATTTTTCTTATTTAACTAATTAATTTTTATATAAAAAAGAAAGATATTATTCAAGCTAATTATTAAGAGTATATTTTGTTAAACAAAGTATTATATATATTTTAGAAATTTACGTAAATATGTAATATTGGGTTTCTCAAATTATTTGCTATGTAAAACCGAAAATTATATTTGTATTTGAGGCTTGTACATTTATTTTCATTTAAAAAAGATATAAAAGTTCGAAACAAAATTTTCTCAATTTGTAATCAATTAAATACGCCGCCATAATTGGCGGCGTAATTAGTTGTTTATTTATAATTGGGCCACCTAAATAACTAAAAAATAAAATAAAATAAAATTAAGGTGTTCCCAGTAGTCCATACGGTCTTATCAAAGAAAACCGGCGTCGAACATTAGACCGCATGGTTCTGAACCAGAACTACTGCAAAACGGTTTTTAAATACTTTTTTAAGATTTCTTAAGTCTTTTCCTATACCTAGGTATACTTTGTAGGACCTAGTATATATTTAAAAAACAAAGTACTTTCTTCTGAAAATATCTTTTAAATTGTGCGTAAAATCTGTTTGAAAAGTTCACACTAAAATATTGAGCAATATGCTGTTGTTAATGATATGCTCTTTAATAGTATAATCTTTGGCTCCTTTTGTAAAAGTAAGTTGCGAAATTTAAGTTTGCGTTGTGGTTTTTTTTTTTTTCTTTTTTAATTAAAGCAAGTATTGGTTTTTTTTTGGTTTTTTAAAAAAAACAAAACAAATTAAATCATTATCGATTCTCACAGTTTTACTTCATAAGAAAAAAAAAATTATATTCAGGTCTAAACATCAAGAAATTTATTTTTGGAATTGTTATTAAATATACCTATAATAAGTAAAAAAATAATTAATAGAGTTTTATAATTCAAAAACGTGAAGCTGATGCCAAAACCACAAAAAAAAAAACTTTTTTTTTGGTAAAGAAATGTCAATATTGTTTATAATAACAAATCAAAGTTTTGTTGTTTTTTGTTTAAGAAAAAAATGTAAGAAATAATTTAATAAATTTTAACTTGTATTTAACTAGTCTAGGCCTATTTCATGAACTAAAACGAAGAACCATACTGATGAGCTTTTCTGTTCTGAATTTTAAAAAAACCGCTATTTTCATAGCCACGAGGTAATAAAAAAATTTATTAAAAAGAACGTTAATGAACTTTTTAAAAATCCAAAGGGGAAGAACTTGGGTGTTGATTTAAAAAACTGTTTTAAGCGTTAAGTTTTTGGCTTAAGTTCTAGTAACTTACTAATTTCGTAATAACAAAACTTGAGATTTATTTTGCGTAAGTTAAACTCTCAAATTATGGTATTCATAAAACATCTCAACTTATTAAAAAACATATGAACAAGTTCCTCATTTAAACGAGATCCTAGTGACCAAAAAAATGCAAAACATAGTTACGCAAAAAAATGCAAAACATAGTTGCATTGATACGCGCGGTGCGGCGTGTGACGAAACCCAAGCCTTGTGCACGCCGGTGAGTGAGTCATGCTTGTCGGCGCAGGTGCAACACGACCACGCTTTTGAAGAAGAGAATGATTGTGGAAATTAACTTTTTTTGAACTTAAAGTTCTTTATGAAATCCTACCGGCTAAGGTGGAAACAGCTGCTTATATTTTGAGATTTATTAACAGAAATCAAAACCCATTTCCCAACGCATGCGTGTAGAGTTTTACTAATTATACCTGTTATTGTGGCAAACGCAGAAAATAGTTTTTTCCGTTTGAAACTTATCAAGAAAAATTTGAATGAACTTAAATTTTAAAAAACTTAAGAAAAAAATTAGTTGTTATTCTAGTTCAATTGTTTCCTTTCAGTCTAAAATTATTATTTATTTTACATTATTAGGCTTATAATAACTTTAAAAATAAACTTTATTGTTATTATTCTAGGTTATTTTATAAATTCCTTTATATAAACTTACAAAAAAATAACAACTCAAAATTATACCAATCCGAAATGGAAATATTGCACTTACACAACCCTACTTTAGACAGTAAGAGATTAAACTTTTTTTTTCGCAAATGCTATTTCCGAAATTTAGCATTTCGCAAGTTGACATACGAAATAAAACTATTTTGCAACATACGAAAGTAGCGGTTTCGGAAGTCGCACTTGTGAAACAAGCATTTTCGCCAAACGACGTTTTG